TTACCTACGTTATGTACACCTAATACCATATTTTGTATTGTAGTCCTCTCATTATTTGTTTTCCTTCTTAACGCCTTACCTGAGGTCCTGAGGACCTGTTCAGTTGGACATTTGTGAGGTGTCAAAAAATCCAGGACCAGCTTGTTGTACAGGCTTGTAATTCATATTGTGGATGTGTTTTAATTATCATATCGAAGGTCCAGCAGGCCTTCGGATATATTATAATTTTTAATGCCATTTTTGATGTTGTGGACCTGAATATTTGAAGGACATATGTTCTGTCAAATTTATAGCCAGTTTCACTTTGATCCTGCATTGCCAGGTGTTCGGTCAGTTCAAATGACCAGATGTATAGTCCGGAGTGCTTTTTGAGGTGCCTCAAGTTTGTCCAGCATGACATTTCTTTTGCCTTCAACAAGGTTGTGGTGAGGTGGACATAAATGTCCGAAGTTCTTGACCAGTGTAACTTTGGTTCTGACCACTGCTGGTCAACAGCTTGTACAACAGATCTCCCGAGCCAATTACAGTCAGACATACTATTGGAATATACTTTCTTTTAAATTGAATGGAAAAAGTCTTTTTTGGTAATATGTGCAGGCAGTGTGCTTTTCAAGAGTGACATATAACTTGAAATTTGAATTCTTGATTGATCCAAGCACTGTGGATTTTGCCTGGACCAGGATTTAGGTTATGTTTTATACCAATTCAGTGATGATGTGTTTGGTAAGGAGTTTTATCAGACAACATAGCGTTTTACACTGGATATGTTTTGGTATAAAGAGCTACTCTATATCAGTTGGAATTTAGATTGCTCATTTGATATTGAAATCTGAAGAAGTGTTGATTCTGAAATTGAAGTGTTGATTGAAAAAAAAAGGAGAAGCATTTAGTGGTGATTCTAAAATCTGAAGAAGTGTTGACTCTGGAATACAAAGAAATTTTGATTCTGAAATGTGAAGAAGTGTTATTATGAGTTCATAAGTGTTTGTTCATATGTCTTGAAGAACATCATATCTTCTATATGACGTACAATATTATACTACCTCATACATGATGTACGATATTATATATCATATAATATACAATGTTATGTGTCATATGTGATGTATGAGGGATGACGCTTCTATAAGATGCAGTTATGACAAGCTTTCAGCTGATAGTAGAAGGCCTGGAACATTGTGAGTTGAGAATATTGTGAAATTCCAGATGAATATTTGGATAATATTGTGAAATTGCGGATAGTTGGATAAACTTTGAACGAGAATGAGATTTCTGCCTAGATCAGAGCCTTTTCTCATACCTGGCATCAAAGAAAAGGTTGGTTATTATGAATTTATGTTAATTGAGTTTAATCAGTCAATGAAATGTTGAATACATGCACTTAAAGTAAAATCACGAAATTTAACTGTTATGTAATGGTGACAAGAGTGATTAACCTCATCCAAAACTGATGCTATTTTTCTTCCTTAAGTCTTGACAACTTTCTTCCTGAAAAGGTCTCTACAATTTTTGTTCATCGTAATGATGGCTTGATATCATTTTTTTTATATATATATTACATTATTCATTATACCTGTGATTTGTGATAGAGTTACCTCCCCTGATTTTTTTAAAATTTACATTGTGTGATAGTTGTAAATGTAGACAATCTAATGTAATGCTCGGTCCAAGCTAAAATTGTCGATTTATGGTTTTATTCATATGACATGAAGGGAAGAAATCTTTTGAATGTATGAGATCTATGGTTCATGTGGCACGAGACATGTGTCAGTGTGAGTTAGGAGGTCTTGATCGGTATGATATTTTTTTAGGATGTCGTTAAATAACTTGCTAATTATATATATAATTCCATATTATACTTTTCATGAAAGATAATTTACATTGATACTGTTGAACTCTTTAGGAATGGAGGTGGATGATGTGATCAGGTAGCTAGCATACCTCCTTAAATGAAATCAAGGTGTTTTTCTCAGTGCTGTAGTGTGCTGATGATACACAGAAAAACATAATGTATGTGTCGGCCCTGTATGTGAAGTAATTTAATGGGGTCACATATTTTCAATAGAATATATATATATATATATAATGAACCTAAAGTGGCTAAGGAAAATATTTTTATTTGGTAGGTTCACATATTTGCATTAAATTAGCCGGGTGTTAAGACGTGGAAATTGTATGGCATTAGCACACACTGTATGAGTACACAACTTGTACAGGGTCTACAAGTTTCAGGTGTGCGTAAAGTTTATAATGAAGTGGTTTACAGCTGTACTTATCCTACAAACCACTATACTGATACGTATTGTGTTGTTGTAGTGGAGGATTTACAACGAAAATACACCATTTATAAATTCCTATAGCGGCGGGAAATATTAATTGAAATTTTCGACCACTAGATATTACCACTATGTAACTCCACAATTGCTTATTTTACCTTCGTCCATTACTAATTTATTTTTACAATAATTGTTTTCGCGGGAATGAATACTGTCAGAATAAATATCATTACTCTTTACAAATACTTTAATACAATATTACTTTTCAGAGCATGTATTCTGTCTGAAATATGTTAATTCATTTTGGAAAAAAATAATTGATTTGAACGATGAGTGTACCCTTTGGCTTAAAACATGTGACCTTATATTTATCATTGTTAACTCTCATTGGCTTTAAAACTGTTTTATTATGTCTCAATAAAGACCAGTAAAATATTGTGATCCAAAAATTGAAAATTTATCATCTAGAATCAAAATTAGGAATAGTAGAAGTTTGAAAAGCCTTATTTGAAATTGATTTCATTTTAAATTTTCAAAATAGTGTGTTGATGAATTTTCACTTGACTTCTGAGTACAATATTGGTCACTCTTTCCAAATTAGCTACCGTAAAAACCCATGTAATTTGCGCACCTGTGTAATTTGCGCAGGTACTTTTTGAGGCTGAAAATCGGGAAAAAAAGTTCTACTCGAATATTTTGCGCACCCAAAAAATCTGGAAAAAAAACGATGTTCATGCTCCGAAAATCGATCTCTGAATATATTTTTTTTAAATATATTTCTATGATTTTTTTTCATTGATGTAAAATGATATTTAAAACCAAGAAGAAACTACGTAAAATGTGTATTTTGTTGCTTGTTTTCTTTGAATTATCTGATCACACATTGTACATGACACACACGTACGTGTGCGCATATCGGCATACGTACATCAATTCATTTTAGCAATATTTTGCATAAAACATTTACTTGCTTACAAAAACATATCAATTAATAAGTAATTTGATGTTTAGTAACCGCTGGTGCATATCTCCTGGTGAAAGACATAGTTAGATACCTTTTATTGATCATAATTACGATCAGTGAGAAGGGCTCATCATGGCGGCTTGGGTTACGTCACTTCAAACCAGGTCAGGTCACAGTTCAGTTTGGCCACGGAATTAGATTATCTAAGTCCATGGTTTGGCGATATTTTTTTTACAAATTACAATGCAGTAATGAGCTAACACTATCTCTGTGATTACCCGTTAACAATAGCTCTACTAATTGAAATGATTTGCAGTCGCGATCGACGGACCGTGTTGTTGTTTTTTCACTCACCAACACGTGGTGTGAATTACGAAGCCCTACTGCATTGTCATAACTACAGACTGATTTGACTGATAAGGGATTATAAAAAATATGTTTATACTAGAAGCATGGACAATCAATACATCCTCTTCAAATCTACTCCAAGGAAAAAATAGTTAACGCAGACTATTTTTACGATGCTTCATTTAATAAATATTGAAATAATTCACGAGGTTATTATCAATCACGTGTTTACGTAATGTTAGATGCAAGATCAACATGAAAGTGAGCCGGAAAAAAAAATGCTATACATACGTATACGCATAGGCGATTTGAAAAAACTTACAGAACTTACATAGAACAGAGCTTAAATTGAACAACTACATTTTCGTAATAGTATGGGGAAACGCACCGAGATGTCGAAACGTAATGTAGTAAGTTGATCGGCGATTCTCTGGCATAGGAATTTGGCTAAACTTTTTTTGTTAACGGTTACCTATTTATTAATACTTTTCACATAAACTCACATAACAACACATTATGTATCTTTTATTAATGTTTGACATAAATAAATTTGTTGATCGTCATTTGTCTTAGAGTTCCGTGTACCAAGGGACATAATCCAAGATGGCGATCTGTCAGAATCGTCGATCTTTTCCTGAAAAAAACTTGAATTTTTCTATACCTGTGTATTTTACGCACCCCCCACTTTGGGTATTAAATTTCTGAAAAAAAAGTGCGCAAATTACATGGATTTTTACGGTACTACCTGGTCACCAGTATTTATATATATATAGCCAGTAGCCTTAAGTTCCACTTAACTTGTATACCAAACAATTTAAGGGGAAATAACTGTATATATGAAACAAACTACAGTGGAATTCTCTACTGTTTTGTCTGCTGTGGGACAGAGATTCGTACAGTACAATTATAACTGTGTAACCAACATGAAATTATGATTAAAACCTTCAACAATATTGACATTCTTACATAGGTCCTGTCTTAATGATACCCCAAGTTCCATTTTATTCCCCGGCAAATTTGACATTTGAAATGTATTTTTAAGTTCAGCTTATTTAGCAATGTGTGTGTATTCACTGTTACTTTTTTTCCATATCTTTACCAGGACTAAGAGAAGCGAGGAACACCTAAGTTATTTGGAATGTCCATGTGCTCATAGCTTTGTTGTTTTGTGTTGTTTATGGAAACAAAAGGAAAGGAACACCTAAGTTATTTGGAATGTCCATGTGCTCATAGCTTTGTTGTTTTGTGTTGTTTATGGAAACAAAAGGAAAGGAACACCTAAGTTATTTGGAATGTCCATGTGCTCATAGCTTTGTTGTTTTGTGTTGTTTATGGAAACAAAAGGAAAGGAACACCTAAGTTATTTGGAAAATCCATGTGCTCATTGCTTTGTTATTTTTTGTCGTTTCTAGGACCGGGAGAAGCAAGAACAACTGAGCGACCTCCTTAACAACTACAGTGTTAACATCCCTCCAATGCCAGACCTTCTCACTCTGGGAAGACCATCTTTCAGCGAGGAAATCTTTGAAATCGAACCACATTGGAGTTCACTGGTGGACAATGCCTCAGTAAGTGTATACTTGTGTCAACATTAGTATCCAAACAAGGTCCTGCACCTAAAATCTTGTATTCTTTACCCTTTATGCCTCACACTTAAAAAACAAATGATTCATTCCTCATACTTAACACACATAATGCCTCACACTCAAGAGTATAGTCGAAGAAGAGTAGACCTGATGCTTCATACTCAAAGTTTATGATGCCCCATACTCATGACACCAATTGTCTTAAACTAAAGGTGTCAAATGCATCATACTTAACTCATTCACCCCTGCAGACACATTTAGACTTTTCCAAGTTAAAGGTTGGAATAGTTCATTATGAAATTCAGGGGTGAATGAGTTAATTGGGACAGTTTAATGCCTCATCCTCAAAACTGTCTAGAGTATCATACAAAAGCCTCATCTTCAGGACTTTACTTCGAATAAATTACATTTTCTGAAATCTATCCTTCAAAGAGTGACCTCAGTGTCCAGAATCTAGGAATGGTTACAAACTAGCTCATATTGTTTGGTTGGGATATTATTTTATATACAAATAGTACAGAAAATTTCAGTTGGTTGCCAAATAAACTCTTGTTAGGGTTTACCCCTGGTCTGCTGCGGTCATTATTATATTAAAGCTTCTGACACAAACTTAACCCTTTCACCCCTAAGTAACTTTAGTATACTCTTCCATACATTTATCTGGATGAGTCCATTGTGGTTCACAGTGGTGAAAGGGTTAAGAGCCATTTTTCAGCGCAATTGCCAAACACTGCTGACAACAATGAACAGTCGATCTCTGATCGGTCATTCCTGAGATTATGGCCACAAAGTAAATGACCCCAACACTTAATCCCCAAAGGCCCCAAACCTGTTTAATAGGTATACACCTACACAAAAGTGTGGTGTGACCAAAATAATAATGACTTGCAAATCAAACAGTTTGATCTCCTGCAGAGTAAGCGAATATAAAAACATAACTTTTAATGACGTTACAAAATATTTATATACAGAAAGTGATATATATAAATTGTTTTACCTGCTTTGGCAGTACATATATTAAAATTGGAACGATACAGACAAGATTAGCATGGCCCCTTCGCAAGGATGACACGCAACTTCGTGAAGCGTTCCATATTTATTTGTTTTATATATATATTTATTTCATACTTACTAAAGCCGTATCAGCCCCTGCCGTATCACACCCCAAAACCTGTATCAGCCCCCGCCGTATTACACCCCAAAACCTGTATCAGCCCCCGCCATATCACACCCCAAAACCCATATCAGCCCGCAAAACCCATATCACACCCCTTTCAATATTTCAAAAATAAAAATAAATCATAAGATAGTGGTTTTTATTAGTAAGTATGTAATAAACAGAATAAAACACGCCTTTTTCCATAACACACCCAGTATCAACCCTCGACCAATATCAGCCCTCGGGCCTTCGGCCCTTGGGCTGATATTGCAGTCTCAGGTTGATACTGGGTGTGATATATGGAAAAAGGCATGTATTATTCTCTATCTATGACAGTTTTAGATATTCTGTGTTCATGTCAAGCCAGAGGTGTATAACGTTAAGTGCTAAAAATATATATGGACCTGTCTAAATNTGGTATCAACGCTCGACCAATATCGGGTTGATACTGGGTGTGATACGGAAAAAGGCATACATGTATTATTCTCTATGCATGTATAAGTTGTCTTTATATTTAAAGCGACCATTGATTTTCAGGCATGATCTGAACGCTATGTGTGGCAAAATCTATAACGTCTTAAAATTACAGTTAGCGATTCGTAGAAACAGTAGCAACACATGTTGTAGTGTTCGATTTTCTAAACCCAAGCTCGACTTGAGCAAAAAGCAAAATTTAGGGGTCAAAAGTAGAAAAGGACAGTAAAATAATCAGGAGACTCTGTCTCGAAAATAACAAGGCTTTAGTAGCAAACATATCCGTGATGCAATTTCATTTTGGCCTTTCAGAAAATAGAAAGTGTCTTATTTCATTCAAGAAATAACAACTTTTGTTATAAGGTACTAGGTAATCTTGAAAACTTTCACAAAAATAGGAACAGTATTGTCTCATTTCATCCAACAAGCTTCCATTGGGTGGGAAACAATTGCAGGAGCATCTGATCATTTTAACGAAATTTTCTTCATTTTTCACATATTTTTTTTAAACAATGTAGGAAGTCCTGTTTTTATATAAAGGCTGAAGAATAAAAAAAACAAAAAATTGTTCAAATTATTCGCCCTGTTGGAAGAAAAAAATCTCAGTTTAATTTTATGCTGTTGTTTAATAATAAAAGAGGTCTGAGTGGGGACAGGTTTGGAGGTATCCTAGAATCTCATTAAGGATCTCTGCACTACTACAAAAACTGTCACTATGCATCAGAACCTGGTTTTACCGGCTTGACTATAGCCTTGAAAAATCATTTCTGAAAAGGCAATTATACTGTGCAGGACTTTTATGTTAAAATATTACAGATGAAATAAACAAAATTTAATCTACAACAGTGTTTGGAATGTAAAAAAATCAGCAGGGCTAGGCCAGGTTTGAATCCTGGACTTAAGATTGTTATACTATCACTCCAACTTGTCCTGGCACATTTGTCCTACAGTTTCATCCAAAACAAAATTAAAGGGAGGTTACTCAGTATATACAAAAAAACACAGTACTGTGGGAAAGAGATCCAAATTTCTGTGTAATTGATATAAAGAGGGAAGTCATAATGAGCTTACGGTCATCTGTTGGTCACCAAGGCAGGTAGATGATGACTAAATAACAACAACCCATTCACCTCTGGACTCCTAATCATTGCCCCTATGTAGGGTCCGACCAGTCTTTATGTTTACACTAACACTGTAGCAGTGACAGTTACACTGACTGATATAAGATTAAACCCCTTTTATATACAACCTTTCCTGTCCGACACTTAGTATAAAGACATGTAAAGACGTCTTTGTTCGGTACAAATTGGGAGTTTTATTCAGAATTAATTATCATCTACTTTCCTGTCAAGTGACCTGTCGGCTATAAAATTGGAAATTGTTCGTTTTTCACGAGGTGTTTTTCTTACACTTGTCAACAATTCTATTGGTTGGGTGACTTTAAATGGTCAGCCAAATGTACTTGCTGTCCACATGTTTGTCCAAATTTTGGTGGTCATTTAGATTTAGATTGTAGCTTTATTGCTGGTCAATCCGTAAGGAATGTGCTCCGTCAGGACTTTACTGCAGTCAAACCATTAACTTTATAGGTACATAAAAACATGACTGTCAAAACTTTCTTGGTATGTAAAGCCAGCTTAAGGTCAACGTAGCCTGGTGATTCGTTGTGTACATCATAGTAAGCGTTTCTAAGCCCAGACAATTTTTCTGGGGGAAATGTGCTGAGAACTTCGGAAAAGCATTTTCATAAGAATGTAAAGAGAGTTCTGTGTTTTATATCCAATAGATCATAAACCGGGTATTACAAGTAAAGTACTGTTACGTAATGGCTGAACAAAGAATGTGAACTATGCAGACGTCAATGTTATAAATGGTAGATGTCAATAAATGATGATATATATCTAAATACAGTCAAACCTGCTCATTTTGACCACCTCTATTAGAGAACACCTGTGTTAAGAGATCAGACCACTTTTAAAAGTTCTTGATTGTAGTTATTTCGTTCTGAACCTAAATCTTTATCAGGAAACCACCTGTGTTAACAGACAACCTGTGTAAATAGACCACAAATCACACTTTTGACAGTTTCCCATTATAGTAATTTCATTGTGAACTTTAACTCTTGACCACCTGTGTTAAGAGACCACCTGAGTATTAGAGACCACAGACCACTTTTAAAAGTTCCCCATTGTAGTGATTTCGTTGTGAACTAAACTTGCACCTGTGTTAACAGACCATTTGTGTAAACAGACCACTTGTGTTAACAGACCACTTGTGTTAACAGACCACCTGTGTTAACAGACCACTTGTGTTAACAGACCACTTGTGTTAACAGACCACTTGTGTTAACAGACCACTTGTGTTAACAGACCACTTGTGTTAACAGACCACTTGTGTTAACAGACCACTTGTGTTAACAGACCACTTGTGTTAACAGACCACTTGTGTTAACAGACCACTTGTGTTAACAGACCACTTGTGTTAACAGACCACTTGTGTTAACAGACCACTTGTGTTAACAGACCACTTGTGTTAACAGACCACTTGTGTTAACAGACCACTTGTGTTAACAGACCACTTGTGTTAACAGACCACTTGTGTTAACAGACCACTTGTGTTAACAGACCACTTGTGTTAACAGACCACTTGTGTTAACAGACCACTTGTGTTAACAGACCACTTGTGTAAACAGACCACTTGTGTTAATAGACCACCTGTGTTAACAGACCATTTGTGTAAATAGACCACCTGTGTTAACAGACCACTTGTGTTAACAGACCACCTGTGTTAACAGACCACCTGTGTTAACAGACCACTTGTGTTAACAGACCACTTGTGTTAACAGACCAGACCACCTGTGTTAACAGACCACTTGTGTTAACAGACCACTTGTGTTAACAGACCAGACCACTTGTGTTAACAGACCAGACCACTTGTGTAAACAGACCACCTGTGTTAACAGACCACTTGTGTAAACAGACCACCTGTGTTAACAGACCATTTGTGTAAACAGACCACTTTTGGGATTGGGACTTCCTCAGTTGGTCTCTTAATACAGGGCCCATATTCATAAAACTGTTCTCAATTCTGTGCTCAAACCAACTTTCTTATAACTCACTTAAATCATGTCAAATGATCAAAAAGTCAAATGTAAGCACTGATAACAGTATTTGTCTTTAAGTCTCCTGAAAGTTTTCCAAATCATTGACAAAATTACATTTTATTTATTAATTCATAACGGAAAAAGTAATTAAGCCTAAGCACAAAATCCATGCTTGAGAACGGTTTCATGAATACGGGTCCTGGTCAGTTTGTTTTCTCCCTACATTGTAAGTAAATTCTCACCTGATCTGACTATCAGTGTGATAACCCAAGTGTTCAGTATTTAGCACGAGTAATAACGGCTATTCAACGTGACCTCTGTAAGATACATCAAGTGACATAGCAATTATTGGTAATATTTTTCTCAGAATTTCAACTTGATTTAGTAAAAAGTAAAAAAAATGCTGAATTAAAAACTAAATAAAAAATATTACTCATTATCATATATCAAATGTTATAAGTTAAAATTAACTGAATTTAAATTTCAAATTTCAAAAAAATTGTACAGGTGATGAGAACTTGTTTGAAATAATTTATCTGCGACATTTTAAGCTCATGATTCTCTCTAAACAGTGTCGTTACTTGTACAAATTTCCTCCTGAATTTAGACTTCCGGAAGTTCCTTTTAGATGACTAGCTAGCTTAGTATTAACCAAGTCACCTGTCTGTAATGTAAGCGATACAGAGTCTCAGGGCAATACAACCCAGGAACATCACAGCAGTGTTAACAAGCTGAGGTGCTGGATTTAGGTAGGAATTCTCTGTAACTGTCAAAGTGCATCATCATTATTTGTGTTTATATGTAACATTCCTGAGCTACTGGCCTGTTTCTTTGAGGTGCTTCTTCAGCTGAGTATAAAGATTCGAAAAATATTTGTCATGGAAAGTTTGTAAGAGTAAAGTATAGCATGAAAAATTAAAAGCATCTACTCTAGAAGTTTTGATTAAATTTAAACAAAATATGGGAAAAAAAATCTTCCCTAGAAGATCGGTTCAAAATTAAACAAAATATGAAGATAAAATACATCTTCCCTAGAAGATCAGCTCAAAATTAAGTAAAATATAAAATAAAAACACATACACTGGAAATTTCATTGCAGGTTTTTGTGTGTTCGATCGGCCAGAAATCTGGCTGACTGTTGTATATTTATAAGTGGATACATGTTAGCTACGTGGAGTTGTTGACAGTAGTGTGCAGACAGAAACACACAGGTAGATATTAGGGTCTGTGGCAGGTATTCTCCAGGTTGAGGTAGAAACATCAATAAAGGCCTAGTAGAGAGTGTATAAGGTAGTCTAACATGCACATATGATAACTTAACAAACACATATTCATGGTCACTTACATATGTATCTATTTTCATACTTTTAAAACAGGTATTTGAATTGGGAATTCACTCTTTAAAAATGTTAAATTTGACAATATTTTAAACATTGTCTGAGGTACACGAAGTCCTAGAAAAAAACCACCTAAATACAATTGAGGGTCAAATCTAATGAATTTATTTTGTGCTGTATCCTGTTTTATCCTGAAGTGCATCATTTATCCAAAAAGAGGTCTAAATCATTGACTTATTGAACTTTGGGGAGTTAAGTAAACTCTTTGCAGAAAACAGTACAAATAATTTTTCATACATGGTTATTGAGAGAACAATTTAAAGATAGATTGGTTTGGAAACTTTTTCATGAAAAAAAATTGTCGAACTGTTCATTTTGATAATATAAAAACCGATTAGGCCTTAACACAATGATTTCTCTTCTGAAGTGCTGGAAAGTTATATTGAAGATTTGGCCATATAGATTGAGATTGATAGAGACAGACATACAAATTGAGATACAAAGTCATACAAATTGAGATACAAAGTCATACAAATTGAGGTACAAAGTCTTACAAATTGAGATACAAACTCATACAAATTGAGATACAAACTCATACAAATTGAGATACAAAGTCAAACAAGTTGAGATACAAACTCATACAAATTGAGATACAAACTCATACAAATTGAGATACAAACTCATACAAATTGAGTTATACAACAAGATCATACAAATTAGGAAACAAAATCATACAAATTGGGATTCAAAATCATACAAGTAATTATAAGGTAGCATATATCATTGAATGATCTTACAGTCAATGCTATGACAAGAAACGTGCATCAAGTCACATAAAGATTTACATTGACAGTTCGCCTATACATTGTATTGGGGAATTAATATCTAGAATTTGGAAAATTGATATTTTTTTGTGTATGTCCCATACACACAAAAAAATATCAAATTTCCAAATTCTAGATATTATTCCCCAATACAATACTTTAGCTGTGTAATATTTATAATTGTTAACTGTCAAAGTGCATCATCCTTATTTGTGTTTATGTAACATTCCTGAGCTACTGGCCTGTTTCATAAAGATTCGAAAAATATTTGTCATGGAAAGTTTGTTAGAGTAAAGTAAAGCATGAAAAATTAAAAGCATCTACTCTAAAAGTTTTGTTTCAAATTAAACAAAATACGAAAATAAAAAACATCTTCCCTAGAAGATCGGTTCAAAATTAAGTAAAATGTAAAAATAAAAACATATACACTTGAATTTTCATTATAATTAAGCTAGGTACAAATGTATGAAGATTTTAAAATATCTAGTATAGACATTTACCGTTACTACTTTGCAGAATTGTGTGTTCGATCGGCCAGAAATCTTGCTGACTGTTGTATATTTATAAGTGGGTACACGTTAGCTACTTGAAGTTGTTGACTGTGTGCAGACAGAAACACACAGGTAGATATTAGGATCTGTGCCAGGTATTCTCCAGGTTGAGGTAGATGTATTTTTTTGTGTATGGTACCTTGAGCTGTGTAATATTTATAATTGCAGTCCCTGACGAAAAGACAACATGACCAACAGGAAGCAGTGTGGGAGCTTCTACAGACAGAGGTCTTCTATATACGGTCACTACGGGTCATTACTGATGTAAGTTAATTGTCTACTATATACAGTCACTACGATGCAAGTTACTTTTTGAAAAAATGGAATAAATGATAGCGGAGGGGCATGTATGCCTTTTCCGTAAGCATGTCTATATGATATCTAGTTAGACTTTGCATTTTAACTCATTCACCTGTACATAATTAAACTGGACTTGCCCAGTCCTTGATTTGGTTAAATTCAAATGTGACTAAATTAGGGGTGAATGGGTCAAGCTCCATTACTCTAAACTAGAAGTCCAACAGACGTCAATCTTTGTTTGTAAGTATGTCTCAAGAGTACTACACCATTAATATCAAATATAGGTCATTGTGACCTGTATTTTCTGCTTCACTGACTTTGAATAAATTTTACATTTGGCTCTCTTAAAGCTATGACATACTGTAGAATTATTCATTTTCGTAGGGTCAAAATTTCGTGGTTTTCATACACAAGCCTGTTTCAAGGACATTACATTTCTCTGATTTCTGATTTCCCCCTATCTATATCATACCAAATTTAGGTTTTCGTGGGGATTTAATTTCATGGATTTTTGTTATCCACAAAATAAACGAAATTTAATGTCCCACGGAAATTTATGATTTTACAGTACATCTATGTTTTAGAAACATTTTCTTGTATTTTATTTGGCTATTCAAAAATTGTATAATATCAATGTGGAAATATGCACATTAAGAAATGTTTTTGTATTGGTTTCCCAAATTCATGTTATGGAAAGTTTTTGGTTGGCTATGTATTTTGTATAGTGTGTCAATAGGTGGGTGTAAGCTCTGGTTTAGTCAATGCATTTAATAGGGAAAGTTTTGCAATTCAGCAGTATGTCAAATGTCGAATTATTGTATACCTGGAAATATATTCACCGCAATTTAATTCTCGCCTTTTTTGCCTCTGTAATGAAGGAGAAGTTATCTTAACAGTGACCTTTTGTAAACAACTGTAATAGTTAAATGTGAAGGGCAAATTTAATAATGGGCAAAAATGGATTTTACTGTCTAAGAGCAAAATTTGACTGGGCAAAAAAAAAAACTAGTTATAATGCAGTATTTCAGTGTAGAGTCAAACTTGCTCATGTGACCACCTCCATCCATTAAGAGACCACTTAAATTAAGAGGCCACTTTTAATGTTCCCCGTAGTGATTCAATGTGAATTGAACCTGTATTAAGAGACCACCTTCTTAAAGAGACCACGTTTTGGACTTATGGAGGGTGTTCTCTTCATAAAGTTTGACTGTATTCATTCCTATGCAGTAATCAGTATGAAGGTCTTCTTTTGAAATTTCTTAGTGACATAATTGTTATGTATGTAAAGTTTAAAAGCTTAATGGTTTGATAAACACAAGAAAATGAACTGTCTATCAGCAGCTGACGATTTACATAACATGGTTGTTTTTGTCATTCCAGCTGTTCATGTGCTGTCTCATCAATCTTCAAAGTGAACAATTATTGAACGAGGTAGGTTAAATGCTGCATAAACATATAATCTCCGCCTGTCTACACGCTGTAATAACATGTCTTTGTGTGCATATAGACTTCAGCCATCTGTGACGCCCCGCATCACGATCATTTCTGAGGTATAACAAAGATACAAAGGCAGCGTGACCGAATCGTCTGTACTTTTGTGGAAATCAATGTAAATGTTCTGCTTTTATCTGGTTTAAAATTTGAATTTTGTATAGCTGCTATCATTTCTGTGTAATAATGTGTTTTTGATAATTTTTAACTAAAAGTAAACATCCATGCAATTTAACATTGCAATATTGCAGATTTTCTACTACAAATATCAAAAAGGGGACAAGATTTTCCTGAAGTTTATAAATTGTTTCTATTTCCTGTCATTTTCAATATTAAAATGTCCAAGAAATAATAGTTATGTCTTTCAAGGAAGTTGTCTTTGATATTTAAAACAAAACAGTCACACTTCCTTGTGGTTGGATTGCTTTTTCGATTGATTATTAACTCATTCGCCCCTAAAGACACATTTGAACTCTTCCAATTCAAAGTTGGAATAGTTCGTTATGAAATTTTAGGGGTGAATGCATGTGTTGATATTAAAATGTGTATCATTTCTTATTGTTGTACATATTTAACAGTAGAATGTATTTGAATTATTACAAGGAAGCATGATCAGGTACAGTAATTGTATATTTAATTCTATAACTTTGTAATTTAATTGTTTCTCTTTCCCCTTCAGATTGACACGGAGCGACTGTTCTCCAATATCGGGGATATAGCCTACACAAATAGCTCTTTCTGGGAGAATTCACTGTCCAAAGTATTACAGAGTTCAAGGCAGTCTCGTCTCCCCCTCAATCCCTCAGACATGAAAGAGGGCTTCAAGCAGGTATGGACTGACCGCTGGTCAATTAGTACTCATTTCAACTTATTTGAGTTTTATCCTGCACATCATTTGATGATAATGATACTGAATCTGCAGAGGTGTATGTGTTTGAGTTTTGATTTGAAAATTATGAAAAAAATTCCAAGATTTTGATATTACCTGAACATGCCGTGATTAAGTTTAAATATTTATCATATTTTGCTTGATTAAAATAAAGTTTCTAGATATTTAAATTTATTTAAGGATCCCCGTACCGCCAAAAACTGAAATTTATCGTTGAAAACTTTATTTTCCAGCATGACTATATCTTGCTGGACTTTTATGAGAAATAATAAAGATGAAATAAATAAAATATAATCAACAACAGTGTTCTGAATGAAATAATTCAGTGGGGCTAGACTTGTGTACAGACACTGGACTTAGGATTGTTATATTATCGCTCTAACCAATCGAGCTGCCAGTTCAATGGAAGTGTCCTGGCCCAACTGTGCTACAGTTATATCCAAACAGAAGTTAAGGGGAGGTAACTCTATATAGGAAAAACCACAGTGCAGGGGGACAGGGATCCTAAGGAAGTTAAGGGAAGGTAACTGTATATAGGAAAAAAACACAGTGCATGGGGACAGGGATCCTAAGGAAGTTAAGGGGAGGTTACTGTAAATAGGGAAAACCACAGTGTAGGGAGACAGGGATCCTAAGGAAGTTAAGAGGAGGTAACTGTATATAGGGAAAACCACAGTGTAGGGGGACAGGGATCCTAAGCAAGTTAAGGGGAGGTTACTGTATATAGGAAAAACCACAGTGTAGGGGGACAGGGATCCTAAGGAAGTTAAGGGTAGGTAACTGTATATAGGAAAAAAACACAGTGCATGGGGACAGGGATCCTAAGGAAGTTAAGGGGATGTAACTGTATATAGGAAAAAAACACAGTGTAGGGGGGCAGGGATCCTTAGGAAGTTAAGGGGAGGTTACTCTAAATAGGGAAAACCACAGTGTAGGGGGACAGGGATCCTAAGGAAGTTAAGGGTAGGTAACTGTATATAGGAAAAAACCACAGTGCATGGGGACAGGGATCCTAAGGAAGTTAAGGGGATGTAACTGTATATAGGAAAAAAACACAGTGTAGGGGGGCAGGGATCCTTAGGAAGTTAAGGGGAGGTTACTCTAAATAGGGAAAACCACAGTGTAGGGGGACAGGGATACTTAGGAAGTTAAGGGGAGGTTACTGTATATAGGAAAAAACACAGTGCATGGGGACAGGGATCCTAAGGAAGTTAAGGGGAGGATACTGTATTTAGGGAAAACCACAGTGTAGGGGGACAGGGATCCTAAGGAAGTTAAGGGGAGGTAACTGTATATAGGAAAAAAACACAGTGTAGGGGGACAGGGATCCTTAGGAAGTTAAGGGGAGGTTACTGTAAATAGGGAAAACCACAGTGTAGGGGGACAGGGATACTTAGGAAGTTAAGGGGAGGTTACTGTATATAGGGAAAAACAGAGTGCAGGGGGACAGGGATCCTAAGGAAGTTAAGGGGAGGTTACTGTATATAGGAAAAAACACAGTGCAGGGGGACAGGGATCCTAAGGAAGTTAAGGGGAGGTAACTGTATATAGGAAAAACCACAGTGTAGGGGGACAGGGATCCTAAGGAAGTTAAGGGGAGGTTACTGTATATAGGGAAAACCACAGTGTAGGGGGACAGGGATCCTAAGGAGGTTAAGGGGATGTTACTGTATATAGGGAAAACCACAGTGCAGGGGGACAGGGATCCTAAGGAAGTTAAGGGGAGGTCGCTGTATATAGGGAAAACCACAGTGTAGGGGGACAGGGAACCTAAGGAAGTTAAGGAGAGGTAACTGTATATAGGAAAAACCACAGTGTAGGGAGACAGGGATCCTAAGGAAGTTAAGGGGAGGTAGCTGTATATAGGGAAAACCACAGTGTAGGGGGACAGGGATCCTAAGGAGGTTAAGGGGATGTTACTGTATATAGGGAAAACCACAGTGCAGGGGGACAGGGATCCTAAGGAAGTTAAGGGGAGGGTACTGTATATAGGAAAAACCACAGTGTAGGGGGACAGGGATCCTAAGGAAGTTAAGGGGAGGTTACTGTATATAGGAAAAACCAAAGTGCATGGGGACAGGGATCCTAAGAAAGTTACGGGGAGGTAACTGTATATAGGAAAAAACACAGTGCAGGGGGACAGGGATCCTAAGGAAGTTAAGAGGAGGTAACTGTATATAGGAAAAAACACAGTGCAGGGGGACAGGGATCCTAAGGAAGTTAAGGGGGGGTTACTGTATATAGGAAAAAACACAGTGCATGGGGACAGGGATCCTAAGGAAGTTAAGAGGAGGTAACTGTATATAGGAAAAAACACAGTGAAGGGGGACAGGGATCCTAAGGAAGTTACCGGGAGGTAACTGTATATAGGAAAAAACACAGTGCAGGGGGACAGGGATCCTAAGGAAGTTAAGAGGAGGTAACTGTATATAGGGAAAACCACAGTGTAGGGGGACAGGGATCCTAAGGAAGTTAAGGGGATGTTACTGTATATAGGGAAAACCACAGTGCAGGGGGACAGGGATCCTAAGGGAGTTAAGGGGAGGTTACTGTATATAGGAAAAAACACAGTGCATGGGGACAGGGATCCTAAGGAAGTTAAGGGGAGGTTACTGTATATAGGAAAAAAACACAGTGCAGGGGGACAGGGATCGTAAGGAAGTTAAGGGGAGGTAACTGTATATAGGAAAAAATACAGTGCAGGGGGACAGGGATCCTAAGGAAGTTAAGAGGAGGTAACTGTATATAGGAAAAAACACAGTGAAGGGGGACAGGGATCCTAAGGAAGTTAACGGGAGGTAACTGTATATAGGAAAAAACACAGTGCAGGGGGACAGGGATCCTAAGGAAGATAAGGGGAGGTTACTGTATATGGGAAAAAACACAGTGCAGGGGGACAGGGATCCTAAGGAAGTTAAGGGGGGGTAACTGTATATAGGAAAAAAACACAGTGTAGGGGGACAGGGATCCTAAGGAAGTTAAGGGGATGTTACTGTATATAGGGAAAACCACAGTGCAGTGGGACAGGGATGGAAGATAAGGGGAGGTTACTGTATATAGGAAAAACCATAGTGTAGGGGGACAGGGATCCTAAGGAAGTTAAGGTGAGGTTACTGTATATGGGAAAAAACACAGTGCAGGGGGACAGGGATCCTAAGGAAGTTAAAGGGAGGTTACTGTATATAGGAAAAAACACAGAGCAGGTGGACAGGGATCCTAAGGAAGTTAAGGGGAGGTAACTGTATATAGGAAAAAACACAGAGCAGGGGGTCAGGGATCCTAAGGAAGTTAAGGGGAGGTTACGGTATATAGGAAAAACCACAGTGCATGGGGACAGGGATCCTAAGGAAGTTAAGGGGATGTTACTGTATATAGGGAAAACCACAGTGCAGGGGGACAGGGATCCTAAGGAAGATAAGGGGAGGTTACTGTATATAGGAAAAACCACAGTGTAGGGGGACAGGGATCCTAAGGAAGTTAAGGGGAGGTTACTGTATATAGGAAAAAATACAGTGCAGGGGGACAGGGATACTAAGGAAGTTAAAGGGAGGTTACTGTATATAGGAAAAAACACAGAGCAGGGGGACAGGGATCCTAAGGAAGTTAAGGGGAGGTTACTGTATATAGGAAAAAAACACAGTGTAGGGGGACAGGGATCCTAAGGAAGTTGAGGGGGGTTACTGTATATAGGAAAAAACACAGAGCAGGGGGACAGCGATCCTAAGGAAGTTAAGGGGGGTTACTGTATATAGGAAAATACACCGTGTAGGGGACAGGGATCCTAAGAAACCACCTGTGTATATTTACCACCTGTACTTTATAACTACAATTATGCTTATAAACATTACAGTACGCTCAAAACTCATGCCCAAAAAATTATTTTTTAAGGATGGATAACTATCAGTACTGTGTAGTCATTAAAAGAAATATTTAAAATTCTTAGAGAATAGTGAAAATTATTTATGCTTAGTAATTTAAATGAGTAATTTCACAAATTCTCGCTGAAAAGCAACTGATTTTTGTGTGAACTGTTAGAAATCTGTTTCTAAATTAAATTATTCACCCCGGAAGACACATTTGAACTCCTCTAATTCAAAGGTTGGAATAGTTCATTATGAAATTTCTGGGATGAATGAGTTAAAGAATTAGTCTTTTTACAAAGTAGTAAATTTACATTTTTCCATTTCAGTTCCCTGATCTGTTGAGTCCCTACACGAAATATTTCTCCGAGCAGAAGGCTTGTGCCGACTACATGAAGAATCGATATAGTGAAAACGAGTTATTTAAAACTTTTGTGGTGGTACGTATTGAAAGTAATGCATAAGAAATAACAACAAAAGTTTGATGTTCAACACATCTTTTCATAAATGTTTTTTTGGAGATCTTCATCCTCGATACTCCAGGGGTTACACTCACTTTCGCTCTCTGCACCCCTGTAAGATGTCATAGCGAAATTTAAGGCTCAGTGTGCACCACCTTGTGGCTGAGATGAGAAGACTAGTTTGATCCTTTGATGTTCATCAAAAGAATCTGTTGGTCAGGTAACAGTGAAATTGACTGGCTTTGAAGTTTGGCGTTGCTCCTCTGTAATCTTCAAAGGACAGGTATTAGCCTAGAGATTGTTTTTTAACCTCAGTGACCAATTAAACAGCTAGCCACATGCTTTCGATTTCGCTAAGTCATATTCCAGGAGTGCAGAGAGTGAAAGTGAGCATAACCCCTGGAGTATCGAGAATGGTAGATATTCAGCCGACCTTGTAATCATTGTTTATAAAACTTGAATGGAATAAAATTATCTAGAATGTTTCTGTGAAATATAACACGAGTTATCATGCATTCTTGAACTAGGAAAGAAGGGAAGATTGTTTGATATAGTGATTGTGGGAAATAGTGTCATACAAATGTACAAGATTTCAGATGTTCAGATATGGCCCAGGTATTTGAAACAATCTCATGTCTAAATTTGCATTAAGTTTTGACCTAGCCAATCACAAATAATGTCATGAAATGTGACGTCATACATGATTGGCTATGCAAAAACTTCAGTCTAAGATTGTTTCATGATCCAGGGGCCAGCTCTTCAATATTGTACGAATAAGGGAAATATATCCAGAGAAACTTTAATATACGAGGGAAACAGGATGTTTTATTTCCCTGTCATGTGATCATGCAATATAGCCCAATCGGACACACTGTTATATAGATAAAGTATAATGATAATGTTGGATTTCTTCCACAGTGGGCCGAGACACAGAAACAGTGCAATCGTCTGAAGTTGACCGACTTGCTGGTCAAGCCAATGCAGAGACTGACCAAATACTCCCTGCTGCTTCAGGCTATATTACGTAAAACGGATGATGAGAAACAGCGAAAGGATGTCCTGGAAATGGTGGGTCAAAATCTGTACTGTCAATACCTGACAGTCGATGCCAATCTTTCAGATCCAAACGGAACTTATTTCACCTCAGACGAAAAAAAGTCCAGAAAATATTTGTTTGGAGCTGTTGTATAGTGACCCTTCAGTTTTCATTATCACGTTAGAGGTCGAAAGTTTGACTGGGTGAAAATGTTCCCCGTATACCGTATATCAATTAATTGTGATATGAAAAAATGGTAACGTTTTTGTCGTAATGAATCTGGAATAGTTTCTGACGGAGTTGCTTCCCTTTATTTCAGATTGCCAGTGTGGATCGATTTGTCTTCCAAGTTAACGCATCACTAAGACAACGACACGAACAGGAACGCCTCGCCACCATAATGACGAAAATAGAATCATACGAGGCTGTGGAGGCACCTAACGATGAAAGCTTAAAGGTATGGAAAATCAATTATTTTTGATACGCCCAGAGGGTACATTATAAATTTAAAAAAGAGGTAAAATAGGTCCTATATAGTACAAATACATGTATTCCCCATCCCCAATTCAACCATTTTGAACAGCATACCAGGAAAATTTTTGTGGCATTTTAATTTTTGCCTTTTTTTGCCCTCTGCAATGAGGGCGAATTTATCATGACAGCAAATATTGGAACACAGCATACCCTCTACAGTAATTACATGAAAAGGGCAAACATGGATTTTACCGGTGACAGGCAAATATTGAAATGGGCGAAAGTTTCCTGGAAAGTCCTCAGGGCCTGTCTCTGGGTAGAATTCTCATTCGTCAAGTCTTTTTCACAAAAGGGGTGTGATTGACATCACACATAGACTTATTAACTTTTTAGAGGGGAAAAGGGGACTTTTAAAGTGATGGTACTATTCTTGACGTGTTAAATGAAGCAATGAAGTTGCTTTATATTGTTTACAGTAATTTGACATTGTACACTGCAGTTATTCATCAAAAAAGAAATGACTATAGATCACGTATTAAATTGATATTTCCTTCTGTTGATATATCGTTTGAGAATTTGTTGTATAATTCGTTAATGTTTGTTTTACAGTATCTACAGGAATATAACAACAACTTTGACCTGCGGGCCCCCATGCCGGGTTGTGCCGGAGGTCAGACTCGCTCACTCATTATGCAGTCAGTGCTCCGCCTCAAAGACTCTCAGTCACGGGTGAGTGACCATTCATTACACAGTGAAAATATGCTGATAGACATAACCAGTACATTTCCTGATTCATACATGTTGCTACCATTCGTTTATCGTGATCCAAACGGGTAGAACCGGTTGGACCAGAGTTGTTCGTTTAGGAAATAAGGTTGGATCTTAGTAATCTGTTGCTGCTTTCAGGCATGCCTGGACGCAAAGCCTTGCAAGGCCTGCATAAACATTTGCAGGTCAGCCAGGATTTATACCTGAAATATATTACATTAAAAAACGGACAAACCGGTTGAACCAGATAGGCAAAATAGGCCTTTGTCCTCTGTTGGTGAATCTGCATACACTTTCTTTTCTGTTTGTGCTATTTATTTTGAAGACTTTTGAGCAGAGAAAAGTCTGTGAGTCGTACTACCATGTCAAATTGTCACTATCTTGACCATTCCTTTGTTACTCATATTGTAAAATCTACAATACAGCTTGTATGTAACTCGTCATGTTGTTAATTTATTTAAATATATTTTTTTATATTTTAAGCAAACTTGACCATTTCAATTTAATGATGACCGTTCTATTTTAGTTGGACGTTGAGTGTCTCTTGTTCACTGACCTCTTCCTTATATGCAAACCCAGTAAAAGGATGGAGAAGTACAAAATTATCAAGGCCCCTATGAGAGTCGACCGGATAATCACACAGGAACTTAAGGACAAGGGTAGGTAACTCCTCTCACCACACGGGCCATTTTCACAATACAGGTGTTGTTTTTTATAATTCTTATTCACAACTAGGAAAGTTCACAGAATATCTTGATCAAAACCAGTCTTTGTTTTGTTTTTGGTATTAATTAAAAAATAAATTGATGATGTGATTAATTAATTTATACATTCATGGGCAAGACCTCATTTTATGTTCTTTTACAAATGTTTGTCAGACTATTTCATTTAAGTTTATCAACTCACAACCTGACATCTGGAACACTCACTTAGTGTTCTCCAAAAATTCTCAAATGAAGTGTGTTCTTACCCCCCAAACGGTTAATTGTACTCCTATTTTTCAAGAACTGTCTTATATAACTAAGTAATTTGTGGTACAGAGTTTTGTATATCCAGTGTGCTAGTACTTGTTCTTGCAACAAATATATCTGTACTAGGATTCTATGGGTATAACCATCAGATACTGTTCCCACAAAAATAACTTTGAATTTCTGCGGACAGGAATTAAAAAAAAAGCATTGTTTAAATATTTTAACATGATTTTAACCCTTTCACCTCTATGTAACTTTAGTAGACTCTACCATGCATTAATATGGATGAGTCCATTATGGTCTACAGTGGTGAAAGTGTTAAGCTGTTTAGAATGATAATCAAACAATTTAGTGCATAATTTTATTCAGTGGCTGTGTAATCAATTTATGTTACCGTCCTGACTTACAGAAACTTGTTGAAATGTGTCATTGGCAACCGTTCTGTTAACCAGCATTCACTTGAATCGTTATTGTTTTGTAACAGGTTTATATGTCTGTCTGTTTAATGCCAAGGTGAATATGTTCGGTATTGAGTTCAGGGCTCATATTCATGAAACCGTTCCCATACTCAAACTCAGATTCTGTGCCCAAGCTCAATTTCTTGTACCGATGAGAAACATATTTAAATATAATATTTAGTCTATGATTTGGACGAATTCTGGAGAGACTTCAAACTGAATACTGTTTAAAATGTTACACATAACATTTTTAGGTCACCTGAGCTTTGCTCAAGTGACCTATTCCAATCGCTTTTCGTCCGTCGTCGTCTGTCGTGCGTCGTGCGTCGTGCGTAAACTTTTACATTTTCAACTTCTTCTCAAGAACCAGTGAATGGATTTTTTTCAAACTTGGTCAGAATCATCCTTGGTAGATGAGGCTTCAAAATTGTAAAATTGGGATTCCTACCCCAACCCCTGGGGCCAGGGCGGGGCCCCAAAGGGAAAATTATCCAATATTTCAAAAATCTTCTTCTCCAGACTCAGAGGTACTACAGTGATTTTCTCTACGTGGAAAGAAAGATCATCAGGGGCTTTACTTAAATTGTAAATTTCAGGACCCCCGAGCTATCCGTTCTCCCTTGGGGAGGGGGTAAAGTTTACTATAGTTTATATAGGGAAATAACACTTTTGGGTATATTTTGACAACTTTCTGTAGGAAATTATTTTTACTTGGTGAGAATTATCCTTGGAGGTAGATGGTTTCAAATTGTAAAATTGAGATTCCTACCCCGACCCCTGGGGCCAGGGCGGGGCCCCAAAGGGAAAATTAATCAATATTTCAAAAATCTTCTTCTCCAGACTCAGAGGTACTACAGTGATTTTCTCTACGTGGAAAGAAAGATCATCAGGGGCTTTACTTAAATTGTAAATTTCAGGACCCCCGAGCTATCCGTTCTCCCTTGGGGAGGGGGTAAAGTTTACTATAGTTTATATAGGGAAATAACACTTTTGGGTATATTTTGACAACTTTCTGTAGGAAATTATTTTTACTTGGTGAGAATTATCCTTGGAGGTAGATGGTTTCAAATTGTAAAATTGAGATTCCTACCCCGACCCCTGGGGCCAGGGCGGGGCCCCAAAGGGAAAATTAATCAATATTTCAAAAATCTTCTTCTCCAGACTCAGAGGTACTACAGTGATTTTCTTTACGTGGAAAGAAAGATCATCAGGGGCTTTATTTAAATTGAAAATATCAGGACCCCGAGCTATCCGTTCTCCCTTGGGGAGGGGTTAACGTTTAATATAGTTTATATAGGGAAATAACACTTTTCGGTATATATTTTATCCATTTTCAGCAGAAAATTGCTCAAACTTAGTCAGAATCATCTTGGGTAAATGAGAGTTTTACTTTGTAAAATTAGGATTCCTGCCCCATCCCCAGGGGCTAGGGCGGGGCCCCAAAGGGAACATTTACCAATATTTTCAAATTCTTATCCATTGATGACATGACAAGTATTGTATTTCACTTAGTTTACATGCTGATTTCCACATCACATCTTAACAATAAAATAAAGCTACCAGTATCTATGATATAACTCAGGTGACCGCTAAGGCCCTTGGGCCTCTTGTTATTATTTTACATGATTTATGTGAGTTACAAGAAAGTCAAGTTGAGCAGAAAATCTGTGTTTGAGCATGAGAACGGTTTCATGAATACAGGCCCTGAATCTGTACATGTCGTGAGTTTCCCCAATGTTTAACTTAATGTGTTGTATTTTACACATTCAGAGTTTTCTCATGGTTTTAACTTTATCTGTTGTTTTTTGTACACAAAAGGGAGTTTTCTGATGATTTACCTGAACGAGTACCACGTACCTGTGTCAGCATTTACATTCCACGGCGATCAAGCTGCTGTCAGAGTGTGGCTGGAACATATACGAAAAGCCCAGGTCAGGGGAGACAACCCTACTTTTTCTTAATCTTAACCTCCATTGATATGTGTTGTGAACTGTACTATCAACTGAAATAAATCTGTTAATGTGAAAAATAGTTTTTGATTTGTATAAATGTACCGGTACTTATAATTTTATCAGTAAAATTATTTTTGAAGTAGAAATTTTAAGGGATTTTGACGAATTTCCCTCGGCTCATTTCAAAACATATATTTATAAACTTATCACATCTAGATTATGTGACATCATTTCAAACTTTCAAATTGATTACTTGAATAAGAAATAATTACCTGTATTTTGTGTTCACAGGCACTATATCGTGAAATTCGTAACCCGACACAGGGTTCCAATAGTTACTCTTACCTGTCTGGGGAACTGGTGGAGGAGCAAGTGATCAATGTAACGCCCATCTCACCCCTCCCCTTGGACCAACCTGATGTCGTCATGTCGCGCTCGGCTGGCAATGATCCTGCAGGTCAACACTTCCTGTTTCCTAACAATGCCGCTGGTCAATCTAGCCCTGGGCGCATATCACCTATGAGCAACGAACCGCAATCTCCCACACCTTATGTCAGTCATCCACGCCCCGCAAAGTCTCACAGTTACCATGGTGATGAACAGCATCACAAACATGTGCAATCCTCAAACTCTGTGCCAAGTTTCGTTGACAGTATACCTGACGATGACCGATTACATATTCCGCACTCGACAGGGTCATCTGCCAATAGCGATTCTTCCCTACCAGATATTGTCGACGAGAATCAAAAGGTGAAACTTAGTCAACGAAGGTCATCACGCAATGGAAGTCGCTACATCACTGCAGATCATATACAGGACTTGAATAAAGACGATAAAGATACCAGCATTCATAAACGTCTCTCATGGAACTACGGTACTTCAGACAATGATGAGAGACAAGGTGTTCTGAAAACCAAAACTCAAAGTTCGGACTCTCTCAGGAGTATACATAGCTCTAGTGGTGTAAGTTCGACAGGATCTCTACACCTCAGTCCGGAGGAGATGGAGTATAGTTCCAATAACCACGGTGATATTTGTACAATTCATGAGTGTAGGCATGACGATTGTGATGTTAATGAATTGCACCGGAATTCTGAGCAAAACGACATATCCACGTTGTTTCAGGCCATGTCGACGAGCGAAATCAATCAGGGTATTGTGTCTGTAGACCTGCCTTCTTTCGAGAAAAAACTCACGCATGCGCAACTGATGAAAATGAAGAAACAACTCCTTCTTTCTTCCAATGTAGAGGCCAGGTAAGTTGTACAAAAACAGTATGTCGTCAAACTAACACAGGTCTTTGTCTTCTACAGTTTTGTGGTGGCAAACACCTGCAGTCTTTTGTCTATAACAGTTGATTAAGGTCAAACTTCCACACTTTTGTATCCCAAACAGTGTCATGTAGTCAGACTTTCTGCGCTCTCGTGTCTCAAACAATATTTTTGGGTCAAACTTTGGCACTTTTGTCTTAAACAATTTCATAGGATCAAACTTCCACACTTTGTGTATCTAGTAGTTTATTCAGGTTTGATTAGTAGCGGTATCAAATAAAGTAAAACACTAATGGTCAGATGATGCAGCGGGTTACACACATGTCTTTTACTAAGGGGGCCTGGCGTTGATTCCCTGATTGGATGTGAAAAAGTATGGGGTCACCTGCCCGGCCTCGTGTTTATTTTTAAGTCCTTACACTTAAATCTTCATCTCTTGTCAAGAGCCTGTGATCTCTGTTAGAGTCAAGGGTATATGTGCTACCTTACACAAAATACCTGTGATTTGTGTTAGAGTTAAGGTTATGTACTACCTCACACATTCCATTGATTTTTGTTAGAGTCAAGGGTAAATGCTAGCTACCTTACACATTATACCTGTGATTTTTGTCAGAGTTAAGGGTAATTGCTAGCTACCTTACACATTATACCTGTGATTTTGCTGCACTTGTCATCTCAATGGACTTGTATTCACTAGGATATTATCAATAAATTATCAAATTCTCATTTTGAAACTCTTATGGAAATACAATAGGTCGCACTAATTAAGTCAGCTGTTTATCTCTAAACGATGTCTAATACTTTGTACCGTTTTCTATTTCAGTGAAGTATGATTGCAATATGGAGAACCTGTCAACGCCGTCTGTGATTAATTCCTCAATTCCTGTGCTTTCCTTTTTGGTTTGGTGAACGAGTGCTTTACACATTGTGATGTACCAAAGGTTGTGAATGGCTGCATTATTATTCTTGGTAATGAAACAAAGGGTGTGATTGGTCAAAATGTTTGAGAACACAATCACATGTCAAACTGACATAAGGAAGAGTATGATCGGCTGAAGAGTTGAGCCGTATTAATTCAGCCCGTGTCGTTCACAGCTTAAAGTGGCTGGATTACACTTTGTGATACGAAAAACGGAAATCCGTCCCCAAATATCTGGCAGGATCCTGGGACAACCGGACAGGAAGTGTATGGATTAGGGAGGTCCGAATTACTGGCATGTGATTATATAATGTACCAAAGGATCTGATTGGCTGTATGCTTTACCCTAAGGAGATAGGGTGTTGAATGTGATTTCCTATACATGACAATTATGTAAACCCAAATGTGATTGGATGTCTTGTGTACAGCAAGATGTTATGTGACTTGTGATTGGTTGATGAGATGTTAGTGATGTTTGGAAGGTTCTGAAGACTGTGTGGAAGTAAAAAAAGTCGACATTCCATTTGTGGGGATCAGGTGTCCAGAGTATATGTTGATATCAGGCCCGTGGATAAAAGGCTGTAAAGATCTGAAAGTGAACTATAAAGTCAAATTCCATATGGTGAACACCTGGCTATCATGTTGTTTACCTGTGTCACACCCGAGTTAACCTGTATCACATGCAATTTGCAATATGACACCTGTGTTTGTACCTATTGTGGCTTAACTATCATAAAGTCACATCCTCTGTTGGCCTATATCAAGTGCTGAATCAAGGGTCTATACTCAATTTTTTGTACCAATATATGTTAATAAAGGTACAATTTCCCACATTTCTGTTAAATCCGGCAATGTATGGAGGCTATGCTGATATTATGAATCTTCTGGTGGCTACCCGGATCGTTCCATAAATTAAGGGGACATAACTCAAATAGTTTCTGATGGTTCTTCTGATCTGGATGCTACTTTGACGTTTCCATTAATCAAGGAAGATTTTTATCAGAGGACATAACTCTGATATTTCCCTGTTATTCAGAGGGGAAATAACTCTGTGATGTTTATAAAACCAGATGGTTTACCTTTGTTATTCTCATATCAATATACGCGAGTCTTTCACGCACGCCCCCAGATGGTACGTAATGTCCATGACTCGATCACATGGTGACGTAGATTGTTCACTCTTGTTGGGCTGAAAATACCTCCGTACCTCATATGTCTCACCACTGTTATCTACTCTGTGATTGGTTGGTTATATTTATCCATTATCTTATAGGTGTAAATTTTGTACTTTCTCTAAACAAATTAATAACTTACCCGAGTACCCGGATGTAACATTGTTAGTTATGTAAAATGTATATGCAGATCTACTTATTATAACGTAAGCACTTTGTAGATCTGTAATTATATACACTGGTACCACGATGTGGATCTATACGTCTCAGTAGTTAAACAATACATAATAATTAAGGATGTGTGCTATACTTAAGATTAAGGGTGTATGCTACCTAATACATATTTTACCTGTGATGAGTTCATCTTATCTCCCTTTGAAAAACCAATAGATCCTCAGAATTATTTCCCTGTTATCAGTGAACAGTTACATGCATTTATGTGTACATTTAAGAAACAGTAAAACGTAAAACTCTTTATTTCATCTGGTCGGACTTTCATGATATTTTCAGTGGAACTAATTCAGGGAAGTTCAATTTATTTATTTTCCAATTACCGGTACACTGTCAATAGTCATAAATAACTGTCATAAGTATGTGAAACAAATTTGTTAATCTCTTTTTCAAACTCTTAATCAATGAATGTAACAAAAATTAAACCACAGTTTTTCATAAGAAAATATATTACCACTTTCTAAATGGAGAGCTCTTTTGTAAAGAAGTTACATATTGTCATCACTGTCAGGTGGTATACATCCTTAAACTTGCCAATACAATGTGTAACATATTAGGTCTAACCTGACTGCAGATTTTTGAAAAAAATGAATTCAGATTGTCATTTAAGGATTCTTACATATGAACTGGTCACACACAGCATTTGCATTCATTTCACTCCAGAATAAAATGTTTACGATCGATTCAAATTATTTCAATCTGAAGTTATTGGAAAAAAAAAATTATGACAAGGATTCACTGAATTTAATGAACTTTTTACATGTCTCCCAGAATGTATGAGTACTGGTAACTGAATTATATCACTCCAGTATAAGATATTGAAGTTTCTGTTTGAACTTAATGGCAAAATCACAACCAAGAGATGCTTAACATATTAAACTGTTTACATGTCTCTGAATTTCTCGGTAACGGAATCTCTTGGAAGTGACCTGGTGTGCGTAATCTGTCTCAGTGTTGGAGTTGACCACCATTCTTACCACCACGATGTTGTCTGGGAGCCCATTATAACATACGGTACATTGCATGGTAATTGTCTCCGATATCGTAGATTTAAACTCATAATTAAAAGATTTCACAATGCTTTTTCTCTGAATTGTGTATGACAGGAAATGAACGGTGAATTTATATTAACCAGTAGTGTATTTGGGTTAGAAGCATGGAATTCTGAGTCGCTGGTACCGTGAGTGATTATAAATATTCAACTAAGTCGAATTTTGCATAAAATCACTAATCCAAAATCTGATTGTATCAACGAAATGGTCTGTATCAGACGGATAGTGATGTCAGATTGTCATAGAAAGTGTAGATCAACTCATGCAGTACCATAAAACCTTGTTATACTGCCACTATTTGCCTAGAGAAATATGGCATTATTTTTGGCAATGAATTAAGGCAAAGTTATAAAGGCATTCTTAGAGAGGAAAAAAAGAGAAAAAATGGCATTATAAAGAGTTTGATGATAACCTTATAAAGGCATTCTTAGGGGAAAAGAAAAATGGCACTATGAAGGTGTTTCGCAATATTTTGAAACTTAGAAAGGCATTCTGAAGAAAAACGAGACAGAAAAATGGCACTTTAAAGGGGTTTGGCGATAATTGAGGGAAATGAATAAAGAAAATCTTCAGAAATAAAAGAGTGGAAAAATGGATCCTGAAATATCTTGGCAGTAACAAGCAAGGTCACAAATGGAACAACGGGCATTATAACAAGGTTTTACTGTATTTTCTGAAATGGAATATCTGTTAGACACCTGAAAGTAGAATTTTGTAAACCGAGGATACAGATTTTAACTGAATATCAGTAAGGTATTAAAACCTTGCGCAAAGTATATGTTACATTACAGTAGTGTTAATATAAAACACAAGTGCTTTCAGGATTTGTATAGATCTGACGAATTTGTAGCGTATCGTCTTCCTCGTCGTACATAACGCAGGAACAAAGATCTGATTTATATAAGATGGTGTATGATCTGATGTTTTATTCCAATCAAACAGATTTGGTGAAGTTAGGAGGCGGACAACAAAGAGCCGATTGCAGACCAGAAATTGTATCTGTGATATCAACTCATGTTATATCGATATTAACTTCAGGGCAATGAATATATCAATTGATATAGATACAGGCCACAGTTCTGTTTTTAGATTGATTAACCAACCCTGCCAGGGGTTTTAACAAAAACGAATGGAAGTTTGTATTTTCAAGATCTGCATGTTTTTTTCTCTCACAAAATGTTTTGTTTGCAGAACTCCCTCATTTGTCTTCATTAAAATTGTTGTTTTTACCTCCTGTTAATTGTCTTAAAAATTCTTTAATAACTGAACCAGAAAATTCAAATAGAAAGGTATTTTTCCTCCCTCCAACTTTTTTCCACCTTTTCTTCCTATACATCTAGTATCCCTCTATTAGAAAAAATATTTAAAAGTGGGCCTTATTTTCTAATTACACATATCAACTTGTTGTATGCAAATTATAATTTTAAAATTTGTTAAACTGTCAAATGTGAACATTTGTTATTTCTGCATGTGGATCAGATCAAGCCATGCAACAACTACCTATTTATGAAGAAACTAAATGCAATTTTAAATTTCCATCAAGATCTGGATTGCTCTTTTGCGTATGTCTACCTTTTTCACTTAGCAAAATGCTGGGACTATGCAAATGGTCAAAATAATATCTTGATTTGGTTTAAATATTTTTCAATTTATTTTTGGATAAAAATATAATTTCAAAAGATTTATCATCACAATTATTTATATATATATTACCACAGAATTAGATTATCGAAGTCCCTGATATTACCAATACTTCTAATTATTTGTTTCAATATTACCAAATGAAAATGCCTCTTCACCTCAATAACTTGCTAAAAAGATTGTTTTTTTCAAATGCCTCTTTGTTCACTAAATGCGAATCTCGCATTCTAATCTGGTAAGGTAATTGCATTCCTGGGTTCGGTCACACATGCAGACAGAATTTAGACTTTTCCTGGGTATATCTTGGAACCTTGTTAATCTGGACACTGTTAATCTTGAAAATTCACCTTCCGGTCTTCAAGGATTCAACAATGTTTGTTTCATTATTCGGAATTTTTATATTCTGATAAAAAAAGTGTTCAGACTAGCAGTTTCCACTGTATACAGGGAGGACTTCACCCTTTCACCCCTATGTAACTTTAGTAGACTTGACCATGCATTGATATGGATGAGTCCATTATTGCGTACAGTGGTGAAAGACGGCGAATCTTTACACCACATTTATAGTCTCACACCTTAACCCTACTCGCGTGTTTCATACGTTTATATGATACCTTTATTTTTCTATAAGTCATTTGTATATATATAATATATATTGTGATTATAAATATTATGATAACTTACTGCATTAATTATGATATTATATATTGTCAGATTGTTCATTGAAAATATTGCAAAATTAAACACCAGGTGTATTATGATATCCTGAATATGACGTCTCTGTGTTTTCTCTTAATATCAACCACATATTACACCGAATCCTAGACGTCCAAGTTTCCATACAAAAAACTTGCATGTTTTTTTTCACATTTTTTTAAAGACGTTTTTTTTTTATAGAATTCTCAAAGACAAAACTAGCAACACATATAACACAGAAAGCAAAATGCTTACCTGGTTGAAACATAAGTCCAATGGCGAAAGTCTTTTTTAAAATATTCAAATGACTTTTGAAAAGTATAAACGAAACATCTTGTACTGGAAGTCTGGGTACAGAAATTACCAAATACTGAAACCGAAGTACCCCTATTACACCTGACAGGCCATACCTAATTACCGCACGGGAGTTGAGAAAGATGTTGGCTGGTTGCAAAGGCCTTATAACCACAGATAATAAATTGTGAACCGCTTTGAGACGACTTACGAAATAGGTTGTGATAAAGCGGTATATAAGAACCTCGAATTATTATTGTTATTATTGAATTAAATAAACAAAACTTATTATAAGTAACTGGCCAAAGCTAAGGTAGCGTGAAGCGATGTAGGTATACGTACGAACTACATGTAGGTTGAGATAAAGCTGTATATAAGAACCTTGAATTATTTAAGCACACATACAAGCTGAACTACATGTAGGTTGTGATAAAGCTGTATATAAGAACCTTGAATTATTTAAGCACTGTGTGCACATACAAGCTGAATGTTTCAAGCACACAGCAGCATTTTTTGAAATCACAATGAGAATACTTTAAACAAGGAAAATTTGCCTTTCTCTCCCTCCCCGATAGGGGCGAATTTAAAATGACAGGTAATATAAGTACGAAATATACAATATATAGCTATTAAATATATGGGCAAAATTTACACAGGGAGAATATGGATTTTAACGATAAAGGGCAAATATTTGAGCAAGAGTTTCCTGGTATACCCCACCATTGGGTGTTCTGGTAGCACAGTGGATAGCACACTTGTCTTTCACCAAGGCGGCCTGGGTTCAATTCCCCTATCGCATGTGAAAAGGTATGATCTCACCTGCCCAACCACGTAGGTTTTCTCCGGGTACTCCGATTTCCTTTCACATAAGACCCCCAGCGCACTAACCTCCGGGCCAACAAGAGTGATTAATATAAGTTGAAATTACTTGTTTCATAGTGTAAAATGAATTTTATTTTCATAGTTGGAGGGTCATTTGTCTGACTTCAAAAACACTGACATAGTAGAGTATGGCTTCGAAAAATTCTGAAATTCTGAAAAAATACCAAAGTGAGGAATGCTAAATCCATTACATATTTCACATTTGAATTTTCGCAGAAAATTAGACACACTGGAGTAAAACTGGACCCATTACATATTTCACAGATGAATTTATGTTGAAAATTATAAAGACAGAAATGAGAAATGCTTAATCCACCCAGAGACGTATAATGTATTATACGTCTCTAATCCACCACCTACCCAGTATTTCCGAGATTAATGCCTCCAAAAAGTTAGAGACTGCAATGACAAAATACTGGATTCAACACATATCCCATGAAAACCAAAGACTGCAATGAGGAATGCCCGATACGCCACATACTTCAGCGATTCCTGGATGTTCAAAGTTTCAGAAGTCATGCCAGGATTAAAGTTTATGTATCAATCCCAAGGGAAAGTCATGACTTATGCATCACTTTGACACAACTAAATCATTCGTCAAATGTTTCTGTGATTCAAATTTGAGAGCCCTATGGATAGTTTTCCGCAAAAAGGCAACAGAAACATAAAGGAAGGGAGATAACTCACTTTCGTTATATGAATTGTAAGCCATATTTTACATATATATATATATATATAATTCAACCATTGCCAATAGGTTGTAGTGATTTGGTTTGTTTGTGAATTACGTCGTATTAACAGCTATGGTCATTTAAGAACAGTGCCAGGTTTTGGTGGTGGAGGAAATCTGGAGTTCCCAGAGAAAAACCATCCACCTATAATGGCCAGTACCTGGCGACTGCCCCACGTAGGTCTCAAACCCGCGGCCCAGTGATGGAGGGCTAGTGGTAGCAGAACGACAGATGTCTAAACCACTTGGCCACCGCGGCCCCTATTTTGTAGTGAATATTTTATAGATTTACATGGAACATGTTTCCATTCATAAAAGAAATTATACATCTTTCATTTGGATAACATTTGTTTTTGGTGCATTTCAGATATTAATTGGGATATATTATGTTGCAAACTGAAACTAAACTAGCTGTTCCAAGACACCAGCCAGAGCCAATTCTGGAAGCATACATAAATCTCTAGTATTAAAATTATGCTCGACAATCAAATATGTTGTTGAAGGGTGGGTATCACCATTGTTTCTATCCTGGGATCCAGGAACTAAAGATCCTATAGAAACAGATTGACGACGGACAAAACATTATGACATAAGCTCACCTTGGTCCTTGGGATCAAGAGAGCTTAAACATAAAACACAATTCCACTTTACAAAGATAAATTTATTCATCAACTCTTGGAATGTACATGTATAGCATCTTGGAATGTTAAGTTACACAACAATAAAAATTATTTATCACAGTTTTACAGATCAACCAACTTTATGTACAGTTTTTGATATTTATTTTAAAGGGGTTATTTAATGTTTTCCCATTGAATACCATATATATATTTAACTTGAATGGCAGAATATACCGATATTTTCACTCGTGCAAAATATCAATGTTCTGCCATACTTGTGAAATATATTTGGTATTCAATGAGAAAACATTAAATAACTCCTTTAAAATAAATATCAAAAACTGTCACAAGTCCTTACACAATATCTTCGAGCCCAAGGCTTGTGGAGTAGTTCAACCTGTCCTTTTATGAGCATATTACAAATATTACTGTGCATGCAAGTCAACAAAGTACAAACTTACCAAATAACATCATGTTTTCCCATTGAATACCATATATATTTAACTTGAATGGCAGAATATACTGATATTTTCACTCGTGCAAAATATCAATGTTCTGCCATACTTGTGAAATATTTGGTATTCAATGGGAAAACATTAAATAACCTCTTTATAATGAATATCAAAAACTGTCACAAGTCCTTACACAATATCTTCTAGCCCTATGCATGCTTGTTACAAATATAACTGTGCATGCAAGTCAACAAAGTACAAACTTACAAAATAACATCATTAATATCATATACAATATGATATAGCACCTTGTGAAGCGAGAATAAGGCACGCTTTGGTGCTTTGATACAACATTAACATATAAAGTTTATTTATTTCTGATCACAACCAATGAATTTACTTGAGGATTTCACATGAGCCGTCCTGTTAAGCTTCGTTGTATTTTTTTGCCACCTGATTAACACTTCCACCTATTATGTGCATACCTTCATGTGTGTTTGTGGTGTCCCACTAAAATAATACACTACAAAAAAATAAAAATTGAATCTTATTTTTTCCCGTAAATAATACTACTAATATTCTTTTCATAAATCACATATTTTTAAGTGGAATTTTTCGCTATTTCTAAGTCTAATCTGTTCCTTAAGAAAATATTGAAAGTTACAACCAAAAAACTAAAGTGAACATAAAGCACCTGTACATAAACACAAGCACAGGATTCAACACCTGTACATAAACACAGACACAGGATTCAACACCTGTACATAAACACAAGCACAGGATGCAACACCTGTACATAAACAATAAACACAAGTACAGGATTCAACACCTGTACATAAACACAAGCACAGGATTCAACACCTGTACATAAACACAAGCACAGGATTCAACACACATAAACACAAGCACAGGATTCAACACCTGTACATAAACACAAGCACAGGATTCGGAAAAAGATGATATCACCATGCAAACAATAGATAGAGAATAATTTATTCTGTTTATTACATACTTGCTAATAAAAACTAATATTTTAGGATTTATTTTCATTTTTGAAATATTGAAAAATGATTTTTTTTCCAAATGGGGTGTGATATGGGTTTTGCGGGCTGATATGGGTTTTGGGGTGTGATACGGCGGGGGCTGATACGGGTTTTGGGGTGTGATACGGCGAGGGCCAATATGGGTTAGAGCAATTGTGTCGTATCGCATATACAAAAAACCCGTATTTATTAGTAAGTATGTAATAAAGTGTAATAAATAAGTATGCTATTCTTATTACTTCAAATCCAATATTTATAGATTTTAAATGATTTGTTTTAATATTTCATCATTTAAGAATCACGTTGGGTCTAATGTACAGGATTTCAATGGTGTTCGACGTTTAACATTCGTGAGTCAAAGTCCCATTGTTTCGAATATTTCCTGATGGAGCTATCTGCACACTATATAATAGTATAACTTACTAAAATTTGTTGTGCATTTATATAAATAACAATTTGATAAATGAGTAAAACACCTATCACAGTTTTACAGTTCAACAAACATTAACATCACATTGTTAAAATTTTCACTTTAAACATTAAATCTCATAAATATATATTTACATCAGCTCTATATCCTTCAGTTGCAATGCAAGGCATTGTTATGAGACTATAACAACATTTGCTATTGTAACGTCATCAATCTCTATTGTGATGTCATCAATTTCATTGTTGTCGAGACTTAAATTTGCTGTTCAAGAACTGTTCAAAATAACTAGATAAAGCATAATTACCCTAAAATGTAAATATGAATAATAAATGTGTTAGCAAATATTGTTATGGTCCTATAACACACATTTCTATTGGTGACAAAGTTCCATAAAGCCCTGCAAGGCTTTATTATGTTTGTCATCAATAGCAATGTGTGTTATAGGACCATAGCGACATTTGCTTAAACGTTCATTGCTTAAATGAGCAAAAACTCTTGTGACGTAACACATGGTTTACTTATGACGTCATAGATTAACCTTGTTTAATGAGTCTTGTCACTTCACTTCAAATAACATGGAGAATGCCCCTGTGTCAAACGCTCAAATGACTATGGTTTATTATTGGCGTCAATTTAATTAAAATAGGGCTGTTCCTCCAATGTTGTTTAAAGGACTAGCATATACAAAACGCAGTAAATAAATAAATAGTCTAAGAACAAATAAATAACATCAAACAATAGTTCTATGAAAAATGTAAATATAAGGATTGAACGGCATATTCTTGAGGAAAAAAAACAAATATCAAACATACAATGCTCATACCCTAATTAACATTTAAAACCCAGCCCCAATGCTTTGATTAATAGAAAATAATGGCACATTATTGTAAAAATTTGTTTTCTTTGGTGGAGAGGGGAGGGAGCCTGTTTTTTTATTTTTTGGGGGGGGGGGGGGGGGGCCTTTTTTTTTTTTTTTTGGGGGGGGGGGGGGTCCCATTGAGATATGAAAAAACACCAACATCACCAATGGGATTTAAGTAAAATGAGAAATGAGAAAAATCAATTATATGTACATCACTAATTTGTTCATATACATGCAGTAGCTTTAAATCCATATTGTTAATTAAGGTATTTCAAGTCAATTACAATTACATTCAAAACATATGCAATTTACACAAAATAATGCTTGTTGCTTATAACTCCTAGGTGAGCGTGGTCCAGGGTTATACCGCACCATTGGAAAAGCTACTTTGCTAAGGGCTCATTATCTCACTGGTTGGGGTCGCTGTGTACTCTCCGCATGGACATTTTCCTAAGATCTTGCCTGGAAAATAGCAAACGCTTTAAATTATTTAGACTAAATATTTGTTAAAACTGCATATGGTAGCCATATAATTTATATAGATCTCAGACAGATTTTGGCACCCACCATTGTACCATCACCATAGCAACATGTACATGTATAGCTTCTATGTAAGATTGGTCTTTTTTCTTTTCTCTTACATTCTCTGTTGGTCGAGTCATGTAAACAGTAAATGCACCTTGGGGTATTACTTAGCCAGAGTTTCCTCTGGCCCTGACACCAGACTTAGATAGTTTGACAGATAGATGTTTCCAACACCAGACATCTATCTGTCAAAATGTCTAAGTCTGGTGTCGGGGCCAGAAGAAACTTGGGCTAGGTATTACTTTGATCAAAGCTTCATACTGCTGTGTTTGACATTGTTTTCTCAAAGTGAGGAAGACGTGAGGACCTATTCACTAGCACAATACTCAATGTGAAAGATCTGTCTAGTATTGTCAAAATGCAATATGGCTGCCTATAGTGACCATTTTGTTTTCTGATCAACCTCAAAATAAAATATACACAATTACGGACTAATGAAAATCAATATATGGAATAGTTAATTAATGGCTGTCTGGTGGCCATCCTGTCTTCCAATCAGTCGCAAAATGAAACATAGAAAATGAGGTACCAATGGGAACCTACACATGTGCAATTTGAGAATAACTCTCTATTACTTTCTGAAAAATAGCACTAACAGATCTTAAATCTCAAAATTCAAGTTGACTACCTGTTGGTTTTCTGATCAGGTCAAAACTTGAAACGTATTCCCCCCCCACCCACCTCCGCCCAAACTTTGTTTGCAGAGGGTTTAATTAAATGCATAACTAATGACCATGGGAAACCTTTGTGTGAAATTCAACAACCAACACTCCAGTAATATCTGAGAAATAGTGCTAATTAGTACAAACTTAAACTCAAAATTAAAGATGGCCACCTGTCGGCCATCTTGTTTTTTTATCAGTCACAAAATCTACAATGCGTAACTAGACACCATGGAGAATCTTAGTATGAAATTTGAGAAAGATCCCTTCCAAGAAAGCACTTGTTAAGGACGGACATAGGATAGATAGACAGACCATTGATGTGTAGTTGGTTAAGTATCATTATCACATTTACTTACCTATAAATTCTTTTATTTCTTTTTTGTAAATAAATCCTACAACTGCAGAACCTGCTACTAGGAAAAGTGCAAAAACCACTCCTATGGTTTTCCTGAAATTACAAACAAATAGATGATACTTAAGTTTTTTTGTACTGCAAGTATGGAATAAACATTAACATGGATTAATTTCTTTTTAAATTGTTTAACTAAAATGAATATGATACAGAAAATGTTCATGTAAAAAAAATCTTATTTTACCTGTTAAATGAATTTATTTATTTTCTTATCATGTATATATCCACGGAGCAAACTTGTTCCCCAATATCTTATCACTACAAGAATTTTTACATACAGCAAAATTAAATCTCCCGCGAATATTACCAACTATATGGTAATGCTCTCTCTAACTTTGTTGCAGGGAACTTAACAAATACATGTCGGTACTGTAACCGTGTGTAATAATCTGTAAACGTATTTACCAGTACAGTTTAACTTCAATAAATCGAACTTCGAAGATTTGAATATCTCAATGTGTTCAAATTACACGGTCCAAAAACTACTGATGTTCCATTTATGAATCAAACTTTCTTAGTCAAATTTCTCGCTGTTTTGAACCATAATCAAGGCCAGATCGTTAGGAAAACAATGAACATTATAACTAATAAATCAAAGTAAAACGATAACTGTATGAAAACATTGGAAAGTTAACTACTGAACATGCAAAATTCAGTGCAATAATTAATCAAACATATTTTGTGAATTTCATAAAATCCAATATTGATAGATTTCAAACTTAATTCTTTGTAACTATCACATTCCATTTTATATAGATTTCAAAGATGTTCGAAGTTCACCATTTCTTAAACAAAGTCTCAATGTTTTGAATTTTCTCGGTGGTCTTGGGGAAGTTTGAAACATCGAAGTTTAACTGTATATGCATTTTTCTGTGACAAGATATTAAGAGAAAAATACTCACCAACTAACTCTATCTTCAGATTCTGGTGAAGCATTGTTTCCCCGTACAGGGTCAGGTTGAGCTGTTGGTGAACTGTGAGGCTTTCCGTCAGTGGTAATGGTCTTGGAATTCTGGGATGTCGATGGCTGAATAGTTGGTGGATCTGAGGTCCGACTACTTGTCTGATCTGTAGGTGATGGATCTTTGGTAGAAATGCTTGGAGTTGAACTGATCGTTGTGTGTTTGGTTGGTTGAATTTGGCTAGACTCCCTGAAACAATATACAATCTCTATAAGTAAACATTCTGTGTCTCAGCTAAACTGTTACCTCTGATCTCTAGCAATGAACTAACAGCAGTCCTAGTGAACAAGTTTATAACTTCATATTCATTGATGATAGTTATACATCAATTCTGTTACATTTGAACCTGATTATGATGACTAAGTGACTTACGGGACACAAGAACAGTCGTGCTGAAGCTTTTGTCCTGGCTCACAGCTAACTGGAGGTGGTTTACAGTTGCAGGGTTCTCCACACCAGTTATTTTTTGCATCACATTCACAGGGCATTCGAACTGTACCATGATTACAGAAGTTTTCCTTAGTGGAACTTATGGCATCTGCAAAATACAAATAAGATATAAGGTTAAATTTGTTTTTCAAATTGATTTTCTCAACAGTTATGTAGAATGTAAATTTAGGAGGCACGGTAGTCTAGTGGTAGGACGCCGGGCTCGTGACCGAAGGGTTGCGTGTTAGAGTCACGGCACGGCACTGTGTTGTATCTTTGAGCAAGATACTTTACTTCCCTTGTTCCAGTCTACTTAGCTGTAAATGAGTATGTGGTTGGGCAGTACTAGAATTGTTGAATGCTAGCTGTTAGCGCCGGAATGGCAGCTCCAGCTGTATACTCCCCAGGGAGTTGAGAAAGGTATTGACTGGTTGCAAAGGCCCTATAACCACGGATAATAATTTGTGAACCGCTTTGAAACAACCTACGAACTAGGTTGTGATAAAGCGGTATGTAAGAACCTCAAATTATTATTATTATTATTATTAATGTCTATTTGTCAAATTTGATATTAAGCATAAGGTTTATTTGAAATCTTATCAAACAATACTTAAAAGATAGTCATTGCTAGGTGTGCAAAATGTGCATGACTGTTTTTCAAAACATGCTTTGTTCCCTAGATATTTTGTTTTTTACGTAATGCTGTGATGCTGCAATCTTTAAAAGATTTGACCCCTGTGACCTTACATACTCACAATAAAAATCAAGGTAATCTATTTAAATATATTTATAGCCTTTCATCTTAACCATCTATAGGTCAAATATCATAAGTTGTATGTTATGAAAACCTTTGATAGCCCTCCATCAACTCACAGATAGCTACTGGTCAAATATCATGACCCTAGGTCTTCTTTAACTAAGTCAATTAAAATACTTTTAAATACTTGACCCCATGGGACTATGAATATAGGTCATCCATTTAAGTAAGTTTGACAGCCCTCTACCCCAGTCGCATGCTAGTTACATACAGCATTATGACTCAAGGCCTTCTAGAATTTTAGATGTCGGTTGAAGCTTTTGATATATCTAACCCCTGCGACCTTGAATGAGGGTCAGGATCATATATTTATACATCCTTCATATCTCTTTAACCCAGCTATATACTATATACATATCATGACCCTAGGCCTTCAACAACTTGAAAAGAAGCTGTTTAAATCTTTTTGAAACGTGAGAAGACATTTAAAATTGTCAATATAATTGTTAAAATTGTTAATTCATTTGAACCTTTTAATGAAGGTCAAGGTTATTATTTGACAAACGTTGACAGCGCTCAATCCTAGCAACATGTACATACTAGTGAAATACCATGATATTAGATCGTCTCAAGACAGACACAAGTAGAGGAGGAGGAGGAGGAGGATACAGTTTGACTTTCATTTCACCATTTACCCCTGAAATTTTATAATGAACTATTCCAACCTTTGAATTGGAAGAGTTCAAATGTGTCCTCGGGGTTGAATGAGTTAACTTACATGCATAGTCGGAGCAATTCTTCTCCTTAAAACATGACAGTACATCCCGGCCAGAGGTTGTATTATCCAGCATTTCGAAGCCTTTCGGACAATCTTCACAGGTGTCCATAGTGTAGTTTTCCACACATGGCTTGACCTGTGTCCCTGAAAAAATGTAAATTACGTAATTATATTGTGTACATTTATGGTACAAGTCCCAAGGCGCTTTATCAAAATTGTGAATTTAATTATGAGAGTCACTTATTCACCCTTGTCGTGATAAATATGCCCTCATTAATATTATGCAAGGTGAAAAAAGCGAAAAAAATAAACTGCGACGATAATTTTCAAGTAGACAGCATATTACATTTATATATTTTTTTAACTGTTTTTGTTTTAGCAGCTATATATGGTTTGCCCTTTGTCTGAACCGGACTCGGCTGTCAAATCAAATTTTAGATTAGCTTACCAAAGATTTCAGTCCAATAACAAGAAAGGCTGCAACGATACACATACCTCGACAATGATACGTATCTCTGTGCGATGCTTAATGTACGATGCTCAATACAATATGATACGTATCTCCGTAGGATGTCTAATACAATATGATACGTATCTCCGTAGGATGCCTAATACAATATGATACGTATCTCCGTACGATGCCTAATACAATATGATACGTATCTCTGTACGATGCTTAATACAATATGATACGTATCTCCGTGCGATGCTTAGTGTACGATGCTTAATACAATATGATACGTATCTCTGAGCGATGCTTAATGTACGATGCTTAATACAATATGATACGTATCTCCGTGCGATGCTTAGTTTACGATGCTTAATACAATATGATACGTATCTCCGTACGATGCTAATACAATATGATACGTATCTCTGTACGATGCTTAATACAATATGATACGTATCTCTGTACGAAGCTTAATACAATATGATACGTATCTCTGTACGATGCTTAATACAATATGATACGTATCTCTGTACGAGGCTTAATACAATATGATACGTATCTCTGTACGATGCTTAATACAATATGATACGTATCTCCGTGCGATGCTTAATGTACGATGCTTAATACAATATGATACATATCTCCGTACGATGCTTAATACAATATGATACGTATCTCTGTACGATGCTTAATGTAGGATGCTGAATACAATATGATACGTATATCTGTACGATGCTTAGTACAAGATGATACGTATCTCTGTACTATGCTTAGTACAATATGATACGTATCTCCGTGCGAAGCTTAATACAATATGATATGTATCTCTATACGATGCTTAATACAATATGATACATATCTCCGTACGATGCTTAGTACAATATGATACGTATCTATGTACGATGCTTAATACATTATTATTCATATCTCCGTACGATGCTTAGTACAATATGATACGCATCTCTGTACGATGCTTAATACAACATGATACATATCTCCGTACGATGCTTAGTACAATATGATACGCATCTCTGTACGATGCTTAATACAATATGATTCGTATCTCTGTACGATGCTTGGTACAATATGATACGTATCTCTGTACGAGGCTTAATACAATATGATACATACCTCCGTACGATGCTTAATACAATATGATGCGTATCTCTGTACGATGCTTAGTACAAGATGATACGTATCTCTGTACCATGCTTAGTGTACGATGCTTAATACAATATGATACGTATCTCTGTACGATGCTTAATACAATATGATATGTATCTCCCTACGATGCTTAATACAATATGATACGTATCTCCGTACGATGCTTAGTACAATATGATACGTATCTCTGTACGATGCTTAATACAATATGATACGTATCTCTGTACGATGCTTAATACAATATGATACGTATCTCTGTACGATGCTTAATACAATATGATACGTATCTCTGTACGAAGCTTAATACAATATGATACGTATCACAATACAAATATAGGCTTAAAAGGTCAATTTCATACAAAACAATTTTATATGATAAGAATGACAAGAAAGTATCGTGATACGATGTATCGTTGCAGCCCTAGTAGCAAGTGCAATCTACAATCTAAATCTCTCTGTTAACCAAACAAATATTATGGTGTATGTGACACGGTTTTGACAGAATACACTGTATATATGTTGTATGTGACATGGTTTTGACAGAATACACTGTATATATGTTGTATGTGACACGGTTTTGACAGAAAACACTGTATATATGTTGTATGTGACACGGTATTGACAGAATACACTGTATTGACAGAATACACTGTATATATGTTGATCACTCTAAAAGGGTTCAAGGGTCAAAAAACCATATTTGCATTATATGTACCAATTTCATTTTGTCAAATCACAACAACAAATTATAATTGTATTACATCTGGTGTAACTGTAAAGTTCAGGGGCCTCCTCAAGTTCCATTAAATCCTTACCTGCCAAACAAGTCGTAATTCCACACACTGTTACAACCCCAGTAAAGTAGTTGAGGCGGTTGATGTAACCTTTATCCGCATGCTTGGCCGTGGTGTCTCCTGGACGACCTAATACTACTCCATCCGTTGTAGCTATGGCCAGCAATAACAATGAAATGGTTAGCTTTGTCGCCATTAAAATTTCCATCTGAAATTAAAAGTAACATTAAGTATATATATCAGTTTTAAATTTGAAGTGGATCAAATTGCTATAATGACTATATTCCTTATTGAAAGAAATGCATATTTATTCAGCAGTATCTTTATCTATTTTATATACCGGTGTAGCATGGTATTGTGAAGCATGGTGAAAGGAACCGCGGTTCATATTACCATTAAGGTAATATAATTACATTTGCATGGCATTGTCACTATATAGCCTCTTTGAGGGCTGTGTCGTTGATGGGACTTTAATTACCATGCCGCACGAGACACAATTCTTAGCGTATTAATTACAACACTGACTGACCGGAACTACAATATCCAATGTAAATAAACATGACGGCTGCTGAAATATCGCTGGGCATTGTGAGATTTGATAATGTCCTTGTAAATTGATCTCCAAAATTGTCTCCCATGTCATACAACACCTAACATTATACTGGTGGGACCAAATCAAATATTCACCTCACTACATATCTCATATCCTAATATTTAACCATCCCATATAATGGAATGACCTATGAAATATACTGTTAGTGTACGTATTTAATCGTGATTCTAATTTAAGCGCTTTCCGCGTTTTAAATCTTTCGCTAAATAATGAGTGTGCTAGCGCTAATTGAAATTCCTAAATATAATTTACAATCCTTCCACAGACAGCTCTGATTATTTGCATTCATATGAATGTGCAGAAAATTTGTTGTGGGCTCATCATAAATTTCCTCAAAATATCAAATGGTGGAAGTAGATTTATTATCCAGTTTAGAGAATATTAATAAAAAAAAATGACCATGGAAAACGTGATACAGTTTGATAGAAATGTTGTTTTTGGCTGAAAATTAAAGGTGACATTTGATTTTTTTTTATCACAGGAATTTTTATTAACATGCACAGGCTTATTTATATTACAAACAAAATCAGATTACCTGTATGCATGTATCTCCTAAGGTATCCCTTTTAACGAGAACAATTGTAAGAAAAAGCTTCAAAAATACAAAAGTATCAAGAATGTCGGAAAAAAAGGTTGAGCTCATTACACATTTTACACAACGTAAATGATTCTGACACCAGACTGGACAGATAGTTGTTTTCCCCACACCAGGCTTCTACTATCTGTTAAAATGTCGAAGTTTGGTGTCAGGATCAGAGGAAACTCAGGTTATTAAAAGAGTGAAATCTTATGTTCACTGAAATGTATGTGATCATGGGTGTAATAGAATGAATAAATAAATAAATTTGTAGTTGTTATTTATTCATTTATATGACTGCATGTATTAAATTGAGATACATGTTATATAAACAATAAGGGTATTACTATGGTAAAACATTTAATTTTATGACATGCATCTCAAATTACAGTCAGAATTTCAAACACCTGTGATTACAGCACGAAATTAGATTAGAGGTCCAGCGAGTACGGGTGCAGTATTGTTGTTTAAAATATAATGCGAATTTCTCAATTATCAGTCAGAATTTCAAACACCTGTAACTATGTATACACTGTATGTAGTACCTACCTTCCTGGTGACCTGCAGTATGCTAAATTAAATGAAGAACTGTCTGAAATAATTCAAGTTCACTTGCCTGCGTTAAAGTAGGAAACCACCTTCTCTAAAAATATCAACAGCACTCCTTAGCTATTTTTAGCACCAACTGTTCATGTAGCTAGGTGCACCCACAGGGACCTGAGAATTTGTTACAGCTAAATTTGGACCTTAACTAAGGTGTTTAGAGTAATTTTAGACGTTTGGGGGGTTCAGATAAACTTTCAGTAAAATTGCCAACCCCCAATGATCAAATATAGCTCCTATATATATATATATATATATATATATATGATCATTTGCATTCATGATTGTGTAGAAAATTTGTTGGGGGTTCATTATAAATTTCCTCAAAATATCAAATGGTGGAAGTAGATTTATTATCGAGTTTAGAGAATATTAATAAAAAAAATGACCATGGAAAATGTGATACAGTTTGATAGAAATGTTGTTTTTGGCTGAAAATTAAAGGTGACATTTGATTTTTTTTTATCACAGGAATTTTTATTAACATGCACAGGCTTATTTATATTACAAACAAAATCAGATTACCTGTATGCATGTATCTCCTAAGGTATCCCTTTTAACGAGAACAATTGTAAGAAAAAGCTTCAAAAATACAAAAGTATCAAGAATGTCGGAAAAAAAGGTTGAGCTCATAACACATTTTACACAACGTAAATGATCCTGACACCAGACTGGACAGATAGTTGTTTTCCCCACACCAGGCTTCTACTATCTGTTAAAATGTCGAAGTTTGGTGTCAGGATCAGAGGAAACTCAGGTTATTAAAAGAGTGAAATCTTATGTTCACTGAAATGTATGTGATCACGGGTGAAATAGAATAAATAAATAAATAAATTTGTAGTTGTTATTTATTCATTTATATGACTGCATGTATATATAAATAAATTGAGATACATGTTATATAAACAATATGGTATAAAACACTTAATTTTATGACATGCATCTCAAATTACAGTCAGAATTTCAAACATCTGTGATTACAGCACGAAATTAGATTAGAGGTCCAGCGAGTACGGGTGCAGTATTGTTGTTTAAAATATAATGCGAATTTCTCAATTATCAGTCAGAATTTCAAACACCTGTAACTATGTATACACTGTATGCAGTACCTACCTTCCTGGTGACCTGCAGTATGCTAAATTAAATGAAGAACTGTCTGAAATAATTCAAGTTCACTTGCCTGCGTTAAAGTAGGAAACCACCTTCTCTAAAAATATCAACAGCACTCCTTAGCTATTTTTAGCACCAACTGTACATGTAGCTAGGTGCACCCACAGGGACCTGAGAATTTGTTACAGCTAAATTTGGACCTTAACTAAGGTGTTTAGAGTAATTTTAGACGTTTGGGGGGTTCAGATAAACTTTCAGTAAAATTGCCAACCCCCAATGATCAAATATAGCTCCTATATATATATATATATATATATATATATGATCATTTGCATTCATGATTGTGTAGAAAATTTGTTGGAGGTTCATTATAAATTTCCTCAAAATATCAAATGGTGGAAGTAGATTTGTTATCAAGTTTTAAGAATATTGATTTGAAAATGACCATGAAAAACGTGATACAGTCTTGATAGAAATGTTGTTTTTGGCTGAAAATTAAAGGTGACATTTGATTTTTTTTTTATCACAGGAATTTTTATTAACATGCACAGGCTTATTTATATTACAAACAAAATCAGATTACCTGTATGCATGTATCTCCTAAGGTATCCCTTTTAACGAGAACAATTGTAAGAAAAAGCTTCAAAAATACAAAAGTATCAAGAATGTCGGAAAAAAAGGTTGAGCTCATAACACATTTTACACAACGTAAATGATCCTGACACCAGACTGGACAGATAGTTGTTTTCCCCACACCAGGCTTCTACTATCTGTTAAAATGTCGAAGTTTGGTGTCAGGATCAGAGGAAACTCAGGTTATTAAAAGAGTGAAATCTTATGTTCACTGAAATGTATGTGATCACGGGTGAAATAGAATAAATAAAAAAAAAAAATTGTAGTTGTTATTTATTCATTTATATGACTGCATGTATATATAAATAAATTGAGATACATGTTATATAAACAATATGGTAAAACACTTAATTTTATGACATACATCTCAAATTACAGTCAGAATTTCAAACACCTGTGATTACAGCACGAAATTAGATTAGAGGTCCAGCGAGTACGGGTGCAGTATTGTTGTTTAAAATATAATGCTAATTTCTCAATTATCAGTCAGAATTTCAAACACCTGTAACTATGTATACACTGTATGTAGAACCTACCTTCCTGGTGACCTGCAGTATGCTAAATTAAATGAAGAACTGTCTGAAATAATTCAAGTTCACTTGCCTGCGTTAAAGTAGGAAACCACCTTCTCTAAAAATATCAACAGCACTCCTTAGCTATTTTTAGCACCAACTGTACATGTAGCTAGGTGCACCCACAGGGACCTGAGAATTTGTTACAGCTAAATTTGGACCTAAACTAAGGTGTTTAGAGTAATTTTAGACGTCTGGGGGGTTCAGATCAACTTTTAGTAAAAATGCCAACCCCCAATGATCAAATATAGCTCCTATATATATATATATATGATCATTTGCATTCATATGATTGTGTAGAAAATTTGTTGGGGGCTCATTATAAATTTCCTCAAAATATAAACTGGTGGAAGTAGATTTGTTATCGAGTTTTAAGAATATTGATTTGAAAATGACCATGAAAAACGTGATACAGTTTGACAGAAATATTGTTTTTGGCTGAAAGTTAAGTGACATTTGAAATGTTTAACACAGGAATGTTTGTACACATACAGGCTTATAAATATCACAAACAATAAAAAGTCAGATTACCTGTATGCATGTTAATCTCCTGAGGTATCCCTTTTAACGAGAACAATTGTAAGAAAAAGCTTCAAAAATCCAAAAGGATCCAGAAGGTCGGAAAAAAAGGTTGAGCTCATAACACATTTTACACAACGTAAATGATCGAGTCTGGATGACATTTAAAATAGTAGCCCGAGTTTCCTCAGGCCCTGACACCAGACTTCGACATTTGGACAGATAGATGTCTGCCCACACCAGACATCTATCTGTTAAAATGTCTTAGTCTGGTGTCAGGGCCAGAGGAAACTCGGTTTATTAGTAAAAGAGTGAAATCTTACGTTCACTGAAATGTATGTGTTCATGGGTGTTATAAAATAAATAAATAAATAAATAGATAAATTTTTAGTTGTTATTTAATTATTTATTTATTTACATGACTGTAAATAAATTGAGATACATGTTATATAAAAAAAGGGTATTACTATGGTAAAACACTTATTTTTATCAGAGACGTATAATACATGTATTATACGTCTCTGTTTTTATGACATGCATCTCAATTTACAGTCAGGATGTCAAACACCTGTGATTAGTTACAGCACGGACTGAGATTAGAAGACCGTGGTTAATTACAGCGAGTATGGGTGCAGTCTTGTTGTTTAAAATATAATGTTAATTTCTCGATTAACTGCCAGAACTTCTAACATTTATACATTGTTTTTAGAACCTACCTTCTTTGGTACTTCAGTATGCTAAATTAAATGAAAAACTCACTAAATAGGCCTGGGCGAAAGGAAACTAGGAACCACAGTAGTGCAGCTTGCTAGTTAGCTACGTACTACGTAAATCTATTTTTAGTAAAGGGTATTTCCTTTCACCACGAGATATATTTTTAGCACCAACTGCAGGTGCGCCTATATCTATTAATTTAAATCATTTAAAGCATTACTCTCAAAAGAATATAATTATCCGACTTATTGTAAGTAAAATACTACTCTTTATCAGCAAGGATCTGGTATCACGAACTTTTGATCTAATAATTAGGCCTAACCAGAGACGTATCCTTTGAGGTCCTAGTATACATAGTGCAATTGGGAATCATGCATGTTTCATTTGCCTCAGAAATTAAGTCTGAATAGCCGGAGACGAAACTGTATTTAACACGTCCAAACACTGTGTTATATACGTCTCTGGCCTAACATTCCGTGGTTAAAACTGCGCGTAACAGTAGGCAAAATCATAGCAAAATAGAAAAATGGCCGACCAGCGGCCTCTTATGTTATAACGTGCACCTGTAATCATAGTTGTACAAATAGGACTTACCATCAGTGTTTCTTGTCTCTGTATCTAAGTTGATAATAAGTTGTTTTCAATTCTGAAGATAGCACTCGGGGAGCTTGTACCGTATTCGGAAATAAAAAGTAAATTTATTTACTTAAACCGCTAATCAATGACACACTGGTCGCCGAGAAACCGAACTGTTCACTGATAAATCTAGGTAGGTATATAAAGGACAGCCCGTCCTTTATATACCTAGCTGTGTTGGATGACGCAATATATATAGGCCGCCTAGATCTCGATTTTTCTAGAAGGTACCCGAATGAGCTGAATTACAGACGTTTCGACCCAAACCCGTTACGCCCCAGACCATTTCGACCTACTTATTTTCACATCGCCCCAATTTTCAGCTCATTTCGCCCCAAATATGACAACCATATCGCCCCAAAATTTATTTTTTGAATAACCAGATACCATTTTGAATAACAATTTTATTACTGAAATGGGGAATAAAGTGAAATTAAAACACATAAAATTGTTACTAAAAAAACGGTAAACGGAACAGTACATATAACAAACATTATAAGCACCGGCAAATTTTAGACCAAAAGTACAATTTACTAACAACACATGACTTGACTATTAAATAGATGTACATTTAAATATAATTATAATAAAATTTAACAGTAAAATATAATCCATTGAAACACCTGCTCGGATAGTTATATTTGAACGGTAGATAATCATGCTGACCATATCACTTTTGATTTTTATCATAGAATTAGATAGCAATCTAATTCCGTGATTTCATTGAGGAAAAAAAGTCTTTAAGAACAAATTAATTCAACAGAATGCCGTACAACTTACTTGATGAGGGAATGCGATAATCCATAATTTTCTTAAATATGAATATTGATGGAATGGAAATCAAATATGCAGTTGATTCAGGAATAATTCAATAGATCATAATTAACACACAATGGTCATGAGTTACTTGCAGGTAAAATTAATCCAATAGACATTAATTTCCTGATGTTTCACGAATATGTAGTTGTTATTTCCTGGAAGCAAGATATAGCTGTAACAAATTACCAGGTCCCTGTGCTAGAGGCCTAAGCAGCCCCCAGACCATCGCCTGAAAGTTTGAGTCAATACATCAATACTCAACACATCAAATTAAAGGTGACCAGCTACGCCCCTCCTGTGCACTGAATGAAGGTTAATCAGTAACAAGAGGCCCAGAGGGCCTGTGTTGCTCACCTTGATATTTAAGCAGTCATAGCAAAATATTAAATAAATGTTATACTGTACTACAAATATTGGCTCTGTCTCTTGGCAACACCCTTACCTTCTCCTGGTCCCATTGGGATGGGGGCATGGTTTCTACAACATTGAATCATGTTGGGCCAAGGATACTCTATTCCAAATAAGATTAGGATAAAGCTATATAGCATAAAGAAGGTAAAGGTCATTTTCATTCGCAAACTATGTTGGGCTCCATCTAATGAAGCTACTTGTTAAATATCACGACTCCAAGCCTTTCATTTCTGCTATATTTGACCCCTGTGACCTTGAACGTAGGTTGAGTTAATTTTCATTAGCAAACTTTGTCATGCTCCATCTGTGTCAGTTACCAGCCAAATATTATAATTCTATACCTTTAAGGCTCACACAAATAAATAATTTACTATATGTTATAACTAAGCTTTTGAGCTAATAGCTTTAATATTTGAAGTTCAACACTAGTGACAGCTGTCTAGATTCAAAGATACATACCTGACAAAGGCTTCAAAAGGCATTGTTGGTGATTTTAGTGGCATATAAGAGCACTATAGGTGTCTGATTTTGTCAACCGGAAATTTACAAGCCAAACCGACGAAGTGGGACGGGAACACCACCTGACATTTGACCCCATATCAATCCGCCATCACATTTTAAAATCTACTAAAACTATATTCCCCCACATAGGTTGTAGCAAGGATCCTCCGTCAATCCCCACTGATGCAGGTTAACAGGAGATGGTAGCGTGCACGTGTCATACATGGATCGTAGCAGGAATGATATCCAGAAGGTCTCCATCCTCCATATTTCTGCCGTCCATCTGGTCCACGTTTCCTGTTTGCCGAGTTCCACAGATTTCCCTCTCCTCTTTTCCTCCTCAATCTTTCTGATTTCTTTCTGCACCATTTGCCATCTTTCATGAGTGTTTGCTTTCTCCCACTGCTGGAAATGAGAGAAACCAACCCCTTGTCTTCTGACGCAGGTGTTCCCGATGATATCTTTCCACTCTAGCATATTCTCTGCTTCACCATGAAGTCCTGGCTGATTACTTTCTCCCTATTCTTGTCTGTATCCCTGCCTTGCTGATTCTATACCTTTCAGTCCTTTGTCCCAGTATTTGAGACTTTTGACCCCTGTAACCTTGAAAGAAGTTCAAGGTCATTTTCGTTCCCAAACTTCGTTAGGTTCTTACCAATAAAGCTATCACCCAAATATCATGACTCTAGGCCTGTCCATTCTTCAGAAGTTGTTCAAAGGAAAAATTGACAGACGACGACTGATGGATGACAGTCGCCGCACCATGGCATAGCTCACTAGCCCTTCGGGCAGATGAGCTAACAAATCAACATTGTTACAGTGTAAGATTGGTAAAATTGGATGGAAATGGCTGAACATTTCATATTCTTCAGGAAAGGGATATTAACTAACTAGTTCTTGCTTACCAAACGTTGCATTCAAAGAGGGGACACCAGTGTGTTTGCATATTTTGTATTAGCTGTCCAATCATCTGTGTTTACCAGAAGTTTACCTGCCCTTCCCCCATTTCCTCATGATGTAACATGCACAACTAAACCTGGTGAAATCTGGAGAGACCCTCTCATATCTCATCTGATTAAAAGATTTTGAAGATGTATGAAGTTCAGTGTCTTGTCTTTAAAAGTCTGTGTTTTTAACAATCCGTATCAAATCCATATATTAAATATATATACATACATGTTTAGTCAATGACTTTCAATCCATTAGTACTAATATTAACTCATTCACCCCTGAAATTTCATAATGGACTATTCCAGCCTTTGAATTGGAAGAGTTCAAATGTGTCATCAGGGGTGAATGAGTTAAAACCCGGTCTCCTCTGATGATGCAATATATATCAAAAATGTCTCGTCGTCAGAAGCTATGTTATCACAGCTATCCTTCCATGTGCCTGATATTTGGTCACTAACACTTCAGCATTGACCTTTTATTGACATATATATCAATTATCCTCTTTCAGACTGGAGGCAAACATTTGTAAGAATGTGTGCGTTTCAACTTTGCAACGCTAACACCAGGATATTTCTATGTCAGAAGATAGACATCCAAAGGGAGATAACTCTATACACAGCTGCATGCTAGTATGACAATTCAATAAGAGGATGCATTAATTGATAATTGTAGGACAAGTTAGCTAAATAATTTTGGCGAATGTGTTAGCTGCTTGATAGAAATGTGGAAACTTTGCCAAAACGCAAACCTAACTTGATTAAATTTCGTTTTAGCCCGCAATCAGAAGGGCCTTCTCTGGGGAAAGGTACCTTAATTATAGGATGGACTTGCTGGCAGCACCACTGGGAATGTAATGATGGACATCCAAGGTTCCAAGGTACAATTTGCCTTGGGCAAAGATGAAATAGCACATGTGTCACATGATTTTGTCTTGTGATAATTAGTAGTTATCATATACTGCTCTATGACATCAAAAGTGTTAAACTTACAGAAAATTGTTATTTCATGAGAATAGAACACCATGAACAGAACAGCATATAAAGACAGATATACAGTGTGTAGACTACCAGTTTGAGGTGAGATTTAAAAAAAAAAAAGGTTCAACGAGAAATTAAACAGAGAAGTCCAAGGCGTGTGCCTTGAGGATAATCAGGATATGGATTAATCCGGGATATGGCCTATGTACGACTAGCAGTATCACACATGCCAAACAGCCAAAATCACATACAAGTATATGATAATATATGGATATGTTATATCCCACATGGTCTTTCATACAAAGGTGGAGAAAAAAAATGAACTTTCTAGAAGAATGTATCGCGTCAATGTGTTGCAGTAGGGGACATATATAATTTGTCTCTATTGCTGCAGTGTGTTTGTTTTACTTGTTTTTCAAGCTCAAAATAAAACTATAAAAACAAAGTACAAATATAATTTTAATAATATCATTTAAACACAATCACAAGTATGGATGCATTTTAAATATTTTCTTCCTCTGTCTACTCATAACTTAAGTTGTTAGCCTACTTTAAATACATACAGTTATAAAATGGATACATATAAATTTAACTATTTAGAGAAGACCTGATCTTCAAATTCTGACAAGCTGAATTAAAGTTAATGAAAATATCAAAGGACATTACCGGTATAAACATTACAGTGTGGCTTGAGAAATAGATGAAGAAGGTCTGGGCAAGACGACTTTCAATGATCAGTTAGCACAATTGGTTATAACAACCGTACAGCGATTGAAGGGCCCGGATTCATTCCTTTCTGGTGCCATTAAATCTCTTACTCTAAGAACAATATTAGTTAACTGGTACACAGTTCATACAGGCCTTGGAAAAGCCTAATAACAAAGGTTTGGCCTTGAAAAGCCCCAAAATTGATGGGAGACCCTAAAAGCCCCAAAAATTGATGGGAGACTCTAAAAGCCCAAAATTGATGGGAGACCCTAAAAGCTCCAAAATTTAACAAAAGATGTCTAGAATGGGTTGAAATGAGGCACATGTGACAAAATGGTCATTAAAGTATGATTGTATCATTGTCATAAAAATGAATTCAAAATATACAACAAATATTATTTTTGTTATGACTCAATTTATAGTATATATGTAGTACTACTGACCTGTGTTAAATTATAGGGTTGTCTGGTATTTATATGGTGAGTTTAGAAAGATTCAGGTTACACATCTAGATCTCTGTATTTTGAGAATTTGCAAATCGCTGGAGATTTTAGTCTTTGATTTTGCTGGAAAAGGTCTGTAAAAGACCCAATATAACATTGATTTTCAAAGTAAAATTCCGGTAGAAGCCTGTTGTAATGCTGTTTATTTTTTTATAAGTCTAACAAGGTATTAATTACCTTTTAGAAATTATCAATTGTCGAGCTGGGAAAACAATTTTCAGTTCCTAGTTGTAGTTTTTGGTAGTGGCACAGGGATCCGTAACATACTAGTAAGCAGATTTGTTATGTCAATATACATGTTAACGTCATTCAAATCGCTGTAAGGTGTTCAAAACTATTTTAACAGGTTGCCAAAAATGAACTGATTTGGACAAAATACAGACCAATCACCAACCACAAAAACACTGAAACGATATCAGTGGCCCCATAAACGAAGACAAAAGTTAAAACTAACAATTTGTTTAGATTACATATATCCATGCACCTAAATGACATTTGTGTGATTCAGTGTTTCACGATCTGGAAACCTAGTTTTCTAAACAGATGAAGCACTATCAGATATGCCCAAGAGTGATGTAAGTCATTAACTCATTCACCCCTCAAATTTCATAGTGAACTATTCCAACCTTTGAATTGGAAGATTTCAAATGTGTTTTCAGGGGTGAATGAGTCAACAGTTTCTTATAGGTCGTTGACATCTGAGCTAGCCTGGAAACAAACAACAGATCTACAATACATTTTATAATAACTATTTGCTGCTTCCTCTGAAGTTACTTGTTCCTTCCCAAACCCTATTGTGTCTATACAAGTCAAAAGCACTGCGCTGTGATGCTGTGGATAGAGATTCAGTCGGCGTGGACAATCCAGGGACAGACAACTCTGGATATTCCTTTTGGAGGTCGGGTGTGAAGAGTTCCATCAAATCTGGTTCCTTCCTGTCCTTGTATACCTAGAACAAATAGATATTTATTTATTTTTTTAATAAAAGGGAATTTTATTTATATTCTTCGTTTATCTAAACTTTTGCCAAAGAAACATTTCGATAGAAACTGAAAACTAGTGTAAGTATAATTGAAACTGCAATTGATATATCTTCTTTTCTAACATAATAACGTGGTCTTCAACAAAACATTTCTACATCTGCTTAATTATAATTACCCATCATATTAATATATATGAACTTGTGCATGAATAAACCACAATTTTTATGAGTTATCGCCCTTGATCGTATTATCTTACATGTTCGAATGCATATCCTCCTTCATATCAGAACATAAATCATAATTTCATGCAGTTCAAATTGACATTTTTTATATTTATCTATTTCTTATAAATATCACTTGCTGAGACTTTTTCTTCTTGGACCTAGCTGGGTACCATTCCAAAAATATCCTGATAAATGTCGCCCATGTTTACCTGTGACTTGACAACTTGACTTGATTTCACCCTGCTGGTTTTTTCCTTCTCCACCTGGGAGCGTAAGTTGTCTACGGGAATATGTAGTGATACAAGGCCTGCAAACTCCTCATCAGCTTGGTTTACGCGGGATGCAGCCTATGAAATAAATAATTACATTTAAATATTTCATGTACAGATTTAATTTGGATATTAAATTCAGACAGCATTGAAAAATGCATCCCCATTTGGTATTTATATGTATTTCAAAAATGCTATTATCTTATAATTATCAAGACATGTTTAGAAATTTCATCTGATAATAAAATAATAAAATATAATACTAAAGAATCATTTTGAAAGTATATAACATAATGTGTCATATGCAAAATAAGTGTGAATGAAAGACCTGTACAATGAACCTGTATATCTTTTGGATATGATTCTCACCTTTTCCCTGATTTCTGTCTGTTTTTTGTTTGATGTCTGGAGTTTACGTTCGAGTGCCTTTTCCACATCGACTTCACAACCTCTGATATGTTCCAGTTCTGTTTTCATCCTAAGAGTACTGTTATACTCTGGCCTCGTAAAAACATGTTCATATTCTAAAGCTGTCTCACCTTCTTCAGAAAACGGAAACTTGTAGTCATTCGAGAACTGATCCTTCGACTCTCGTGTGACCCTCACTTTCCTCTTCGGCACTGTTGCGATATGTTTAACTTCTGGAGCTATGACAGTCTGCTTTAAATTTTGGCCAGTGTTGGCTGCTGTTCGTTTTGAAGTTTCACTTAAAACATTTTTTGAATTCTTTTTTGACGGTTTGGTTGTTTTTACAACAATTTCTTTCCCGATATCATTTTCTGATTTTGGCAACACTGTTGGTAAGACCGAATAGTATGTTTCAGCACTTTTATCGATTTGCACTTTGTCCGTGTTCGTTTGATATGGTAAAGGTACGTAAACAGTCTGTTGATCCTCCTGTCGGATGGCGTATTGTCTAGGTTTGTTGGAAGATACTGTAGATGTTTTTTCAGGAACTTCTGAAATTCCATCAACATACTCTTCACTTCCCCCATAAGCAGATGGTTTGTATGTTTTGCCAGATCCACTAGATTTTCCTACACTATCATTCAAATTTTCTTTATCTGAATCATTAAGACTGTTTTCTAATTCAAATCGGACCCTGTGCTGATTTTTGGCTTTCAAATAATCTTCGTTGTCTTGTTTTAAATTACTCTTCTGAACACCACCTGAAGGTTTTTCTGGAGTTATACACAAGTCTGGGTCTGGGCCAATCAATTGTTCTGGCATATGTTGCTTTGGAATGGGGTACATGGGCTTGTTGTGTCTTTGTTTTTGATTGGACAAACTTTTGTCTGGTGAGATACAGAGAGCAGGATCTGGACCAATCAAATTCCTAATTTCATTCCATGGTGCAGGTGCTTGACAGAGAGGGATGGACTCTTCAGAGCTCTGTGATGTGTCCCAACCTGGGGGAGGAAACCTTGTGTGCATTTTGTCTTCCAAATATAAGACTTCATATCTCGATACTGCTCCATGTGATTTTTCCACCTTCTGTACAAGAGGGTATTTGTGAGCAAGTGGCTCAGTAGGCTGACAAGCAAAATGAGTGGCCATGATTGGTTGATAGATTTTCCTATTTGTCCAGTGTATTATCTGTGCAAATATGTAAGAAATATTTGTTAAGTTGCAATAGAATGCAATATCTTTTTATCAATTTAAAGCATCAATTCAAATACACGTAACTAGGATGTTCAAAATAACTTCGCATCATACCAACAGTGGAATTTTGTTTAATCAACTCTGCATGAATTGATGAGGTACGTACTATATTGTCCCATACCACACGGACAACAGAATTAATGAGATTTTTGTTGCGAGAAAATTAAATGATTTTTCTCAATATTCTCAAACGTCTGTGTCTAAGATAATAAATTCTGTTTTGTATTTTTGACCAGATCGTTCACATCTTTTTATTAATCATTTATTCAGTCGTGCACAGGGTTTTGTTACAAATGTCTAAAATAGTCATATGCTACATGTATACTGAAAACATACACATATATATATATGTGTATGTGTGCTGTGACCCATATCAGTATAGCATATGCCTATTTCAGACATTTGTAAAGTACCCCTGTGAGTCGTGTTCAGGAAGGTACACATTTTCAGTTCATTTAAAATTAAAATAACTATAACTTCATAAGGTCTGTAACTGCCTAAGGGAGGCAATCCAATTCAAAACTAGCTTTTCATCAAAAAAAAAGATATAGTAAGGCTAGCCCTGAGTTCAAACAGCATACTGCATCATTCATCAATAAGAAAAAGATGCATACAAATACGAAAGAACTGCCAACTTTATATACGTAAGTTAATATTAAATATCTTTCAAAACTGACCGAAAGCTATTTTCAGTTTTGCAAGTTCCAACATGAAACTATTCGGACACTTATAAATTTGCAAACTACATGGTATCAGTTCTTTTCAAAAAATCGAATGGAAAATGTTTTGCTACAGTCAGATAAGTAGTTACCTTTTCACATAATTACGATGTAAACCTGCGTAGCTTAGCTGCATAAATATCTCAATCTCTTCAGATCACGGTTCCACCGCCATTGCGAAGTAAACACAGGAAGTTGGCTGTCGTGACAGGAAATATACCTGACGCATGTGCAAAACTTACATAAATACTGAAAATGGCCACTGCAGCCGTAACGAAACTAGCTCCGGCTAGAAGAGCCTTGGTTCAACTATGTCAGGTAAATTCACAGCAATATTTTAGTGGTCGGTCGGTTGAAAAAACATCATTATCTGTTGGTTATTTTGTCAAAAGCAAATAACAAGTCGATAGATAGATCAAGAACATTTTATTTTGACCTTGGTCAGCAAACTTTCCTAGGCAGTACTGTACAGTAATGCCAGTACTCTACTGTATAGGCCTATGCATCACTCGAGTTCACAGAATCTTGTTGTAAGATAGATGTCTTCGATAATTTTTATGACGATGTTATATGTTATAAAATGATTTGAAACGCATTTAACCTATAAACCAGTGAGAAATAGTACATAAAAATTACTGAAATCATTATCATATCTTTAGTTATGAAAGCCTTTCACGAAGTTACGAAACGCTTTTTGGCAGCATCTGCTGTTTCGTAACAATTTTTTATTAGGTCTTAACTTTGTGACAGAGGTAATTTAAGCATTATCACTAAGGGTCGAGCCTAACTATATATAAATGCTAGAAAGACAAACAGGTTGTGCAAATTAAACCCCATTTAAGGTATTTCATAACAGCGTCATGTAAGTGTATATATATGTTGTAATGGGCTTAAACTTTCCTCAAAATGACTAAAGTATGGAAGTCGCTTCATATACACATGTCAAGAATAATGTCAATAATTACCTTTGCAGAAATGATTTGTCGAAAATATTGTTGTTTTTGTCTTAAAAGTAACTTTTGTAGCGGAATTTGAATGGAATTTTAATCAAGCAAAGTTTTCCACACTGAATGACACCATTTTGTTGGTTATGCAAATTACATGGGAATGATGTCTAATCAACAAAATGTTGCAGTCCTGAAGTACACCAACATATATATCCCGTCTCCTGCATGCATATACACAGTCACAAGCATACACTAGTAACACACATGGAGGCATATCCTTAAATGACCTTATATTATACAGTAATAGAATGGGTATGACGGAAATAGCACATTTATGGTCCCCCGAGGTGAAAAACTATTTCCCGAGGAGGCAAAGCCGTCGAGGGGAATAGTTTTTCACCAAGGGTGACTATAAATGTGCTATTTCCCGAATTACCCATTCTATAACTGTTTTATTATAACGAAACAAATTAGTAAAGGCAATTTAACAAATGAATTCATTTATCCATTTTCTTTTACAATTTCAAAGAGAAAAAAAATAGAATTGGGAGTACTGTATGCATCGTTGTTGATGTTATCTTCATTTCTAGCATTCAAGAAGTGTTTTTGTACAGCTTTTGTACTTAAGCTATGTTAATGTCCAAAATCTGCTGTAACTCCTCTTTACAACAACAAAACAGCCTTCATCGATGGCAATTTCCGCTGTTGTCATTTGGTTCTGAAAATGTGACAACATGAGCGACACAGAGAAGACCCGCCTACCAATGTTTTCATTGGTTGAAATCTTATAAGCTCCGCCTACAAATATTCATGAGGGAGTAGTCCTCTTTCTGGCAAGGAGTAGTCCTTTATTGCAGGGAGTAGTCCTAATTTGGGGAGGGAGTAGCTCTCGGATAGAGAGATTTAAGTGATTTAAGGAAAATATGATATTATATCGTATTGTTTTTATATAGGGAAAACTCAGTAGAGGTATAATAATAGCTGTTAATAGGATGTTAAACAAAACTAGACTAAACTAAACCAAATCCTGAAATCTGCTAAATAAGAATAACATATTCTGTTTTTGGTCTGGATCAGTAGAGTTTGTCTTCTAACTAGGTTGAAGGCACCCAGCACAGTATTCCACCTGGTCACATTATACTGACATTGGGTAATTATATCAACCAATTATTGCCATCACTCTATTAGCGCTGAACAGCAGGGAATAAGAATATCAACTACACAAATCATCTTTAAGGTCTTTGGTATGTCATGGCCTGTGGACAGAACCTATTGTCTACCCCACTGGCACTTGGAAAAAACACTCCAAACTAAGGCCAAAAGTGATGTATTTGTGTTAAAGAAGAAACTTCTCATGTTTGAGTTTGTGACCACGTAATTGCTTTAAACTTTGACAAGCACTTCATTGTTTTTACTTTTACAGACTAGATGTGCACAAACAGCAGCTGCTACAGCTACTCAAGAGCAACCTAGGTACAAGAAATTCAAAATATACAGATGGGTATGTATACAAACACTTTCACAATTCTCAAAAGTAAAGGTATCACCATGGCCAGTATCAAATGAAAAAAACCTAAACTAGTTTGAAATTTCATTTTGTAAGATTTTCTAAAGAAAATTGTCCTTCATGTCAGAATATTCAGTAATTTTTTACATATTTTTGTAGTCTCTTTCTCAAGCAAGTCCTGGACATCATTGCAGAACAGTGTTCTTAAAAAATTGACAATTCACACAGGGAAAGAATGAGTTAAAACTGCAGTTCCATAAATCACTGAATATGTCATTTGTTCGTGGCCTGAATGTAGAGATTTGTATTGCAGGACCCCGACAAGACTGGGGATAAACCCTCTCTACAAGAGTATGACGTAGACCTTAACAAGTAAGTGATCACATACATCAAAGGTGAACAGACCTTTGGCTTTCCAGCATAGAAAATGTTGTGTCATGTTGTAATGATAGTGACCTTTTAAATGTGTTCTTTTTTAACAATTCTCTTCATATTCATAATAGCTTATTAGAAAATATGGGTCTTTGAAAAAGCCTTCAGACATAGACATTTGACAGCAGAAGACAGTTACAAAGTCAGTGGAGATTGGCACAAAAATTACTGTTCATTTGTAGCTGTGAGCTAGTCACTTAAAAATGACACATTTACATGAGAAACTGTGTTAATTATAAACCACTGAGTTAATTGGGAAACTCTTAACATTTTCATAATTTTGTTGTATTTAAATCTTCAAGAACATAAGCAGAAAATGGTAAAGTTTTAACATGTGTGCAAATTTGTTTTAGATGTGGTCCAATGGTGCTTGATGCTTTGATTAAAATCAAGAACGAGATTGACCCGACTTTGACCTTCAGAAGGTCATGTAGGGAAGGTATCTGCGGTTCATGCTCAATGAACATCGGAGGAGTCAACACTCTAGCTTGCCTATGGTGAGTTAACTTATGGCATATTTAATTTATTCCTTATGAATAATTTGTCCTACAATGGATGCCCCACTGGTGTTAAGAGATGGTAATATTTGTTTGCACTCTGTACACGCTTTTCTCTCCCATTTGACAGTGATATCCACACTGCCGGATTCCCCTGTCATAACAATTTTATGACATCACCTCAACAGTGCATGTCATTAATTGCAGATCACTGAAGATAACGCCTATTAGCCTGTAATTATAAAATCAAAATTTGTATTTTAAGAAGTACCACTTGTATTTGATGTGGGAGAAAGTAATCATTCCCTGCTTTAGGAGTAAAGCAGGAAAATCTTAACCATTGGGGTAAGATTCTTTAGAGTCTGGCCTTCGGCAAAGCCTCAGGCTAGACATTTAAGAATCCTACCCCTTTTTGTTGAGATTTTTGTTCTGTCTTGCTCCCAAGGTGGGGAAAGATTATATTAATCTTGTATACTCTGTCAACTATAATTGCCAAATTAAGCATGAGTACCTTTTGGGATTGTGGAGTGTTATTTACTACTTTATACAGAGTTATGGTCCTTTTCTCACTGTAAATCACTTTGTTCAGGAAATATTGTCTATACTCTGTAAGCTAGAATTTCCGAACTTTGTGTGTGATTACTTTTGAGAGGGCATACTTCCACACCATGAAAGCAGTTTCATGCCCCTATTGAGAGATGAATTTTATATGTTTTTTTTAAACCAAATTTTGTCCATAGGGATTGCTCATAATATTGTGCACTAAAACAATAAATCTTTTGTAAATTTAATTTCCTTCCATATGTATTGGTATACTTTTGTATAATGTTCTAATAAGAATATTGATGACATATTAAAGGTATGAAAAATTTGAAAGGACTGCAAGACAAGTCATCATAATAATTTCCTTCTTGAAATTTGGGAAACATCTTTTAAAATTTCTGTTTCTAACGTTGTTTCTGTTTGTTCTGTTGTAGTAAAATTGATGTTTCTAACGTTGTTTCTGTTCTGTTGTAGTAAAATCAATGCCAACACAAGTAAAGCCCTGAAGGTGTATCCCCTGCCACATATGTACGTGGTGAAGGATCTGGTACCAGTAAGTTACACTCAATGTCATGTTTAAAACCTCATCTCTGTAACAAAGCAGGATTCTTTGTTTAATACTCAATATAAGGACCCCATTCAGGCACTGCTACAGGCAAAATACTGCAATCTGATTAAAATCATCTGTTAGGCTACGTTAACTTTGTACTTGTGTAACAGATGAATTTAATCAGGTTGAAAATACTGGAAAATTCCTCTGTAGTCTTTGAACTTACAGTAATATAAAGTGTCCTTAGTTTCATTTGTATTATAATTTCCTGAGCCAGGGTACTACTATTGACAAGGTATTTATGGGTTAGAGCAACATTTTATTAAACAGAAGTCCAGGGCCTGTCTTCCTGAAACCATTCTTGTGCTCAAAAATCAATTTCTGTGCTCAAGCCCAATTTCTTGCTCCGAATTAAAAACTTTCCTTTTTTCAACATGCTTGGACCAATTTGGGAGAGAATTCAAGAAATATTCTGTTTTAAATGTTCATACTTGACTATCTGACCTTGTCACTTAATTTAAATGAGTTACAATTAAGTTGGTTAGAGAACAAAACGTATGCTTGAGCATGAGAATGTTTTCAAGAATACGGGCCCAGGGTATGATGGGCGACAGCCCCATTTCAATTAAAAAACAATTTGCATCGGATAGAAAAGTCAACAAGTACGTACATATCACTGGATATAGTTCCAGGTTTAATGCTATTTGAAATGATGAATTTCTTTTTTGCTTTGAAAAATAAAATATTGATTATGATTGCAGGACATGAGCAATTTCTACGCCCAATACAGGGCTATTGAGCCATACCTAAAACAGAAGGATATAGAGTCTGACGAGAGTAAGATTGGAATGGAACAGAATCTACAGTCCGTCAAAGACAGAGCCAAGCTGGTCAGTATGCACGTTGACTGTCAGACGTCAAATTTTGTCAATATAAAGTACAAATTCTGACCATTTTAATCAGACTTTCATCCCTATGATGTTCTTTATTCAATCGAGTATTCTTGATTTACTTTAAAAAAACAAATTGTACACATTTACTGGATCAAGATGTCATTTGATGTGACAGCCCAGATAGTTTGAAAAAAGGTGTTGGCAGTTGTGGTCTAGATATATCATGGCGCTATTTAGTATTACTAGATTTGATGACATCAACAAAAGAATAAATATTTAATTTTACGATGTTGACGTACATAACCATGCTTATTAAGCATTGCTAGAATCAAGGACATCAACATAAATGATATCATAATGTAGTTTTACCTTAAAGTAGGATGTTTTAAAACCATATGATATTTTTGTCCAGGACGGCCTGTATGAGTGTATTCTGTGTGCCTGCTGCAGTACCTCTTGTCCGAGCTACTGGTGGAACTCGGATAAGTACCTAGGACCTGCTGTACTGATGCAGGCATACAGGTACGTTGTTTAACGTCTTATTCCTCAGTGTATTCATACATATATACAGTCACCATGGTGTTCATCCGTCTGTCTGTCTATCTGTCCACATTTAAGTTATTGGGGAATATCTCAGAATCCAGGAATTCTAAAATTCAAGAAGTCTAAAAATATTTGTAATACACATGGTGAAATCAGTTTATATGTAGATGTGCAATAGGGGCTTAATAAATTTCAAAGATCAGGGTCATTGTTACAAAAAATATGTACCTGGGATATACTATCATAGACACGGTATTACATATACACTTTCGGACTCCACAGTGTTCATTTTGGTGGCAATGGAATTAACTGGATAATCCTATGTGACTATTATCAAGATCCTTAATAGAGAATGACTGTTTGTCAAAATCAAGGTCATCATCTATCACTTCTGATTGGCTGAAACAAATATGGCCATACTATTTCTTATATGGTTTTTTTACTCAAATTTGTTTATGCTTGGTGGTGGTAATTTGTACGGATAGCCTAAGTGAATACGAACATATCATTTCAATCCCATTATCCAAGATGTCTGCCATGGCTCCTGATTGGCAGATACCTTTTCAGGCTCTAACATTTGTTCTTACTTGTCAGATTACATATCGACAATGAATCAATCTGTTCAGATAGTTCTTGGAAAGGGTACATAACCATTTTAAAGAGTTTTCAGTACATTACCGTATTCTCAAAACTTAATTAAAAAGTCGACCAATAGCTTGATATACTCTGGTGTTCCAGGTGGATGATTGACTCCCGTGATGAGTTCCAACAGGAGCGCCTACAGATGATGGAGGATTCCTTCTCTGTGTATCGCTGTCACACCATAATGAATTGTACAAAGACTTGTCCTAAGGTAAATTCATTGCGATACATAAAATTGTACTTAAGATCTTATCTAATGGCCTTCTAATTAGTTCATTTTAATGGTGTTGTTCTAGATTTGAAACCGGTAAAACATTTTGAGAGCAAAAATATTTTATTTGATATACTACATGTAATGGCTTTTCGCTGTATGCAAATAGATAACTATATAAATATAAAGACTGATATTTGTTGCAATAAAAAATATCCCCCTCCTCCCCACCAAGAGATTTGAACTAGTTTTTTTATGAAACATGTTATACCAATATATAAATCTCTCAGTTTTAAACCAAAAAAAATTCTCTGATAGAATAAAATCCGAAAATTGAATTCAATGATCTGTGGTTCTTTTTGTAATTTTTCATATAATGTTCTAATGTTAATCAGTAAAGCTAAGATATTAATTAGAATAAGAAATGTACAAAAAATAACCAAAGAATTGCTGATTGATGAATAGAGAGATTATTTGTGATTTGTATTTGACAGGGTCTCAACCCAGGCTTGGCTATTGGTGAGATCAAGAAGTTGTTGGCACAGTACAACAACAAAGCGTAGACTGATTTCTGTGGATGCTGTGTGTATTGGGACAAGCTGGATCTATTGTGCACCAAAAACACCTTTAGGCTTATGGCTGTGTTGAAAGTATCTGGTGTTGTCATATTGACTTCTGAGTTATCAGACTTACAGAATACCAGCCTCTTGCTTTGTATCGTTGTCTGGTCTACATGGAACAAAAGTTTATTTCGGTAGATAATGTAAATAATGTTATGGAAAAAGAAAAATCCAAATAATCATATTTTTAAAACAAAGTTTTCGAAATCTGAAAAGAGAATGACATGATGCACCTATGTGAATAACAGCGTAAGGGAGATAACTTCAAAAATAGTTGTATCAGAATAAGATCACTATATTCAATTTGAACTTTTTCTGCAAATAAAAAACTGCAAATGTACATTGTTTTAGAAATATTGCTTCTTGTAAATTCGTATTTATTTATACACTGTCTTTTTATCATTATTTCAAAGAGAATTCTTTATATAAAATTGTGAATGTTAATGAACAGAGTTGAATTATTTTTTCCCATTGTTGTAAGTCACTTCATATTTAAAGCATACTTCCTTTTTTGATTGTCCTTCTGTCAACATATTTGCAACGATTTGAATTTGTGAAAGAAACATCTATAGTTTCCTAGGTTCCTCGGTTATTTGTGTTTGAAGAAATGGCGCCAACATCAGTTGTAGGTTTGTGGGTTGATCAGTGGGGCACTTTGCTTTAGGTTTAAAACATGATAAAATTGGCCTGGTGAACATAAACTTTAAAAAACATCCACTTAATAAGTGATTATGAAAATGTTGTAATCATATCCCCCTTCTATCTATACAAATAAATATTTGCGATATTTGAATTTGTTGTTGACTCTCCTCAAAATTAAATCAAAATTATATATTTTGCAATACACAAAAGTGATCAACAGTACTTCATGGACTTGACAAGTACAACCGCCTCCATTCCTTCACTGCATATATACTCATCCCTTCTTCTCATCTTCCTATCTGTTCTTTGTCAGCTGGATAAACAAATTACTCAGCAGTGAAGCCGATGTAATCCACTCAATAACATTTGACAATTTTACCTGTGGTGAACAATTTTAAATTCAAAATACCAGTCCACAGACAGATTTTTAAAAAACTCCACTATTTACCCAATCTTTATTTTCATAACTTTTTACTAGCACTGCCTGGCATACAATCTTCTAGCCATAGGTATATTAAAGGGTGTATAGAATCTTGCACCCCTGATTTTGTACGCAACATGACTGTTTCAAAAAGGTCTTAATAGTTTTACCTCTACTGACATACCAAGTTTGCATCTGTGGTTTGTCAATCTTTTGTCCTGCTAAATTCTGAATGGCCAAGGGAACTTGACGTCTAATGGGAAGGTATGGTTCCCCTGTTCCCCTGGAGGAGAAATGCATGGCCCACTTAGGAGAGTGAGCTTTTTAAGGCTTCTACAGTTCAGCTGATTGAACTTTACCAAATTGAGTACGGAGTATCACTGGGCTGCAAGAATCAACAGAGCTCGAAGTGAGCAGGTCAAATGCATATAATTTTGGCAACAAAGTTCTTTTAAAAACAAGAATGAACACCTCATCATCTTTAACATGTTTATTCAATAGTTTTTATTATAAATATGATAAACTTTTAGAGAGAAGAAAATAGAAATCTCACAGAGAAACAATAATAATCAGATATATCAGGAGGAATCAAATATCTACTTAAATCGTAATGTAATTGAGTAGTTAATTTATCATGACTTCACATATATTAAATACAACATGCTTGCACATGCATAACATAGCATGAGATCTCCCTTTGTCAACAGTATTCCATGTGTCTTTATAAGTAAATATTTGATGAAGACTTTGCACCAAATCAAAAATTTATGTAGGATGGTAAATTGTTGTAACACAGTGTATGAAGTATCATAATGCGTGGGTAACACAGTGTACGTGGTATTGTAATGCAACGTCAATCAATGTATGAAGCATTGTAATGCGTCCGTAACACAGCACATGTAGTATGTATTGTAATGCATCACTATTCTACAGCCATTTTGAAAGGGAAAAAAATCACTGAATACATTATAGACAAAAAAAATCCTTTCAAAATGGCTGCAGAATAACTGTGTCATTATGTTGGCATGTACATAAATACCTTATAATACGGTAAATGTGAGAAAAAAATCCATTTTGAATGTAGGAGATTGCACTAAAAACAAATTCCATAAACTGTATCAGAAATACATAGAAAAATGAACCCTTACAAAAGCACCTTTTACAACATCATGCTCCTTCACATTGTATAACACATTAATGTATAAATTCTACAAAGCTTTTTCATGACTTCACTTGTCATAATAGATAAGAGCCTTCGAAAATTCAGCATACAAACACATATACTTACAATGTAACACACCTTTCTGATAGGTTACAACTGTATGCCAGGAAAATTTTGCCCATCACTTGTAAAAATAATATTGGCAACTTGTTAACTGTGCTGTTCTTTAATGCGTATATTGTGAAGTTCAACTGTGGCGAAAAAAATTAATTATACACTGAGGCAATCCTTAAGGAACCTAGTACCTGTACATACAACAATGAGTAAAATTATCCGTATTATCCTCAGCGCCATGTCATGCTCTAGAAATGTCAGTAAAGCTAGAGTATTGTGATTTATTATCATTGAGGAATATTTTCATACAAATCACATGAGCAAAATTCCCTCAGTACCTATATAGCTACAATGTCAAATCAGCAGCGAGGGAACGGGCACAAAACATAACAAAGTGTATATGTCGAAGATGTTATTCGGTTTCAAAATATTCAAAAGCATAAGATGCTAACAAAAATCCAAAATGTATTGAGGAGGTAGGGTTATATATTTTCAGTATTAGTAGCATACAACTGTGATGTCAAAATGTTTAATCAATCAGTATTTGTAATAGGTGAAGCACATTTTAAGGCAGTAAAGAGACATAACTCTGTATATTCAGGGACAAAATGCCCAGATTTCAGAGTGTGGAATACACCATTTGGTAACTGTATATGAGATATGCTTTGGACAATATGATGCAGTTACCCAAGGGCTACAACTCCGTATAAGTGGGGATTACAGGCAGACTATGATACACACTATAACCACTATCGTGTTTTGTGTACATGTATTACCAGTACATCTTTGAGTATGTGAACGATCGATGTATTAAAGCACAAAGCTTGAACTGACTGACTGTCTTATTATCTTGTATTCAGAACCACAATTAGTATAAAACACAACAAACGAATGAACAAATTTCAGGATGCAACATACGGCCACCAAAAAGATGTATTTGCGTACAATATTTGTATGTCATGGACAATACGATACATAGGGGCTATAACCATATACAGATGGGCATAAGACCCATTTCACTATTTGACAGTATTTGATAAGCTAACTGCTGCTACCCAGTGATAACATACCAAATTCAGTAAATACACTAGTGTACAGAGAAGTATCCTGGATAATGTGATGCACAGTTTGGTGGACTTAAATGATGGAAGGAGTGCAAACATTTTCCCCCTCTTCTAGTACGAGTTAAGGACTAATAATCACCAGTGGAGGACTAATAATCACCAGAGTTCTACTGAAGCAATTAAAGTCATTGAGTCTCAAAAGTATATTGAATCAGTACAATGCTCATTTTGAACAGCTTTTCACACTGATATATACATGACAGAAACTGGATGAAGATGGAGAAACCAAGACGGGTTGTCAGCGACTTAAACAAATCATTGATCGATATCAAAGAGGAAAAGATTGATGTACAATTTTCTGCAAACCTCAACAGAATCTTGATGAAGATGGAAAAACCAAGACGGGTCGTCAGCGACTTAAACAAATCATTGATCAATATCAAAGAGTAAAAGATTGATGTACAACAGTCTGCAAACCTCAACAGAATCTGGATGAAGATGGAGAAACCAAGACGGGTCGTCAGCGACTAAAACAAATCATTGATCAATATCAAAAATTAAAGATTGAGGTACAACTGTCTGCAAACCTCAACAGAAACTGGATGAAGATGGGGAAACCAAGACGGGTCGTCAGCAACTAAAACGAATCATTGATCAATGTCAAAGAGTAAAAGATTGATGTACAACTGTCTGCAAACCTCAACAGAATCTGGATGAAGATGGAGAAACCAAGACGGGTCGTCAGCGACTAAAACGAATCATTGATCAATATCAAAAAGTAAAAGATTGAGGTACAACTGTCTGCAAACCTCAACAGAAACTGGATGAAGATGGGGAAACCAAGACGGGTCGTCAGCAACTAAAACGAATCATTGATCAATATCAAAGAGTAAAAGACTGATGTACAATCATCTGCAAATACTCAGCAACAACTCGATGATAGACCCATGGCAGCAATACCAACTATGCATACATCTGTGTCGTCAGTTTGGGAAAAGATAAGTAGCTGGAAAGACACATTTCAATATAAAAGTGATGCTGGAAATATAATAACTTCGCAACAAACAAATTTAACTTTACCGTAAAGTGGTTTTTATATCTCATTTACAATAACATGTTTGTACAGGTAAACTGATGACAGACAAGTGGCCTGTTAGACAAGATGTCTAAATCATCAAATATATGTGTAGAAAAATATTGCAAGAGAACAATGTAAAAAGAGAAATCTTACATCTTATCATGTCTAGAAACAAGAGGCCCATGGGCCTTAACGGTCACCTGAGTCTACAGTATTTATTTTTGTTGTTGAAATATGTACCAATTTGAGTAAAAAATAGTATAATGTTAACTTAACTTTGTCAGGACCATGAGCTGATCATTCCTAGACCAATTTTAAGTGAGATCGGCCTATTAGAACTTAGTAGCAAAATAGCGGCCATGGCAGCCAAATTGTATTTCTGATTGACCCGAAAAATAACAACACTTTGTCAGGACCATGAGGCGATCATTCCTACCAACTTTCAGTTCAATCGGTCCAGCAGAACTTGACTTTAAGTTTGAAATAGGTTTTCAAAATGGCGGCCGTGGCGGCCATATTGGATTTCTGATCGACCCGAAAAATAACAACACTTTGTCAGGACCATGAGGCGATCATTCCTACCAACTTTCAGTTCAATCGGTCCAGCAGAACTTGACTTTAAGTTTGAAATAGGTTTTCAAAATGGCGGCCGTGGCGGCCATATTGGATTTCTGATCGACCCGAAAAATAACAACACTTTGTCAGGACCATGAGGCGATCATTCCTACCAACTTTCAGTTCAATCGGTCCAGCAGAACTTGACTTTAAGTTTGAAATAGGTTTTCAAAATGGCGGCCGTGGCGGCCATATTGGATTTCTGATCGACCCGAAAAATAACAACACTTTGTCAGGACCATGAGGCGATCATTCCTACCAACTTTCAGTTCAATCGGCCCAGCAGAACTTGACTTTAAGTTTGAAATTGGTTTTCAAAATGGCGGCCGTGGCGGCCATATTGGATTTCTGATCGACCCGAAAAATAACAACACTTTGTCAGGACCATGAGGCGATCATTCCTTCCAACTTTTAGTTCAATCGGCCCAGCAGAACTTGACTTTAAGTTTGAAATGTAAAATGTTTACGGACGACGGACGACGGACGACGACGGACGAAAACGGATAGCAATAGGTCACTTGAGCTAAAGCTCAGGTGACCTAAAAATACATGAAAAAAGAATGATCAATACATTGTATAACTGTCTTCTCTTCAGATTCGAATAACGTAAACAAATCTGTTGTCACATATATCAATGAAAATGTCTCCACTTTTAACCCACTTTTCCGTCCTATGTTACTTAGTACATGTAGACTCTACCATGCATTGATATGGATGAGTCAATTATGGTCTACAGTGGTGAAAGGGTTAAAACTAAAGATTGCACTTATACATGTATTGTTGCTAAAATGTTGTATCCTATCCAATTTAAATAATCAAGGAATTCAATACCCTTCTTGTGATACTTTTTAAATTCTGACATACATTCTCCTTCACGATTTTCCTATTGTGATAAAGGGAGGTAATAAGAATTTTGCAGTACATCAATTATATATCAAGGGGAGACAATTAAGTGCCTAGTATACCTACATGAAATACATATGAATTATTGCCTCAATGAACATGTCATCTTTAAAATGTATTAAACTATAAATCATTTTGGAAACTTTTCTATAAAATGGTCGTAATCCCCAGGGGCAGTTGTCTCCCCTTCTCCCCTGCAATCAGTTGTGCCATTAAGAAAGGCATCAGTAGCTGGTGAATGGTGAGTGGAACGCCTATATTAAGGATCCCTGTCCCACTACACTTCCGTTTTCCCTATAAACAGTAACCTCCCCTTAATTTCCGTTGGATTATTACTAGCACAGTTGGACTACGGCACTTCTGTTGACCAGGTAGCTCAATCGGTTATACCAATGGTATATTGATCTGAAGTCCAGTATTTGAATAAAGGTTTGGCCCTGCAGAATGTTTTACACTCTGAATGCATTTGTTGATTAAACTTTTGTTTTTATCTTCGTTGTGTTTTCACATAAGTCCTGTAGGGTGTTATTTTCTTTTCAAAAATGATTTATCCAAGCTAAAGTCATGCCAGAAATTCAAGTTTCCATTGTGTAGTTTCATTTTCTGCAGTGGCACAGGGATCTTTTAGATGTTTTTTTCTTACTAACATACCTTGTATTAAGACAAGTTTTCCACCTAAGAAGAGACATAAAGGTTTCTATCCTAACTTCTAAGTTGAAATCCTCCTTAATTAACTAAATGTACTACTGAATGTATTGCATTGGGCACTAAATCAGCAGATAATGTTTCATGACAGCTTATTTTCATTCAGTATACATGCACCCGGTATTTGCTACAGCTACAGATTGTTGGTGGGAGTTGTCTCACATACAAAATAAAGTGCATGGAAGGGGGGAACAATTTTTACGATAAGCATTCAGGTTACATATCTAAAATCACTTGGGGCACCCTTATGACAGCAAGTGCCCACATTACTTCTAATCAGAATATTACTAGTGTAAGTCCGTCTGTGACAAAGGTCTTCAGATGACTAAAAAAACATTTTTCTAATAATTGTATGAAATAATTTTTCCAGAAATATCAATAAGGTCAATCTATCAACATATGAATTGTAAGGTTTTAAAATAATATCAAATTCACTACATTATTTCTTAATGCAGTTTCTGAGTACAACTTTCATACACACATCTAGAATTTAATGCTGTATTTAATGTTTAATATGAAACAATATGTCATGATGGCATTTATTTTCCTAAATATGACAAGCAAAATGAACAGGTGACATCCCTGTGGTGAAAAGAAATCTACATTTCCGTAGCAGTATTGCGAGGTATTTGATTTTACCATACATATGTAATTGTCAGAAAAAAAATAGAAGAATACCATAAACCGGGAAACTTTCGCTCAGTCAAGTATTCGCCCTAAAACCCATATTCGCCCAGTGTAAATTTCGCCCTTCACATGTAATTACTATATACTGTATGCTGTGTAATAATACTAGCTGTCATGATTCGCCCTCATAGCAGAGAGCGAATAAGGCGAAAAGTTGAACTGCACCAAACATTACCCAGTATACAGTAAAATTCTTAGTGCTTGTTCTGGTCCACTTAAAATGGATTGTATACATACCAGATGTGTCTATCATAAATAATTGTCACGCATGTCACGCTTTCAGGTATACATATTAAAAACCATGCCATAACACATATTCTGTGTTAAATTGAAGCATCTCGTTCATAAAAATACGTCGCCACAAGAATAATTCATTAGCAGTTAAAACGTTCGTCTTCACAACCTAGTAACATAGAACAAGCATGACGCAATGAATTGAAAATGGAGGTAATAGAAACAACACATTGTGTATATAACAAGCATTCTATTAAAATTTGTCAAATTAATGTTAGCGGGAAAATGCATGTTCATCAGCAACAAAATATAAAACATGGATAACCAAAAGATTTTCACATACATGTACTGTGGATTGGCCCATGCATTTGAAATCAATAACTTCTAAATTCCTTTCAATCAAGTTATGGTAGTTTAAATTACACTCTGCAAATTGTCCATGAAACATCTGTATGAACTACTGTGCACATCATACAAAAACCCCAGACATTTGTGAACAAAAAAAATAATGATGCATTATATTTCCTTTTGACCATGTTTTGTAATACTAAATTTTGTTTTAATATTTTATTTTAAACAGTCGTGACCTGCATATTATTTCTGACCCAACTTAAATGAAAACCATTGACTTATCCTCCGATAGGCCCTACACATAATATCCGACTCAAATCAGGGGTGGGCGTATTACAGGACAATGAAATTCTACTGAATTGCTATAGATATAAGTGGGCTTATTCACAGACATGGGTTTATTGCTGGGTCAATTCAGTGCTAAGTTAATCCTCCTCACTGCTGTGGAAGCTAGAGAACTCTCTAATGTGACATAGCAATGTCATAAGTGTCTATGAGTAAAACATCATAATTACCAGTGCAAAACTTGGACAGCAGGGGCTTAAATTGAGCCGAGTCATTATACTTCATCAGAAAATAACATAAATATTTAACATGATATTTACATTGTCTACAAATTGTCATATTCATTGTATATTAAAATCATATCAACTGCATGCACACTCTGTTTTAGTAAAAATACACCTTCAGTCACTGAAGTCACATGTTATTTAACATGCAGTATTCTGATTGTGAAGCCACATCTCATGTTTCTGTAGCTCTACTCATCCTGCAATAAGCCCAGGTGGTAAAGGTGTAAACTTTGACTTGAGTTACAGGATGGGATAACTTTATGACAATAAAATAGCGTTAAATTTTGTAAACAATTCTACTGAACTGTATCTGACATGGGTGGGCTTATTACCAGGCATGGGCTTATTGTAGAATAGATACAGTAGTGTTAACCTAGCTCTGTAATTTGGAGATACTTTATCTATGTTGTTTAAAAAATTTGTCCTTTTTTTTTTTTTACAAAACTGACAAAAAATGCTGACGAACAGCAATAATTTGCTTGCTGTAAGATTCCTTTACCATTTGATTAACACCTGCAAGAAAACAGCACATTTAGAATGATTTTGACTACTTCAGAGAACGCCAGTGTGTTACCATTGGACCAGCCATGAAAACACACATATCAATACTAAATCGAGCCACTGGGAACTAATCCCATCTCACATTTTATAGATATATACATGTATATATATACCCTATAACTGACGGGGTGAAAATATCTACATAAACAAGAATACAATAACAAAGTTGGTATACTCCATTTCCCTCCATTTTCTACTAAACAACATACGATTGTCCACAGAATCGACCTCCCATAACCTTTATAGGACTCGTAATATCTAAACGATGCTTGTAAAACATGCCTGACCTCATCAACAGTTTTTATAGCAATTTCATTATCCTATATGGCAAAGAAGGCTAAATCTTCCTACACAACTCAGAACATATAAATTCAATTCTTGTTATAAAAACGGAGCAATGTCCAACACTAGCTTTCCTAACAGATTTTATCCCCTTTTAGTCATGATTGATGATATATTGCAATACAGCATGTTCAATGAATTTATTGTGATGCATATCCTAATATATGGTCATAAGAAAAAGGTGCTCAATTTAGAAAGAAAAGGTTGTCAGAATAAAAACTTAATCATATATAATATGGATCACAAAAAGTTAAGATTTTTTGTCAAAACAACCATCCATTATGAAATTTACACCGATTCCCCGCACTAGTAATAGCCTGTTTCATGGTTATCGGCATATCTGTTAGGATGTGTAGTAACTTGCAAAGTGAAAATACCAAGCAGATACATAAAAAATATTGTGATACAGCGATATTTCCTCTCTCGTTTTGTGATACGATATGCCTGTGCATTGCAATATACCGGTTTTCCAATATATTGTCACAGCCCTATTCGGCACCGAAGATAACCCTCGTCTTTATATGTTGGTGAGGCAAAATTCAGTATTGGTCCAGAAAGTGTGACTTCCACATCAAATTTTCAGAATGTGTTTTTGTGTGTTATATTAAGCATTTTGTGAAGGTTCAATGCAATGAGACTGTTATTAAGTTTATCTAGATATCTTTACTGTTTTTTTTTTTTTTTTTTACTTTTTCTACTCTACTACAAAGGCCAGGCATATTTTGCTAGCACCATAAATAAACATCAGTCAATCAGTTGTGTGTTCTTCCCTGTTTTTTTAACCTGTAACATACTGCTAATCCCAAGCATGACATCATTATCCTTACCGTCTATAAAGGCAAATGGAGGCATTCCAACAACTAGGTTTTATCAATAAAATACAAAGTATAAATTTCAATAAGAAACTACAGATCTAACATGACTGGAGTCAGTTTCCAATATAAAAATAGCTCAATGAAGATTTTACATTAAAAAGCCATATATCCCACAGTTCCTGAAACAGGTAGATCCACAGTTGAGTATATATACAATATGTCATATCTTATCACTGTTCCGTACACGAACCAAACAAGTGTCCGCCTACGAGGAGCTCCATACATTTTCACATCATTTACAAAAAGTTTTATTCACAGATAAATAAGAAAATATTGTGCTACTATGAATATCACTAAGAATTCAAATGCAAGTAAAAAAAGACAATTCTTTTTTACATGAAATTGAAAAATTGTCACAGCAGGCTTTCATGTCCAAGGACGATTGAAAAGCTGAGGTCAACAACTCGTCGAAAATCTTGCACATCTCAGTTCCTGAGACAAGTCCGTATCACATAATCATCAATTATCATAAACAATGTTTTTCTTCTTACGTAGTAGCCTCGAAGACATCAAATATGGACTCCGCTACTTTGACAGATCCATATTTAAATCTGAAGTTATCAGCTTTTGTATCATAAAAGAATATCACGTATAGTAATCTTTCTGTTCCCTTTATTCTAAAATGGAATCCACCAAAACAAAGGGGAGATTGCACCATTATACAAAGAAGGGGTGTCAGTCTGCATGTTACACCCCTAAGAGATAACTTGTCCACTACGAGTCACTGTGGGAGGAGTGTTATGCCGAGACCTTGTTCTGACTGGGCTGTGTGATGCCGTTCTGTTTGGACATGTCCCCAACACTTTCCCGTTTCTTTTTCTCTTCCTCTAATGCCCTGTGCATTTCTGTGTAGTAATCGAGTGCAGTCCGTACTGGCTTGATAATATCCTCCTAAAACAGACATTGTCATTATCAAACTGGTAACATCATCACCGATTCTCTTACACCGACTCCAGTGCCGACCGTACCAATTATATGGTACAAGTCTATAAACATACATGGTCAAAGTTAAACAGGTAACTTTGCCACCATATCCTGTACCATATTACACCGACTCCAGTGCCCACCGTACCAATTAGATGGTACAAGTCTATAAACATACATGGTCAAAGTTAAACAGGTAACGTTGCCACCATATCCTGTACCATATTACACCGACTCCAGTGCCGACCGTACCAATTAGATGGTACAAGTCTATAAACATACATGGTCAAAGTTAAACAGGTAACTTTGCCACCATATCCTGTACCATATTACACAGTCTCCAGTGCCGACCATACCAGCTAGATGATACGAGACTTCAAATACGTTTTCAAAATGAAAATTGGTAACATAGTCACCACTCTTGCACTGAACTCGGAGCCAAATTGGACAGTAGTCTACAAACTTTCGTTGTCAAGGTTTAAGGACCCCTGTCCCACAAGGGGCAAAACAATGAATAATTTCAATTTACTTTTTCCTACACAGAGTAAATTCTCCCCTTAATGTTATTTTGCATATAAATGAAGTGTGACTGAGCCAGAGTACTACTCTATACCAGGATATTTTCGCGCAGTCAAACTTGACAAAAAAAGTGTCCTTCTAGAGTTGAGAGGGTCCTGGGTTCGATTCCCAGTCTGGCCGTTGCATTTCTCTTTCTCCTGTTACAGGTCCATTATGATCACGAGGCAATACATGTACCCTTAAATCCTAAATGGGTCACTAGGATTTCTGTCTATGATAAAATCAGAACGGAATTGAGTGAATTTTTTGCATATTTTGCATGCTTTTAATTATCCAAGGTTCCTCCACTTCGTTGTGTATTAATCACTTACCTCCTAATAATTACTCCCAGAAAGGGTCTGTAACACACAACACATCAACACTTTAGTGTAATCATCAGAATCCTATTTCGATAAAGCTTACCTCTATGACAGGGAATAACTCCCCTAGAGATTCAAACAGAGGCAGCAGAGCGTACTTGATGAACCCTATCTGTGAAGAGGACTTGTTCACTTTCTCTCTATCCATGAATGGAGCGACTGGTAGGCCTTCAAGCTTTTCAACATCACTCTGTAAAACAAAACAGCCAACAATGTAACAATCAGATTGAACATTCTAGAATATCAATATCATCATATTACGAAAAGCATATGGGTTTAACATCCTCGTAAATCAAGGGTCATAAAAAAACGTTGGCTACAATGAGGATATTAAACCCTGAACAACAAACTACAGACCAAATATGATGATCCTAGGCCTTATGGTTCTTTAGAAGAAATCATTTAAATGAAAAGAATAATTGATGAAGGACAGACAGACCATGGTATATTTTCACAATTCTGTATCAAATAACTTAATACATGAATTTTGATACTTCGTTCTGATTAAACTATTAACAATAACAATTAAGAAATATAAACTTTCAATAGATTTTATAATAGAGTTAAATTACACACATTTTTCCATGATAAATATAAAAATATCTACAGATGATAACAACAAATTGCTTTGTATTACCAGATGCATAAATATTGCCTGAACGTTATATCATGATCCACATGTAATGTTACATGAAGGCTGTGTATGATGGACAGACAGACCATGGTATATAATGTTACATGAAGGCTGTGTATGATGGACAGACAGACCATGGTATGTAGTGTTACATGAAGGCTGTGTATGATGGACAGACAGACCATGGTATGTAGTGTTACATGAAGGCTGTGTATGATGGACAGACAGACCATGGTATGTAGTGTTACATGAAGGCTGTGTATGATGGACAGACAGACCATGGTATGTAGTGTTACATGAAGGCTGTGTATGATGGACAGACAGACCATGGTATGTAGTGTTACATGAAGGCTGTGTATGATGGACAGACAGACCATGGTATGTAGTGTTACATGAAGGCTGTGTATGATGGACAGACAGACCATGGTATGTAGTGTTACATGAAGGCTGTGTATGATGGACAGACAGACCATGGTATGTAGTGTTACATGAAGGCTGTGTATGATGGACAGACAGACCATGGTATGTAGTGTTACATGAAGGCTGTGTATGATGGACAGACAGACCATGGTATGTAGTGTTACATGAAGGCTGTGTATGATGGACAGACAGACCATGGTATGTAGTGTTACATGAAGGCTGTGTATGATGGACAGACAGACCATGGTATGTAGTGTTACATGAAGGCTGTGTATGATGGACAGACAGACCATGGTATGTAGTGTTACATGAAGGCTGTGTATGATGGACAGACAGACCATGGTATGTAGTGTTACATGAAGGCTGTGTATGATGGACAGACAGACCATGGTATGTAGTGTTACATGAAGGCTGTGTATGACGGACAGACAGACCATGGTATATAATGTTACATGAAGGCTGTGTATCTGGGATCATAGTGTATACCAGAATACTTTTCGCCCATTCAAACTTTCGCCTTTTGCCCATGAAATAAAGTTTCGCCCAGTGTTGATTTTGCCCTACATTGTTTATTACCGGGGTACTAGGTTTATTGTGATGTATACTTGTAATGATAAATTCACCCTCAATAGGGAGGGCAAAAAGGTGAAAATTAAACTGCAGGGAACATTTCACAGTATACTGAGTAGCTAGCTAGTCCATGACCATATTGTGCATATATGAAATAGAACTGATCCTGGTGGCTGCGAAGTTACTGAGCTACAGACGTTAATGAAACTATTCACTTTATTTTACTGAAACTACGAAATTTACTGAAATAAGCTTTTTGGAAACGTCATACTTTACTGAAAATCCATTCTTTATTTTACTGAAAATAAAAATTGTACTGCATTCAGATATTTTACTGAATTGTTAGATTTAACTGAAACCACAAAAGTTTCTGAAATCAGCGTTTTGGAAACGTAATACTAAAAATCTATTCTTTATTTTACTGAAAATACAAATTGTACTGCATTTAGACATTTTACTGATTTGATAGATTTTACTGAAACCACAAAATTTTCTGAAATCAGCTTTTTGGAAACTTCATAATTTACTGAAAATCTATACTTTATTTTATTGAAACTACAGATTTTACTGCATCTGTTTATTTTATTGAATCGATAGATTCACATTTTACTGAAACTGCAGTATGATACTTTGGGATCTATTTCAATAACAAGAGGCCCATGGGCCTTAACGGTCACCTGACATATTTATACAGAGAGTTGATTTTGTTTTTAACATGAACAGAAATATTATTCAAAGTTACAAAAAACAATAAAACCACCTTACTCAATATCTAGCATACAGATTTCAGACTAAAAAGGATTTGAAACTAGCGCCTCTTATTCTTAACAAGGAAAATGAAGAAATTTTAGCACACTGACTCCTTTGAGCCCCACTCTACAGCCCTTGGGGGTAGGGCTGGCTCAAAATTTTCAAAGTATCAAAATGTCAATTCAAGGTTATAATTCCAATCAAGTTATTAACATGTAATATTCAAAGTATCATTTGCCATTATAAACCATAATAAATTTTTCCCCCCCCCCTCCTTCCCCAGGGGGGAAATGTGAGACCCCAGGGGCATAAACCTTAAGACCCTTCCATCTATGAAGAGTATTTGATTCTACCATATCTGGTTCTTGAGAAGAAGATTGTTGAAATTTCAGTAAATTCGACCCTTTTTGACCCCACCCATCAGCCCCTGGGGGTCAGTCAGGGCTGATATGTGCTTATTACCAAACTGCTACCTAATACAGATAATGCTAACCCAAATTAAATTACTGCCAAAGGAAATTAAACAAACGTTGGTATAAAATGAGATTTCCCTATATAAACTATAGTAAAGTTTACACCCTCCCCAGGGGGAAATGTGAGAACCCAGGGTCAAGAAATTTACAATTTTGGTAAAGCACTTGAAGACCCTTCCATCTATGAAGAGTCTTTGATTCTACACTATGTGGGTCTTGAGAAGAAGATTTTTGAAATTTTAGTCAATATGACCCTTATTGGCCCCGCCCCTCAGGCCCCTGGGGGATTAGGACTAAACCTGCTACCATTTTTGTTGACCTTTGTCCATTGAAGGTCCCAGCGAAATTTCATTGAATTTGGCTCAGGGGTTTTGGAGAAAAATTTTTTTGATTTTTTTTGCAATTTGCCCCTTTTTGGCCCCGCCCCTCAGGCCCCTGGGGGCTTAGGGCTAAACCTGCTACCATTTTTGTTGACCTTTGTCCATGGAAGGTCCCTGCAAAATTTCATTGAAATTGGTTCAGTGGTTTTGGAGAAGAATTTTTTTGATTTTTTTTGCAATTAGCCCCTTTTTGGCCCCGCCCCTCAGGCCCCTGGGGGCTTAGGACTAACCCTGCTACCATTTTTGTTGACCTTTGTCCATTGAAGGTCCCAGCGAAATTTCATTGAATTTGGCTCAGGGGTTTTGGAGAAAAATTTTTTTGATTTTTTTTGCAATTAGCCCCTTTTTGGCCCCGCCCCTCAGGCCCCTGGGGGCTTAGGGCTAAACCGGCAACTATTTTTGTTGACCTTTGTCCATGGAAGGTCCCAGCGAAATTTCATTGAATTTGGCTCAGGGGTTTTGGAGAAAAATTTTTTTGATTTTTTTTGCAATTAGCCCCTTTTTGGCCCCGCCCCTCAGGCCCCTGGGGGCTTAGGGCTAAACCTGCTACCATTTTTGTTGACCTTTGTCCATTGAAGGTCCCAGCGAAATTTCATTGAAATTGGTTCAGTGGTTTTGGAGAAGAATTTTTTTGAATTTTTTTGCAATTTGACCCTTTTTGGCCCCGCCCCTCAGGCCCCTGGGGGATTAGGACTAAACCTGCTACCATTTTTGTTGACCTTTGTCCATGGAATGTCCCAGCGAAATTTCATTGAAATTGGTTCAGTGGTTTTGGAGAAGAATTTTTTTGATTTTTTTTGCAATTTGAGCCTTTTTGGCCCCGCCCCTCAGGCCCCTGGGGGCTTAGGGCTAAACCTGCTACCATTTTTGTTGACCTTTGTCCATGGAATGTCCCAGCGAAATTTCATTGAATTTGGCTCAGGGGTTTTGGAGAAGAATTTTTTTGATTTTTTTTGCAATTTGTCCCTTTTTGTCCCCGCCCCTCAGGCCCCTGGGGGCTTAGGGCTAAACCTGCTACCATTTTTGTTGACCTTTGTCCATGGAATGTCCCAGCGAAATTTCATTGAATTTGGCTCAGGGGTTTTGGAGAAAAATTTTTTTGATTTTTTTTGCAATTAGCCCCTTTTTGGCCCCGCCCCTCAGGCCCCTGGGGGATTAGGACTAAACCTGCTACCATTTTTGTTGACCTTTGTCCATTGAAGGTCCCAGCGAAATTTCATTGAATTTGGCTCAGGGGTTTTGGAGAAGAATTTTTTTGAATTTTTTTGCAATTTGACCCTTTTTGGCCCCGCCCCTCAGGCCCCTGGGGGCTTAGGACTAAACCTGCTACCATTTTTGTTGACCTTTGTCCATGGAAGGTCCCAGCGAAATTTCATTGAAATTGGTTCAGGGGTTTTGGAGAAGAATTTTTTTGATTTTTTTTGCAATTTGACCCTTTTTGGCCCCGCCCCTCAGGCCCCTGGGGGCTTAGGACTAAACCGGCAACTATTTTTGTTGACCTTTGTCCATGGAAGGTCCCTGCAAAATTTCATTGAAATTGGTTCAGGGGTTTTGGAGAAGAAGTCGAAAATGTAAATTGTTTACGGACGCACGACGGACGACGGACGACGACGGACAAAAGGCGATCGCAATAGGTCACTTGAGACTTTGTCTCAGGTGACCTAAAAATGAATTTACTGAAACCACTTTTCTCGAAACTTTAGTCTCTATGAAAACACAAGACTTTATATATATTACTAAAACAAGAAATGTTACTGCAACACTTAACTTTTTTAATAGCTGTTTGACTTGCAACTCAAGAAAATTTAATACCTGGAGTTGCAAAATTAGCTTTTCAGAGGAAATCGGAAGCTGTATTTCTGCTGGAAATCATTAGACTCAAATAACTTAGGAATCTAAGAGTATTTTAATATCTACAATTTCAAAGTAAGGTTTTCAGAGGAAATCGGAGCTGTATTTCTGCTGGAAATCATTAGAATCAAACAATTCAGGAATCTTAAGTATTCTAATTTCTGGAGTTTCAAAATTAGGTTTTCAGAGGAACTTTCATTTGAATTTATCAGTCACTTAAACAATTTAGGAATCTTAAACTATCTGCAATAGCTTTTACTTTAACTTAATGCATTACTTACACTAGGTTACAGTAAATACCGATGGTAATATGCTTTACTGAAACTATACACGTTACTGAAATTAATATGATAGCATCAACTTAATTGATAGCACTTGCTATGCCACTCAAAATTTTCATTTGACTTTCCCTTTGTTGATAATAAGCCACTGAGAAATTTCACTTGGCGCTCCCTGTGTTGGTGCAAAATTGAAGATGGAGAGACAGGAAGCTTTATGTTTATAGATATTTTGTTTTACCTGGTTGAAGAATTCCTGCAGTAGGCATTCTAGCCAGGGCTCGGCCACATCCATGGGGCGACATTCATTAGAAATGTCGGCTACTTTTATCAGTATCATTAAGAGCTGACAAAAACAAAAGAAAGTAGGGAGAAACAAATGAGACAGGGGTGCACAAACAGAGAGATATACCTTCACTAGCCAGCAATACATAATGCACCAATCTGTTGGACACAGTGAAAATTCAGTCAAAATCTGTCCCGTCCTACAGGAGGAGGAGTATTATTCAGTATTCTAGGTACAGTCAAACTTGGTTTCTATCTTGACAATTTATATATTATATATTTTCTTGATTTTTTTCCACAGATTTTAGTGAAACAAGATTAGTATGTCACAGAAAACAAGAATATATTTTTAAATGCAATTCACTCCCTTGATATATCCAGAGAGCAGTTTTGACCAATAATTATAGACTAGTATATTTATATTTTTCACTTCTGAATAAATTCTTCATTATGTCCAACAGGTCTGGCTAAATATCAACAAAACATTTGCAGGGAATTGAAAGGTGCATCATTAACTCATTCACCCCTGAAGACACAATTGAACTCTTCCATTTCAAAGGTTGGAATAGTTCATTATGAAATTTTAGGCGTGAATGGGTGAATGAATTGACTAAGTGTTACAACAAAGAGTAAGTGGTTTGTACTGGTTACAATACTAAATGCATGCAAACTGGATGGACATATACAACACCAGAATGGTTCATCTTATATCAAAGCTCCCCGTCCCACCACAGGCAAAACACCAAGGACTGTATTCATAAAACTGCTCTCATGCTCAAGCATGGATTCAGTACTCAAACTTACTCCTTTTTACTCGCCGAAATCATGTCAAACGATCAAAAAGTCAAATGTAAAGTCTCGTTTTTCCAAAGTATTGACAAAATAAAGATTTTTTTTATCAATTTATAACGGGAACAAGAAATTCGGCTTGAGCACAAAATCCATGCTTGAGCATGAGAACGGTTTAATGAATACGGGTCCAGGGCCAGTATTCATGAAAGTTTGCATGCTCAAGCATGAATTCTGTGCTCAAACCAACCTCCTTGCAATGTGACATAGTGAAAAAATAAAGTGTGAACATTTTAAACTGTGATCAGGATGAGGTTTCCTCAAAATTCTTACTTATCATTCATAAAATGTATTTCTTAATTTATTTATCACCCGAACAAGAAATTTGGCTTGAGAACAAAACGTGAGTTTGAGCTTGAGACAGGTTTCATGAATATGGGCCCGGAATTTCACTGTAGTTAGTGGAACGGTGATCCTTAAAACTGAAATGTGATATCAAACCTCATCAGTTTAATGAGATTTTCAGTAAAATTTCATTTGCAATCATTTGTAGAAATACAAGTATTTTTGTGTGAATTGTATTTATTCTCAAATAAGCCCGAGAGGGGCCAACACATGATTTCTGATTCAAAATAGGTAGGTAGGCTTATTGTAGTATAAAGCATTTGTTGGCATTTGTCTGAACTACAATAGAGATTGGATGGGCTTATTAGCAGGCATGGGCTTCCATAGAAATGTATCCTTTGTTTTCAATTATACATGTAATAGTTATGTAAATACCACTTATTCATGTTTTACCTTCATATGTCACAAAGCTAAGAACCTGTTATACTCATTAACACTTATCAAGTTAAACTGGACAGGGGTGTCTTACTTTATAGATTATAATTACATGTTTGGTAAGTCAAATGTAAACATTCAGTTTTCTGAAAATTTAATCATTCCAAATGAGATGTATATTAACACTGATTATCACGTTTAACGGGACAGATGTATCAAACTGCAATAGGGCAATGATATGCTAGACAAGAACATTTTGTCTTTCCAAATGAGATACACATTATCAATTAATAGTATATCATTAACCTATTTAAGTTTGAAACACCTGTCCAGTTAAACTTGATAATCAGCATTAATAATCACGTTTTATCAAATTTCAAAAGGTTACCTCTATTGATATATGCTAGGTAAGTCAAATAATTGAATTCATGTTTAGAAAATCATTTCTTTAATATTTGAGTATTAAAATCATGATGATTACCTGAAGACTATGATTTGAAACATATGTACAATACACAGTGGCTATAAACCCATGCCAGGTTAAGCCCACCCATCTATATTGCATCTCAGTAGAAATACCAACAAGTGTTATTTCCCTGTCCTGATATATAAAGCCCCCATCCCCTCCTACTTTTAGTCAAGAACTTATGTGTTTGGCCCTATGCTGAATATTACAGTACTTTAATTTCAGTTTGAATAATTGCATACATAGCTTCACTGTACTAAATCCATGATTCAAGACAGTATCTAATTTAGGATTGGTACTCATGTATCTAATTTAGGATTGGTACTCAAATGATGATCACCTAAAGCTTTTTCTGCGGAATAATATAAGGGTAAGAAAATGTAAAGTGATGTTAAGAAACCACAACATATATGGACCGTTCATGACCAAATATAATATGAACTTGCAGAAAGATTTATGTAGCACAACCATTAAGTGTTTATTTGCGACATTTCGATGACTGGTATGGTACGTACCCTGTCTCCTTCATCAGACAAATGATCACTGAAGTGTATGTACCCATAAGTGCAAACTATGTATGATTTGGTAATATAAGCTTGACGAAGGTGGGACTAAAAAAACCATATATTCACTTAGTTGTTTTGTAAGAACAGATGTTTTAGTTAAGTCAACATCACATCAATTATATATTACCGACCCATATATATCTTACATCTTTAACCCTTTTACCCCTATGTAACTTTAGTAGACTCCACCATGCATTGATATGGATGAATCCATTATGGTCTACAGTGGTGAAAGGGTTAATTTGTTTTTATATACTTCACAGGTCATTTGTCTGATGAAGGTGATAGAGTACATATCATATCAGTCATTGAAAGGTCACACATAAAAAAACGGTCACCTGAGTCTACAGTATTTTTTTTTTTGTTGAAATATGTACCAATTTGAGTAAAAAATAGTATAATGTTAACTTAACTTTGTCAGGACCATGAGCTGATCATTCCTAGACCAATTTTAAGTGAGATCGGCCTATTAGAATTTAGTTGCAAAATAGCCGCCATGGCAGCCAAATTGTATTTCTGATTGACCCGAAAAATAACAACACTTTGTCAGGACCATGAGGCTATCATTCCTACCAACTTTCAGGTCAATCAGCCCAGCAGAACTTGACTTTAAGTTTGAAATGTAAAGTGTTAACGGACGATGGATGACGGACGACGACGGACGAAAACGGATAGTAATAGGTCACTTGAGCTAAAGCTCAGGTGACCTAAAAATAGATCACTTCATAAATAGCTAAATGGAGTGATTTAAGTCTTGAACCATTTCTTATAATACTACATTAAAAGGGAGGGAAAGAGATAAATAGACGGGTAGTGTCTTGTAGAGCAGTGCATCGTCCTGACAGCTGCTAATAAAAAATATAAATCAAGTACAAGCAGCTAAACTGAGAAACTGAAATACAAAATCAAACCAAAACAGTGATGTTTAAGCTGGAGACATTTGCTCTAAAGTAGAACTATCCCATCAAGGTGACCTTTAGGTGTTAATTTACAAGAATATATTTTGATACTGATAAAAAACATGTAGAAGTATTTTCTCATTTAACCCTACATATTTAAACTAGTCTTGCCCAATCACTTAAACTTCACTGTCTTGGTTTGGAGGGTAGTGGGAGTACACAAAAATGACTAACATAATCAAGCAGGTCTCGAAGTGACACGAAAATCATTGCCGAATCGGAAATGAAAACTGGCAACGGAACAACAGCAAGAAACAGAGAGGTGCCTTTGATCTCTTCGGAAGGTCTCTGACCTGATTGAAAAACTCCATTAGAAGGCAATCAAGCCAAGGTTCGGCCACGTCCATGGGTCGCGCTTCGTTAGAAATGTCGGACACCTTCATCATAATTATCATCATCTAGAGAAGGAAGAAGCCCAAAGGCACACACACATATATATGGTCAAATGGCAATAAAACATTACATGATATTATGTAACCTACAAAACCTCTCCTGGCCGATTTTAGATTCAAAATGTCATAACTGCACTTCAAAATGTTACCATATCTCCACGAATAAGCTGTTTTACACAGTACCAAACATATTATTTGAAAAAAGATTTGATGTAATGCATGACATGGTAATGCAAGTTTGACATTAAAACAAGAGGCCCATGGGCCTAAACGGTCACCTGAGTCTACAGTATTTATTTTTGTTGTTGAAATATGTACCAATTTGAGTAAAAAATAGTATAATGTTAACTTAACTTTGTCAGGACCATGAGCTGATCATTCCTTAACCAATTTTGAGTGAGATCGGCATATTAGAACTTAGTAGCAAAATAGCGGCCATGGCAGCCAAATTGTATTTCTGATTGACCCGAAAAATAACAACACTTTGTCAGGACCATGAGGCGATCATTCCTACCAACTTTCAGTTCAATCGGCCCAGCAGAACTTGACTTTAAGTTTGAAATGTAAAATGTTAACGGACGACGGACGACGGACGACGGACGACGGACGACGACGGACGAAAACGGATAGCAATAGGTCACTTGAGCTAAAGCTCAGGTGACCTAAAAAACCTGTGATGTCGCGCAGCACAAAGTTATTTCACAATGTGAAATTATCAAAGAAATAAATAATGGGCTGGGAGTGGTGAAACCATAGTATTATAGGATGAACAGTTCGATCAAATATTGTTTCTGTTTTACAGAGCACAATTGGCCGTGTAATATTTCTGGTAATAGATGGAAAAATCAATAAATCATGAATTATTCATTTATATTTAATGATCACATTTTACAGGCAGTGAAGCACAAACAAACAGCATTATTTGCAAAAAGCATTCAAACATCAAAATGTCAAAACATGTATTACACAAACAAAAATCTCTTTAAAATTTACCTTTATATTTGTAAAGCATAAACAGATATCATTGGAAATCATCAGATAGATACAATATAATTCCACTGAGTAACATGTACACCAAAAAAGAATTAAATATGTTATTGATCCAATACAACTAGCTGGTACAAAGTTGATAAAACCTAAACACAGAAATAAAAGGAAAAGTATGTTTGAACATCAACATTCCTCCTTACTTCACATGTACATTCTTTCTATTGCTAGAATAGCCCCCCTTGGGGGTAAGACAGAAAAATCTCAACTCTCGGGGTAAGATTCTTAAATGTGGAGCTCAAGGCTTTAACAGAAAAATCTCAACCCTCAGGGTAAAATTCTTAACATCTAGAACAAGGCCTTGCAGAAGGCCAGACATTTATGAATCTTAGCCCGAGGGTTGAGATTTTTCTGTCTTACTCCTAATTTGGTTGAATGATTATTTTTCTCCCAAATCAAATACAAGTGGTAGTGTCATAAAACGCAAAGGTTGATTTCATAATTTCAAGCAGATCAAAGTTATATTCTGTGATCTGCAATTATTGACGTGACATCATTGCATTGTTGATGTGACGTCATGTAATTGTCAGAAAATGGTTTCATCAGTTTGAAACCTAAGTCAAATATCAAAACAAAAAAAATAAAACTATACATAAAACAAGAGGCCCATGGGCCTTAACGGTCACCTGAGTCCTACAGTATTTATTTTTGTTGTTGAAATATGTACTAATTTGAGTAAAAAATAGTTAAGTATAATGTTAACTTAACTTTGTCAGGACCATGAGCTGATCATTCCTAGACCGATTTTCAGTGAGATCGGCCTATTAGAACTTGTTTTTAAGTTTGAAATATTACAATTTACAAAATAGCGGCCATGGCAGCCAAATTGTATTTCTGATTGACCCGAAAAATAACAACACTTTGTCAGGACCATGATTCGATCATTCCTACAAAGTTTCAGTTCAATCGGCCAAGTAGAACTTTACTTTAAGTTTGAAATAGTTTTTCAAAATGGCGGCCGTGGCGGCCATATTGGATTTCTGATCGACCCGAAAAATAACAACACTTTGTCAGGACCATGAGCCGATCATTCCTACAACTTTCAGTTCAACTGGCCCACCAGAACTTGACTTTAAGTTTGAAATGTGAAATGTTAACGGACGACGGACGACGACGGACGAAAACGGATAGCAATAGGTCACTTGAGCTAAAGCTCAGGTGACCTAAAAATTGAGTACTGTTAATGGCTGGTGGTATTTATCTAAATTCTAGAACATAATCATGTTTTCAATTTTATTTCCCTATAATTCAAAACTAACTCTTTAAACAATTAACCCACAAGCCTGATAGCACTAATACTGTGACAAGCAGATTTCTATATATACATACCAACGACTTGTGTTCCTTGTTCTGGAAGTCAAACTTAGTCGTGTTATTTATTGCCCTGAAATTAATGAGTATCTCATTGTGCTTTGCCATATCTGTACCGAGGATACACCTAGAAATACAAAAGTGAAAAAAAATATGCAAATATATGTTTGTATTATAAAGCTAATGATAATTGTGGGTACAGTCTATCAAAAAACAACCACAAGTTTCCCGGTATACAGTATACAATCTTTAATTTATTTTAAAACATTTAAGAAATAAAATTTTTCAACTTCTATTAATCACTCTTGTTGGACTGGATGTTAGCACACTGGGGGTCTTATTGTGGGAGGAATCCGGAGTACCCGGAGAAAGCCTGCGTGGTTTGGCAGATGAGTAGAATAGAATAGAATAGAATTGGGGAATTCCGTCTTTTTCGTCTTGCAGAGTTATCTGCTCTTGTGAGCAGGTATTGATTGTTACGTCATTTGTTTGTGAGAGTAACGTCATAAATGTTTGAGAAAACAACGTAATTTTCTCACACAAACTAATGATGTAACAATCAATACCTGCTCACAAGAGCAGATAACTCTGAAATACGAAAAGACGGAATAGAACCCAAGCTGCATTGGTGAAAAGGCGAGTGCATTATCCACTGAGCCACCAGCCCTTGGATTAGAAACGTGCCTGGGGATAACACCCACCTGATCATGCCCTCGCGGACCTTTCTGAATTGTTCCTTTGGAAGATTGCGGAAGATATTGCAGTTATGTTTTTCCAGGATCTCAAATGCTACGGAACAGTGATGATTCTCGAGTGGAGATATGTCGTTGTATCGCAGGGCTAGCTCCGTTTTTGCATTTACCTTTCAGGAAAGAGCAATAATATTTTTTTTTTTAAAAGATTCAAAATAGGTTCACATCTTAGAAATGTTATAATGGGACTATCAGCCAATCAGATTGAAGGAGGCTGTAAAAGTTTACGGAAGGAATGATGCAGAATTTCCAGTAGAAGACTGTAATTGGCTCGTGTTTATGATTATTTGAGACCTGCATCAGATCTCTTAAAATATAGGGTATTGTCATTGTCAAAATATTTTTACAAACAACATTACAAATCGTATCATTTTAAAAACCATAGGAAAAGCCATATGAATAGTTTGAAAGGCTTCGATGAATTTCTGTTACAATCCCTGCATTTGGAAACAGCTAGTTCATGAACATCAAGAATCTAGATTCAATTATCATTTAAGGATCCCTGTCTACTGCCAAAAATTGTTAATAAGTATTGGAAACTGTTTTATCCAACATGACCATAGCTTTGATAAATCTTTTTTGTAAAGAAAATCATACCTTACAAGACTTTTATGAGAAATGATAAAGATCAAATAAAAATATTTTAATCAAAAACAGTGTTGCATATTATCGCTCTAACCAATTGAGCTACCTGGTCAACAGAAGTGCACTGGTCCAATTGTGCTACAGTTATATCCAAATAGAAATTAAAGTGAGGTTACTGTATATACCATAAACCCCAATACAGTGGGACAGGCATCCTTAAGGTTCTCTAAAACCTCATTAGATATCTCATCAGGGATATCATCATTTAACAAGCATAAGTATTGTTGGCCAAATCCATTTATCTCTACTGAAAGTATTTTTGGAGACTACTTTTCCACATTTAGACAGACCAAGAAGAAGAATTCCCACTATTATTGCACAGTGGGAGCCTAACATAGGGTGTACAATCACACTTGTTGATCTTCTCGATATTATCTGCAGGTTGAAGCTGCAGTTCTCTTTTTCTCCTAAAAGTGAGCTTGGAGTTATCTCCCCTACCTGGTACGCATTGTTGTAGCCCGGATGATCAAGGTCATGACAGATGGCGGAGGTGATGAGTATGAGTATGTCAAGGTCATCTAGCAGAGACGGAGTGTCAATAAGCCACGTCAGACCATACATCTAAAGCAAAGATAAAACTGGAACATTAAAATTCATCTACACAAGCTGATAATTAGAGTTATCGTCTCTGAATCTAGATTTCATTAGTCAGAAATGATTTATTTTATTATTTTGTTTTACTAAAGTGATACATTCTGTTTCCAGGCTAGGCAAAACAGGACTTAATCTATCAAACAGTGTAGGGATACTGTATACTTAGAAATTTTCGCCTTTTTTACCCTTCGAAATGAGGGCGATCTCTCATAACAGTGAATATAACTTAACAGCATACTTAATACTTATTACATTTATAAGGAGAAAGTAACATTGGGTGAACATGGATGTTACCAGTGAGGGACCAATATCTAACTAGGCAGAAGTTTCCCGGTATGCAGTACATATAACACTAAAATAGACATTTGTGGTCAAAATGTCATGGCCTTTTTTTGACATATTTTAGTAAAGAAGACACATTTTTTGGAAACCTGCACTTTTAAACCTGCATTCCCAGTTCTGATTGGTCAGCGATGCAGTACACACCATAACAACCAGCAGTGGAAACAAGGATGATTATGTTCAAGTTATCTCTACATATGCCTTAGTCTTACGGAAGGAGAGAAAGAATGTGTGAATGATTTTTACAAACGTTGTTTTATCAAGGGCCTAAGAATACCATCTGTACATATGTAACCATGAAACAGTGTTTGGTACATGTATTAAGACAATAAAGGGCCTTACCATCTGTGTGACCATAAAGCAGTGTTTGGTACATGTACTAGGACAAAAAAGGGACTTACCATCTGTGTGACCATAAAGCAGTGTTTAAAATTATGAAAAGGCACATTGTTGTAGTTTTTGTACACTTCATACAACCACTGGTGTAGCACCGGCATCTGAAAAATAAAAAAATAAAAATTACGCATTAACCCTTTTCTTCTCTTTAAAATATTATTTAGAGAGAAGACATGTGATAGAAATATTACAAGGTGGCTTTTAACGATCATTATCAAGAAATGAAGCCAAAAAAACCCAATTAAGATTTAAAGCAAGATTCTTTTCACGGTATGAGAATGATCTAACAGTCAGTCAGAAAAGTTTAGATTTAATGTGTGATATGTATAACAAGAATGTTTAATTATGCTCTGGTAATACACAGACTGGTCTAGTGGATTCCATGACAAAAGATATCTTTTCCCCCTAATAAATGCTCTGAAAATACACCTGCTCTTCTTCCTCACAGGATTTGAAAAAATTAAGCTGAAATTTAAAGAATATGCATTGTTCAATTTTTTTTATTGGTATCCAAATTTGATTTTACATGGATGTACATATTGTAAATTTTGACAAGTTTCACAAATTTGATCTGATTTCCAAGAAAAATGTTGATCAACATTTGAAATTTAGATTAAGTCAAAGACTGTGTGAAATTCATGATCCTGAGGTGAGGTGTAATGATCATAGCAATTTAGGCCGAGATACTTCCAATTAATGGCTATAAAATTAGATTCGCCAGAAACACTGTTAAAAAGTAATGCTATAAAACAGGTATCTGTTTCCATGGTAACATCATATTACCAGTTCCCTGTTCATTACTAATCTTCAAGAGACATTCATTTTTGCATTATTTCTAGGTTTTCTTCCTGCAAGTAAGGGGACAAATTAGTTGATCTGCTGTAGGGGACAAAATTGATCTGCTGTAAGGAACAAAATTGATCTGCTGTAAGGGGACAAAATTGATCTGCTGTAGGGGACAAAATTGATCTGCTGTAAGGGACAAAATTGATCTGCTGTGAGGGAACAAAATTGATCTGCTGTAAGGGGACAAAATTGATCTGCTGTAAGGGGACAAAATTGATCTGCTGTAGGGGACAAAATTGATCTGCTGTAAGGGACAAAATTGATCTGCTGTAAGGGAACAAAATTGATCTGCTGTAAGGGGACAAAATTGATCTGCTGTAAGGGGACAAAATTGATCTGCTGTAGGGGACAAAATTGATCTGCTGTAAGGGACAAAATTGATCTGCTGTAAGGGAACAAAATTGATCTGCTGTAAGGGGACAAAATTGATCTGCTGTAAGGGGACAAAATTGATCTGCTGTAGGGGACAAAATTGATCTGCTGTAAGGGACAAAATTGATCTGCTGTAAGGGGACAAAATTGATCTGCGGTAAGGGGACAACATTGATCTGCTGTAAGGGGACAACATTGATCTGCTGTCCCTGCTGCAATACTTGGGATCTGTTTCGTTTCTCACTTCCGTACCTTTTCCTTTTGGCAATGTCACCCTAGCTAGCTAGCACCTTTTTTAAATGACCTCAGCTGGTGCAGGGACATTAAACCCCAAACAAACAAATATTATCCTTGTAAGTTAAGGGTCCCTGTCCCGCTATACTGCCCCTTTTCCTACATAGAGTTACCTACCCTTAACTTCCGTTTGTGTATAACTGTAGCACATTTGGGCTTGTACAATATTGCCATCAAGGTAGCTCCAACAATTTCAGCAATGGTATGACAGTCTGAAGTCCAGGGTTCAAATCCCGATCTGGCCCCGTACAATATTTTACACTCAGAACACGTTTGTTGATTATATCTTTGGAGATCTCTTATTCACTGTTAAGCATATTGGTTCAGGATAAACAAGAAACAAAGGGAGACCCTCCACATTTAATGGTGTGTGCAAAATATATTTAACCCATTCAACATTTAATGGTGTGTGCAAAATATATTTAACCCATTCACCCCTTAAGTCACATTTGAACCTTGCCAAATCAAAAACTAGACAAGACCAGTTTGAATATGTAGGGGTGAATGAGTTAATACTGAAATAATTATCACTGATACTCAGGAGTCTACGGCTGTCAAATCAGTATTCTCTTTTATTCGAACCATTTTTACTTTGGATAGACTCACACCCTGACATTTAAGATAGCTGCATGCCAGATGTCATTACTCTAGGCATGGTGGTTCATCATTTGACATTTTTAACACATTTGACTCCTTTAACTGTGACCTTAAATAATGCATAATTTACACTGGGCGAGTATGGATTTTATTGGTGATGGGTAAATATTTGACTAAGTGAAGTCTTCCTGTATACATTTATATAACAGTCTTCCTGTATACATTTAAGTACTTTTAAGTGCCCCTTTCCGAATTTAATTGAATAGTTAGGTTGGACTTTCTACATAGGTATTTATGACTTTATTACAGTACATTTATGTAATACAGCTTCATTCATTTTTTACCTCTATGTTGAACTTAGAAATGAAGCCCAGATCTATGTACATTTGTCGCAGTAATATCAGCATTTCAGGGTCATCCCATTGCCAGTTGTCAAACGTTGGCTTTCTCAGATACCCTCGAACCTCGTCCGTCACTTGTACAAAACTGCAAAGAGAAAATCAATATTTGTCACAGCAAAGCGTGTTTACTGTCATACCAGCATGTATAATTTACAGTTCGACAACAAACAACAATATAGACGTCTGTGTACAGCATACATTTTCTGAAAATTAACGTTTGCAAATAACGTGATTTTTCCCCCTCAGTCATCCTATGTGAAAAGTTATTTGTATAATTTGTAGAGAGGTGAACGATTGTCCGAGATGCACTGTGGCGTATAATATGGAGGTGTTACGATTCACCAAAACATCTTGAGAGCTGATGAACTGTGGCGTATAATATAGAGGTGTTACGATTCACTGATTCATTGTTGAATGGTATCATATCTTGAGAACTGATGAACGGTGGCGTATAATATAGAGGTGTTATGATTCACCGATTCAATGTTGAATGGTATCATATCTTGAGAGCTGAGGAACTGTGGCGTATAATATAGAGGTGTTACAATTCACTGATTCATTGTTGAATGGTATCATATCTTGAGAAATGATGAACGGTGGCGTATAATATAGAGGTGTTATGATTCACCGATTCAATGTTGAATGGTATCATATCTTGAGAGCTGATGAACTGTGGCATATAATATAGAGGTATTACGATTCACTGATTCATTGTTGAATGGTATCATATCTTGAGAGCTGATGAACTGTGGCGTATAATATAGAGGGGTTACGATTCACTGATTCATTGTTGAATGGTATCATATCTTGAGAAGTGATGAACGGTGGCGTATAATATAGAGGTGTTATGATTCACCGATTCAATGTTGAATGGTATCATATCTTGAGAGCTGAGGAACTGTGGCGTATAATATAGAGGTGTTACAATTCACTGAGTCATTGTTGAATGGTATCATATCTTGAGAGCTGATGAACTGTGGCATATAATATAGAGGTATTACGATTCACTGATTCATTGCTGAATGGTATCATATCTTGAGAGCTGATGAACTGTGGCATATAATATAGAGGTATTACGATTCACTGATTCATTGTTGAATGGTATCATATCTTGAGAGCTGATGAACTGTGGCGTATAATATAGAGGTATTATGATTCACTGATTCATTGTTGAATCGTATCATATCTTGAGAGGTGATGAACTGTGGCATATAATATAGAGGTGTTACGATTCACCAATTCATTGCTGAATGCTATGATATCTTGAGTGCTGATGCACTGTGGCATTCCCCGATAGTATCATGATACCTTAAAAAAGTAAGTGTTATGCCGTCCTTTTAGAGTGGTTATATATGATAACCAATTGCACAAAGCTCATTCAGCACAACTAATTCTTCTTGTTCCTTTAGCTAAAAAAAAGATTATTTCATAAAAATAAGATATGTAATTTAGGAGATAGATCGTTTCAAACACAAATTAATTCAGCATGGAGTACAAACACAAAATATATGTACCGTACCGTGACCCATGTGTTATGATACATGTCATATAGTCGCAAGTCTTGTGATACAAAGCACTAGTATCATCTAATATTAGGATCAAGAAATTTGTCTCAACCTTCGCATTTGAAAAGCATCAACATTTAAAGAGAATGATCACTCAGTTGTCCTTGGTAATAACAATACTCAGTTGTCCTTGGTAATAACGATACTCAGTTGTCCTTGGTAATAACGATACTCAGTTGTCCTTGGTAATAACGATACTCAGTTGTCCTTGGTAATAACGATACTCAGTTGTCCTTGGTAATAACGATACTCAGTTGATCCCTGGTATCTAGTCAAAGACTCCTGACACACATGTGTATTACATACATACTGATGAATCACACATACTTTTTGAAAGTCATTTTCCATTTTAAGGATCCCATCCTATTGCAGACAGATTATTCTGGTTTCTTGACGGACAAATGTATATTTCACTCAGCAGTTCTATATTCTTCATATGTTTTTCTTGTGCAATGCACTCAAATGAAGATTATTTTCTGAACACAATGTGTCTATTTAAAGTAATAATGACCCAACCATTCACTAAATATTGCTCCCAAAAGCAATCCCAGTCTGACACAATTCCCCACAGACAATAACTTTTGATACAGCGGGGCCAAAAGAATCTAACCACACTGCAATTGCTACAACCTTGGTGACTTGGGCATTTGGCCTTTCTATCTCATTCCTGTGTGTATACGACAGCCAACTCTCCAGGGCCAGAAACAACTGTCAAACAAATGTTTGATCTTATACACCATTTCACAATGGGACGACGACAATGATATGGCGAAATCAGGAAAATTCCATTGCTATGCTATGGAAATTGCGATGCCTTTTGTGGATTTTTAGCTAATTCTGTGGATTGTTACACCGCTGGGTATGAAAGAATCTTATAGCCTTCCAAAGCTGTGATGTTCTTTTCTTATATAAGCAACATTAAATTGATTGTATTTGTTCATGAAATTCAACTTTGATCAGTAATGCAACGAAAAGATTACAGAAACTGTGAGCTGTTCAACTACATACAACTTCAATGTGCAGTAATCAAAGAAATCTTGTTGCTCTTTGAATCAACAATTATATACAATTTCCCCTTTTCTCATCAACATGTTCAGAGAAGCAGGATAGTACATATAGGATCTTAAATGAGTTTTCATTTCATATGAGCTTTTATGAAACGAGTCTTAGGAGTTTTTATTTCTGCGACCCTTGGCGAGCAAATGTTAAAACTTCGAGACGAGTTTCATAAAAGCTCATATGAAATGAAATCAAATTTAAGATATTCTTTATCACATAACTCAGAAAACTTACATTTTGACAGGTTTTAAAGCCAAAATGTAGAGGGCTTAATCAAACGGAGCCAGCCATTTTGTTGCGTCATTCACAATTTACGTCATTGTCCATATTATGACATCACAATCAATTTCTGACTGGCACAGCCAATGAAAAACGCTCCAGGGTATATTACACTAGTGACATATGTAAAAATATTACACGGGCGAATTCACTGGATAACAGGCTGATTATGTGATAAATCACATTGGTGCACCATAGGTTTGATTTGGTTTGGTTTTGGTTTGTTTATGTTTTACATCCTTTTGACAGCAATGGCCCTTTAAGGACATGCCAGGTTTTGATGGTGGAGTAAAACTGGAGAACCTGGAGAAAAAACACCAACCTGCGGAAAGTTCCTAGTGAACCTGTGACCCAGTGGTGGATCCTGGCGGCTACCCTATGAACACATATACATTGAGCCTGTGACCCAGTGGTGGGACCTGGCGACTACCCAATGCGCACATAGACATTGAACATGTGACCCAGTGGTGGATCCTGGGGGCTACCCTATGAACACATATACATTGAGCCTGTGACCCAGTGGTGGGTCCTGGCGACTACCCAATGTGCACATAGGCGTTGAACATGTGACCCAGTGGTGGGTCCTGGCGACTACCCAATGCGCACATAGGCATTGAACATGTGACCCAGTGGTGGAGTGCTAGTGGGCATAGATACAGACACCTTTAATATATAACCGCTCGGCCATCACAGCCCCCTTGCTCCATAAGTGCCTGACAGACTAACAACATCGTAACAATAGGTCTTACCCATACAGGATGGGGAAATAATTGTCTAATAACCCCCTGTGATTTCTACATAAATACAACACTGCTCAGCATTCAGATTATTGGAATCCATTTATATTGATCCGACACTTCAGTAAAAAAGGCTATCTCTCAAATGGCTGACCTCGGGGATAATTTCCCCCCTCCTACACTCGGCAGTTGACAGACACTGTATATTAATATGATGGGTTTCAGGTTGCCTTTATCATTGCAATAATACCCGGTTTTACTGCACACAAACCCTTGGGGAGGACAAACACAGCTGTTCAAGAATGGATAGCTTTCACATTAGCTATTATTTTTGCAGCTAGATAATGTAGTATGGTGTATAAAACCAACATTTAATATCGGGCATATTAAGCCAACTTGATAAGCCATCCCTGTTGTGATCAGATAAGCATACATCAGAATCTGTTGATCTGGTCAGATATCACAGCTAATTAATGGTCTCATCTCTGATTTTTCTACCTTCCTTCTAGAAGAACCTGTGTCTAATTTCACCAGAAAATGGGACAATATTTTAGACAACAGTTAAGATTATCAATGCATTTAACCCTTTCACCCCTAGGTAACTTGAGTAGACTCTACCATACATTCATCTGGATGAGTCCATAAGGGTCTACAGGGTGAAAGGGTTAATTCAATATATCTTTGGTAAAACTTTATTGATCTTACAATAATTATGAAAGAATTTTTCCGACTTACATTAATCACTTTTGTTGGACTGGATGGAAGCATGTTTAAGGGGGTCTTTATTATAATATAACTATCAGAGGTAACTGTAATACCTGGGGAAAACTTGTGTCACCCAATACCTTCTCACATCTGATTGGGGAATCGAACCCCCGGGCGCCTTGGTGGAGGGTGAGTGTGCTTTATCCACTGCACCACAAACTTTGCAGAATCGAGGGAACAACAGGCTTGCTGTTGTACCCCACTGTGACTAATGGCTGCCCCACTGGAATTTCAGTGTCCCAGATGACAAAACACATATTGTTCACTGTGACCATTTTTGACCTACCCGGGTATGTACCATTGTTCCATTTCAGAGGAAACATCATGATGGGTTCCACTTGCGGGGCAAAAAAATGCTTCTTAATTCCAAATACTTTGATTTCTTTTTTGTAAAGCTATACAATGTATTTGTACCCAATAAAAATTTACACAAAGTATGTTCATCTGCAATAGCATTAGAGAATTTGTGTTCAAAACTGCACAAGAGGTGCTGCTGATAGCTAGTCCTTATATATACATCCAGAAAATACTCGACATAAAGTTATTCACAAGTAGCCATGAGCTTGGACCAACACCAAAATATTTTCGATAGTTTCATCATCATCACATCATCATCATAACAACACCAAAATTTATAAACACATTAACAATTTTCAAAATCAAATCTTTAATTAAATGGC